ACTTGACCATTTTCAAGCCATCCGGTGGCCGTCTTAGAAACCGGTAGCTGGTAATTATTATTTTTACTTTTTAATTGTTATTTCTGTAAACAGATGCAATGTTATTAGATATGATTTAAATTTAATCACTGCACCTATCGTTACGCGTCGTTCCGTTACTCGCTAAGATCTGTGATAAAACAGTATACTGCTATACCTAGCCAGTGTACTTACAAATAAAAATCAACAATGATTGCACAACCATGCAACCATATACTGGACCATTAAAAATAATTAAAACGTTTTTGAACAAAACAGTAGCAATTAAACACACATCGGTCCGTTCCTGGTGAGTTCATATAATACGATTTCTGCATTTAATACCCATTGACTTGTTGGTAATAATACATTTAATACACTACAAAACTTAGTAAGGATATTAGTGCACTAACCGTTCTCCTTCTTCATTATGTAAATTTCAAAAATTTCTAATTACATATTCACTGCCAAATAACTACTTATATTGACTAAGCGGCTTATTTTCCTAAATAACATGGATAGACTGAAACTTGAATTATTATTATAGATCTATGATCGTTGAGTGACTATTGTCTATTATAACTATATGTTAAATCTTTGAAAATATCATTTTTTTCCTTAATAACCATCCGCACAACAATGTATGTAATATCATTGTTCTTATACAATTAATAATAATAATATCATTTAATTAGGCTTGTTCCGTTTTTTATAAATAAGTAAATAAATAATGTTATTTTTCGTAAAAAAAAATTACATATTTTTAAATAAATATTGTTATATTTTAATAACATAAATTTTGGAGAGAAAAAACTTTTATTATTAAGTTCGTTTTTTCAAACAACTTTTGCTTAAAATAGTTTATTTTTTTTATGATTTTAAAATAGTGACTTACAAAACTTTACTACTTTTTTTATAAATTTAATAAAATGTATAAACAACTTTTTTAAAATAATATAAAAGTGGACTGCTCTGTGCTCATCGAGTGAGATACCAATTAGACACAGTTTACTATTTAGTGCATTGTATCTAGTTTTAAAAAAATAAACTGTCCACATTTGTTTAAGGAGGGACCCCACCCTTGCCTTAAATTCTTAGGACTTAATTAGTGTTTATATTATAGTGTGATAACTTATACACGATTATTGTGTTATGGACATTGATGTGTGTTATAATTTATAATCATATATACAGTTATCAACTTATTATTATATCATTCTCTTCGTCAAATCTAGCGCATCTAGCAAATATCGACTACAAATGGCCGTTACTCGCTTTTGAGGTGTTTTCAATGGATTACAGGTACGTTGGGTCGGCGGATTTGGCCACAAGAGCAAAAATAGTTTTAAAAACAAAATATTTCTTGATGTTTCTTATATATTATTATACTGCGGTGGGATTTTAAGCCTCGCCAAGACACATAATATGTCTTATACAAACGCAAATCGGCTAAACCGCCGCCTCCCACGCAGACTTCATTGTGTTTAGGACGGCCCCATTGTTGTTGTACGACAATCGATTACGGTACAGAGGAAGAAGAAGAAGTTAAAAATGAAAAAAATTATTATTATTATTATTCTAATTATTATCGTCCTGAGTCATACGTACAGTGAAAACCCGTCGCATATGGTATTCGCGCCCGAAATGTATGTATAAGTATAATAATAATAGTACCTATGTGTACCGGCATCTTTTGCAGTGAAAGTAGACCGCGGTCTGGTCCACGTTCGTCATCGGTTCGGCCATTATATTATTATCTACACCAAGTCTTTGTAATGCCATTCTTCTTCTTCCGTCGTCTAATGTGTGATTATGTAATTTTCTGTTATTATTTACAGCCAAAGCCACACACACACATCCCGGCATTTTCGAGTGCATATGCAGTTTCAGACACGACCAGGTCCTGAAACTGTTTGTTCAATAACTGATGTGATCGTCATTGAGTAATGAGTAGTAACACACATTATCCGTGTCCGAGCTATAATAATCTGCAATAAAGACAATACAATATAATATAACACCGTGGACCAACGTTATTGGCCGTAGATGCTTATATTTGTATTATTTTTTTTAACAAATGTAAACATAATATGATAGTAGCTGTTAATTAATTCATTTGATATTTTGTACTTTTTAATTTTAATTAGTTATAATTATACGTACATGTCTACTAGCTGCACTGCATTATAAATAATTCAAACTTCATATAATTAGAGTATGAACAGCGTTATGTATTTTATACATTTTCTATAGGTACAACACGTGCTCCTCAGTAACGTGGTCAGTATTAAGAATTACTTTAATAAAGTTTTGAAGTACTTAAAAACCAACATTTTCGGAAAACAAAAAATCAATCAACTTCAACATATAGTAAGAAAAAAGGTAAAGGAAACTTGAATACATCAATTTAAGGCATTTATGTGTATTCTGTACATTAGTAAATGTCTATTATAATGTAATATTATACAGTCCACGGATCAGAAATCAAATTTTATTTTATAAAGCGTTATTGCAATATCAAAAATGTAACCTCTTCCAAATGGCCTCCGAAATTATATAAAGAAAACCCTTTTTTACTCAGCACGTTCTGTAAAATTAATGAAGAACATTAAGTTGTTTTTTTACAGAACACATAAAGAAATTAGAAAACTGACTTTTGTACTTTGTATGTTGTTTATAAATTTGAAAGCCATTTGAAAAACAAATTTGCGTATTAGAGAAAACCTGAGGCCATATTCAAATTAAGCAACAAAGCTTATAAAATTCAAATGAAAAGTTCTTAATATGATGTTCAAAACTAAATAGTGGACTATTATATTGGTTTAAAAACCAATGAATTGTTTTTTATTTGTTTTTTGTTTTATTTATATTAATTTAAACACTGTTTTAGTGTTTTCCATTTACTTCCCTAAATTTAAAACTGCGACTAGTTTAATGGACAAGGAGTAAAGTATAATATGTAATTTTTAATAAAACTTGATACTCCTAACTTGATATGTAAAAGTACATCTATATGTGCTAGACAAAATTAGAAGATTTTCGCATAGGTGATTTAGACATCTGTTTTATACATTTTCCAATTTATACATACATTGGTGTGAAATTGTTCTTTTGTTAAAAACTGCCCATGTCGACATTTAGATAAAGTCTCGATATCTAATTTTGAAGAAATGTATTAGCAACTAAGTTGCTGAGATCTTTGAAAAGTGAATCTTTTGAGATCTTTTTTTTTTACAAAATATGTAGAGCTCACCGGTTTGTGTAATAATAATATTATTATATGTTATATTTTATTATTATAATCATAAATGGAAACAGCACGACACGTTTGCACACGCTGCATGGTGGCCAGCACAAAAATTCGATTCGCTTTCGATCATAATATAATGCCACCGGTCATACATTAACCACATTGATCAACAACAAATAACATTTATTAATGGAATTCGTCCATCTATCATTACGTATCTATTTAAACAACTGAATTTTCTCCTACTTGTGTACCTAGGAATACATGAAAAAAAACTTGTTTTGAATCGTCGCCATTTTCTTTCCTACAATAGGTAGCTGATATTATTATTTGGACATGAGTTGCATAATAATTATAAATGTATGTATTCTTTAGGCGCTAATCTTTAATACCGAATATGGATCGTGCTTAGTACAGGTAAATGACGACGGCGGTGTTTAAATAATAATATTATTAAGGTAGATCCGTCGATTTTTTAATTAATGGCCCCTGAAATGAGGATAACCTTCTCATTTAGGAAATGTACCTACTCATAAACGAAAAAAATTCAGTAGTAAATCATAGATTTTGTCTTGAGCTTAAGTCCATACTTTCATACTGTTCTAAATGCACAAAATAGCTTGTACAAAGAATTAACGAAAAGTGTACAAATTGGCCGAGTTAATAGTTTGAGTTACTAGTGTGAGCAATAATTTTTGGGAACCATCACATAAAAAAATATAATTGATTTTAAAACGCAAGATCACCCACAAAGTTTTTATGAAAAAAATGAGACTGTCGTTAATTTATATGTCATGTACCTTTTTTTTTTGTTTTTATTGAATTGTTTTATTTTGTTGTTATTATAATATTTATAACAAGTAATTTTCAAACTTTTTTTTATTAACCTTATTAGTTAAATATTTATAGAACCTCTAAGAAGGTAGCCCCAAAGAAGTACTGTGAAAACAACTAATTTTTCGTCAAATTCGAATTAGTTGAATATTTGCGATTCCAAAGTTATATTAAGTTAAATTGCACGACACACGTTGTTTGTACGCTAACAAGTTTTAGTAAGTTTACCTGTATTTCCAATTAGATAGCTTGATTAAACTGTCTTTGTGTAACATGTAATGCGACAAGAATATAAATTTCGTTTAATTAGCTTTTATTGACTCTTGAACAACGACAGAACTCATTTTTAATAATATAACTAGTGATTACTATTTACTAGGTACCTTGTATTATAGCTGTTGACATCCACTTTCAGGAGAGTTACAATTTCAATTAGAAAAAATCAAAATTTCGTTTTACTAATTTCTAGTCATTAAACATAATATAATCAAATACAAGCCACAAGCCACACATCACATACTTACTCTTTAAATCTTATAGAAATATTTTTATATACATATACTACAGTCTAATATCTTAATTGCTACGTATATATTTGATGAATAAATGCAATAGCAGAATTTTAGTTTTTATAAATAACTAAATTATTCGAGTTTATTTTAAATTTCCAATATATTATTGTCATTTTTGACGGTTGTCTTTTCTTTTTGGAACGAATTTCTTTTTGTTTAATAATAACAAATACATTTATTGTTAAAATATTTCTTAAGGCGCCATCTATTATTAGCATAATGAACTACAACCGTGTAACGTTTAACTGATAAGGATTTCTTCCAAAATCGTTTTTTATCATTTCAATTTGCATAATATTATTTTATAAAAAAAAAACCGTATCTAATCTGAAGAAAAAAAACCTAACCGTGTGTGGTGATTTACGAAATTTCGAACATAAACTTATATTTTCACTGTTACTGTAATATTATTTTAATATAATCATAGAATAAAGTATAAATATATATCATCTTGTTCCGACATCGAAATGTCCAAAAGGTGTTAAAAATGAATTTTAAAATCAAAGCAGCCTTGTTAGACGACGTTCATACAGATTTCATAGTCGCCGTTTTCGAGTAATTTAAACATTATTTAATATTATTATAACCAATTTAACTTTTGTGTGCACAATAATATATTGTGGATATGTTTTCAATTCCATAACGTCCTTGTGTTTATAATTTCTACAGGAATACACTTTTCATTGTGGTCACGCAAAATTCAAAACTTGGAACGCTGTATCTATACAATCCACACGGTTTATCAACCGACGATCAAGGATTCGACATAAAGTACATGTTATTTTCTATTTGAATTAGCGCAAAATGCGTTTTTTAACTATATTAACCACGTTGTTATTTTTATATTACAGACCTCTGTTTGGTCGAGAAGACGAATTTCTTACTGCTGGCGTAGCAAGTTTGATGCGAGCCTTAAACGTTGATCGTAGAGTAATAGTATCACTCATGTTAGAAAACTCAAACTTTCGAACCATTAGAGCTATACAAGAAGTCTTATCTCAATTAGTTTAAAGTTAACGTATTACACAAGTATGCCACTATACGGTCAAGTGGTGATCGGTCCACCCGGAAGTGGTAAAACTACTTATTGCCATGAAATGAGTAAATATTTGACAGAAATGGGTCGTCAAGTTGCCATAATAAATATAGGTGAATAAGTTATACTGCTCTGTGAGGTTTTTAAACTATGTTTTTAAAAATCTTTGTTTTTGTTTTACATCAGATCCCGCCAACGATTCATTGTGTTATGAAGCAGCCGTCGACGTTTCCGATCTCATTACTGTAGAAGATGTCATGGAATATAAGAATTTGGGACCAAACGGTTCTTTGATTTATTGTATTGAATATTTGGAAAGACGTCTTGACTGGCTTTTAGAAAATTTGAGGAAATTTACCAATTTTTATTTTCTGTTTGATTGTCCTGGACAGGTAAAAAGTTGTGTTTTTTTTGTATTACAAATATTTGAATGGAATGTATATATTTAGATAGAATTATATACTCATCACAACTCTATGAAGAACATAATGGCTGCGATTAAGAATGAGTTGGATACGAGATTATGTTGCGTGCAACTCATTGATGGACATTATTGTAGTGATCCAGGTATGTTTAGTATAATAATTCCTAAATGCCTTACTCTTACTAATTCTTAAGTTTTTTTTTAAAACTCCTTTGAATAAACTGCGACTAGCAGAAGAAGGTGCAGTCAATATGCTCCCACTATGATCTTTGTAGAAGATTGTATGATCTAACATAAAGCTTGAACACTATGTCCTAATAAATTGCTTATGTCATTTACCCTGTTATCATCCCAAGCAGTAAAAAAACTAACTGACCATACGTACCTCTGGCAGTGGACACAGACTAAAAAAGAAGCTTTGTAATTAATCTACTATGTGTTAATCTTCTTTAAAGCTCATAATTACGAAAATGTTTTATATTGTTACCAACACATCCACTCAAACTTTTCTCACCACAAAGAGCCACTCCATGAAAAAATTAGGAGACTTACTTTTTAGACGCTTCTTTATTTTTTAAATACATTTTTATTAATTTTTTTAAACAAAAATATATTTTACATTATATTACATCTTTTATTTGCATTTCTATATAAATAAATAAATATTTAGTTAAAATTAGAATTGTATTCAAATATATATACTTTTCGGAATTTATAGGCTCGTTGTGTTGCAATTTACATTTTCTGCTGGTCTGTAGGTCCCTAAAAACCATGTGAGGGCCAGGTATGCAGTACCATGTTAGAATAAGATTTATAATGATGCACTGTTTTTTTTTTTTAATATTATTGTATAAAATGACATTTTTTTTAAATGTATAAATGACAAAATATTTATAGTATTTATTTATTTTTAGGTAAATACATATCGGCACTTTTAATGTGTACATCCGCAATGTATCAAATGGAACTACCTCATATTAATATATTATCGAAAATTGATATCGCTATTAAGCACAAATCAAAACTACTCTTTAATTTGGATTATTATACAGACGTTTTAAGTCTCGATCAGCTGTTGAACGCATTACAAAATGATCCGTTTACTGCCAGGTACAGAATATTACTAAAAATTATATTTTACTTTATTTCCTACTTAATTAATCTTAATATTAATCCAATATTTTTGTTTAAATACAGATATCGTCGTTTAAACAAAGCTATAGTAAGTCTGATAGAAGGACAAAATATCGTTTCATTTATTCCGTTGAACGTGAAAGATAAACGTACCATGGAAGTGGTCAGAAAAAACATCGATAGAGCTAATGGATACATGTTCAGCGCACAAGAGAATAAGAGTGCAGAAATGTTAAGTTCAGTAATGCAGTTAGACATCAATGATTTAACTTTAGATGTCTTGGAGCATATACCAAAAGATGATTCTACTGAAATGATTTGAAAATATATATTTTTTTTTATTTAACTTATAAGGGTAAAAAGAAAAAATGCAAAGAAAAGAAAAATAAATATTTTTAATAATATAATAAAATATTATTTTTTGTTCGCAATAAAATCCCTAAGTTGTTATTAACATAAGGACATCAATATGCCATACAAAACAAACATACAAATAAACACACATTATAATAGGAATACAAAACAATACTACGACTACCTCAGAAGATAAGACAAATTATTTTCAACAGCAGATTGTTGAGAGTATAATATCAAATTACATTTATTTTAACAGCTTAATAATAAAAGTATACATTTAAAATTTTTTTTTTATAATTGCATTACGAAAACAGTTTGTTTTAAAATAATAAACTTTTTATGCAATTTAAATCCATTCCAACAAAAAACCTATTAACATATCTTAGTTACACCACTCCTAATCATTGTAACTGCGAATCACAGTCTGTGACGGATAGTACGTATTGAAGAGATGTGATTTAATATTTGTGTATCACATTTTACAGTGCTTAAGTTACTACATTAATTTTTAATATTAAACAGATTTACTTATAACCAGTTTTACTTAGTACATATTCTTCATCGATTCTATGAAAAAGAAGTAAAATATTTTGATCACAGCAGCATTTTACTATCGAGATTAACTCTTATCCAATTAAACGTAATTCATTGTAATAGCCTGTTCGTAATCACGCTCTCTGGATTCGTCTTCCTCGGACGTGCTAATACGAAACCCTAGTAATTCAGTAACAGAGTCTGATAACGATGTATTGGCTTCTTTCAGTTGTTCGTAGATGCAGTAAGCTGTAGTCAAAGCTCTTTCCAAATCTATTCTTTCGGACAGATTGTTTACATGCTGAAATGTGTTAAAAAAAAAAACACAAATTATTGTACATTTTGTTGCGTCGACGACAACGATTCAAGTAAAAGTATTATAAACCTTAAGAATTTCGGTAAGCCCGTAGTTTTCATTGATGATCGTTTCTTTCTCGTTATCCAAAATAGCGACACAAATGAGCAAATGAAAATTGGAACACGGCAAATCGGTCCATAGTACTTCCCACAGTCGCATAATGTCCGAGTAAACAAATTCCCTTTTAAACAAAACTAAAAGCCATCTAAAACAGAAATACATATTGCTGGAATCCATTTTCTTCAAATGGACTTCCAAGTCGGGCGACACGGTCGATAATAAATAGTGCAGATCGTTTAGTTGTTTTTTCATTCCGGTTTGTTTCAATTCAAAGTTTGTATTCTAAAAAAAAAAAAAAAAGGTAAAATGTAACTGAAACAAAAGCCTTCGTCGACACAATAGTTTATTTTCCCGTAACTTACAACTTTATTCATGAAACCGACAAAACACCAAAATGATTCAACTTCTTCGCTGTCCATTATAACTAAAATTGGAGATAAAAGATCGCTCATGCCTTGGACGTACCCAAGATCAAAGTTGTACATTACATAAGTCATTAATACGTTGTGTAATCTAACTAAATTTTTGTTTCCGTCACCGGCATAGAATTCAAGGTTACGATCAGTTCGGTATACGTCTTTGTCTATCGAAAAAATTTAACAAATTAAAACATTAATTTGACGTTGTAATAAAACCAAACTCACCGATGAGGCTTTTTCGATCTCTATACATGTTAAACCTTGACATTTGATCGGAAGACATATTCGTCCATTGAATTTTCATTCTCTCGTATTCATTTTTCTTTAGTACGTCAATTTCTTTACGTTCTTCCCAGGTAGAATTCCAAGGATAATATGCAAGTAAAAATTTCCATACTTCTCGCCTGATCGAATTGTCTATGCCCTAAGCAATGCAATAATAATAATAACAGTAAATATTAAAATATAAACAACAGAAGACTAGGTTTTAGTGATTTTTATAAAAACATACACCGTGAAAAATAATGTTTTTAATTTCTTCAGGATTAATAATGCGACCCTCATCGTCCATCGATTGTTTAAATGTTGTTAAATCCAAAGGAGTTCCCCGTGGTTTAATTGTAGGTCGGGGTGGCAACACCGATGTTGGATGTTCCAACATTGTATATTCATCGTCTTCTTCAGCTCGATTCAATAGCTCAGCTACCTCTTGATCGGGTCGAGTGTCCGGTGTACGAGTTACTAAATATTTGTTTTTGATGGTTTATTCAGTTTTCATGCGTGTTATCAAATAGGAAAACTTACAGAGGACGTCACTGATTTTAGCAAATGTTTCATATGTTTTTTCAACGGGATTATTCTGAAATCCACTAATGAAACTCCAAACCGTACTTGTCGGAGGTTGATCAGGGAAAATTTTCAACTCTTTAATCGACTGGCACAATGGATCTGAATCCTGCCTTTCTCCCAATACCAATATAACGCCCGTCGGTCTGTGGTGACGTATTTCTCTAAAAAAAAAAAATGTATATTTAATATATAATTGTGATTTAAAGCATAATTGATTTACTTTTCGGTATACAAAAGTGTTTTCAGAGCAGTGATAAAATCGTTTATCGGAGAACTTTCAAATAGAAATGTTACAAGAGATCCATTTGTTTGCAGAATAGATATTTGATGTCTCTTGTGTTTTTTTAGTTTATAACTCTTTAATGTAGCCAAGTTAACCTTTATATCTATGTTACGATCATCTATAATAATAAAAAACATCATTCGTAAATACAGAAAATGAAATAAGTATAAATGGTATGACAATTGTGTTTACATATTTTAGATCATGTTAATTAGTGCATTTGTCTTTAAAAAATAACCCAAAGATCATTTGGGCATATTTTAAATACCTAAAACAAATTGTATCCTAACAACCTATACTGTTAAACAATATTTTTAACATTACTCATTATACATCAGATAAATTATGTTTTTTAAATTAAAATCAGGTCATAGAAATAAAAACAAGACGTCATATGAATTATCTACTCTACGAACGTCATTTTTGATGTCTACAAATTAGTCTTATCAGTCTTATTTTGACTAAGTGTATTACACTACTCATTTCTAAAATCTTGAAGCATAAAAAATTTAATTACTATGATTAAATTAAGATGAAACAATTTAAAGCACAATTACAATTATTTCAACATACTTAAATTTTTTCCAGATTGTTTGAAGCCTGTATCTACTATATTCCACTCATCGGCATCAGGCACTATAGACATCTCTGTCGGTTTCCACTCTATGAACTTATCCGTTCTCTAAATAAAAGTTAAAAACAATTATTTACTTATAGTTGTATTTATTCATTGTAGAAATTATTTAATCGGTTTATGGAGAATTTATATTATCATTAACGATAACAATTTCTTATAAAACCTAGGTAATAGTTGAACTTGCATATTTCATGATTTTTAATATTCCAGTATAATGCGTTTCGGCATTTCTATGACTTTTCGATCCTTTGTGCAATTTACTTAGACTCTTTATTGCTACGCCTTGTTGCACAAAATATTCCTGTATAAAAAATAAAATTCATTGAATTTAGTTATTGCTAATATTGACACTCGTTACGTTTATTTCTTTGACAGGAAAAGAAATACGTTTTGTTCCACGTGGGTTTAAAATGGGCAAAAGTTCTATTTTTCATGAAAACAAAACGTACTACTTTTTATAAGGCAGAGAAAACTTATTAGCTTTCGTAATGGGTGTCGATAAAACAACAATTTTGTAAATGTACATACTGTGCCAAATTCTTCATCTGAAGCACTAGAAACAGATCCCTCGTACGTTGAATTCATGTTTGTAGTAGTCGATTCGTACAAAACTATTTCTCCGGACGTACCTTTAAACATTTATTGGTTGAATACATTTTTTATACATGAAAATTACAAGCGTATTTGTATAATTTAAAGTGTATACAAGTTATTACATTTTTTTTAACACTCGTAATAGATACCTAATAATTTTACCTGGTAAGTCATTTGGTTTTGTTTCTACTATAGAAGTACTGTTGGATGCCATTGCCTCCATTTTTTTCATTAAGAATAATATACCTTTTAATAAATTCGATCTCTCTTTCTTATCTAGATCTTCGTGAGCTTGTAAGTTATCGACACGATTCATCAAGTGACACAGCTTTGCGTCCACCATTCTGTACTGCTCGCTAAACCTATCTCCTTGTATGTTATCGATCATTGCATTGATAAGTTGTAACTTCTTTACGCAAACTTTTATTTCGTTCTTCACATCGACCGTTGTGCCGCCGTTTGAAGTCAACATCGCTTTACCTTCCATTTCGATTCTCAACAATCCTCTCAGCACATTTCTCATTTCACAAACGTCGGTCATTGCCGCTATTCCTCGGGTCTTTAACTCGTACAATAATTCCTCTTCCTCCAGCTTGTTAACGTCCATTTTTTAATTCGTTTTAAAACTTTCAATATAAAAAAACAATCACCGAATGAAGTAAACTTTTTCAAAAAAATTAACGCAATGGCCTTGGACGTACAAAACCAGTTTTGTTATGACTACTTTTCAGATGTCATCACACACACACATTCATCTACTACGCATAACCCCTACCATTTTCACAAACCTGGTACTTTTGTTGTATTATAATAGGTAATTAATGTATAGTATTATCATTAACGTTGTGTACCTGAATACGGAAGGTATTAAAAAGCTTCAAGTTGTCGAATCCGCCGTGAAACAGTAATTCGGTGAAGGACGAGAGACATGGTACACCTCAATTATTATTCGTCATAGGATCCCAACACGGCCACGGTGTATAAGGAAACCTATAGAAATGCTAAGAAAATGCCACTTCAATTGATATGATACGGTTTATCTCAATATTATCCCACAACGTACGCTGTAAAAGGTAGCAAAATGAAAACAAAGCACCGTCCAGTCCAAATTGATAACGCGCAATTACGACCGAGACTAGAGTGCGCAGCAGATATATAATAATAATAATAATATTATAGTTGACATCTCTTGAAGTAGTTCGTTTCTTTAAATTTTGTCATAGTCCTCTAAAGTCCAATCCCAATAATTAATAAACGTTCGTTAGTTTCGCTTTTTATCGAAACATGGAAACAAATGGAAAGCAGCATACATTGCAACACGGTGCAATGTTGGTCTATGCGTTACCTTAAGGGTCGTCCAGCCCGTTCCTAATAAAAATAGTCTCCATTACAAAACTTTTACCAAATATTCTAAATACATAAGTATAAGTAAGTGCTGTAAAAATTTCAGGATTTTTGGTTCATGTCATAAAAAGTTACAGGCTCTTGAGTATAGCACTTTTTAATTAATAAAATGTCAAACTTTGAAATTACTTGTACATTATAAAAAAAAAATTGTAAAAAAAAGTTATGAATCAAACAAGTATAGTATGATGTATCAGAATAAAAAAAAAGTTTTGAAATTTTGACCTTAGGTCGGTAAAAAAATTGAATGAAATTCATACAATTTTGAATTTGTTTTTCAAATTTTAAGTACTCAAAAATGTGGAAAAAAACTGTTCAAGTATATTATGAAAAATAACACTTCAATTAAAATTGTTTAGTGAAAGTTCCATTACGATATCATAATTAGTCATTAAGTAACCTGATCGTGAACTTGAGGTGTTTTCACAACAAATTTCCGGAATATAGCATCGCCCAAGTCGAAAATTAAATTTAAAAAAAAACGTTTTTCACTTTTTTGGTTTTATGGAACTATTTGCATAGGATATGTAAGTTTGAGACATTTCAAAAATCCACTCGCACACACACACATTAGGTGATTTGGCATGGAATGACCCTATTTAAATTTAGCTGTATAATAGCTAAGAAATAAAAAAACTTTAATACGAGTGATTTTTGATAGAGAAGTTATAAGACGTATACTATGCTATAATTTCGACTTTCAACTTTTTTATGAAAAATCTTTATGGTAGATTTTTACTTGAAAATATCTTTTACATTATGTGTTAAAAACGTTTCGAATCTATTCACAATATTAGAATCATACGTAGTTTCCATTTTGTTGGTAACATTTTTACGACAAAAAATCTTAATAACAAATTTTAAAAATATTGAAAACGTGTTTAAAATTATTTACTGGCATCAATTTTACGGCATGGAAACAACCATTTCCAATAATCGTTATTATGACCTTTTGTGGAAAAATTGAAAGGCAGCTCTGATCATGACGTTAAAAAGGTGGTACATAATTTGAAAGTGTTCATAATGGCATCATTTTGTTTAGTGAATCGTATTTTAAAACGTCTCGTATCTGTTTATTAAAATTCATTTCTCTGAATGCTTTTAGGTATAAATCCTTTATACAATATGAATGTGTTGTCCTTTCTACAATTCGATTTCAGTAAAACATTAGTATGTTAACTCTAGTCACTATCCTTTAGTCTCCTTTTCTGGTCGTTTACTGTATTTGTTAACTGAAAAACCCACATTTTCCTAAATGACCATTTATAGGATATGCTTGAACCAACGATTTTTTCATATTTTTATCATACAAATATAAAACAGATTTTTTAAAAAACATTACAGCTTTAATAAGAAAAAAAAATACGATTATGGGAAATTATATATTTATAAGACAAGCCTCTAATATCATTCTAACTAACGTACTTTCAGTTTTCGCTTTTGCTATATTTTAAAATTATTTATAGAAATATTATCCTTTTGAAATTTTGAATACAACCGGTGTCTAGTAAGTCAAAATTAAAAATTAAATTAACTTTTTTTCTATTATTATAAATTAAATAACTCTACAAAAAATATCAGTCTAAAATAATATACGCTGAATATTTTCGTACAAAATACTAAATACGAATTAATTAAATATTTTTAAATCCATTCAATTTCAATATTAATTTTGAAAACATAACTTTCACAAAATTATGAAAATTAAATAATTGTCAAAATAATAATTATTCTATAAACGTGTCATAACCATGCCAATGGCAACACGCATATCACAATTCTTCTTCAAAACATCAATTCGTTATTTTTTTTTAAAAGTTTTTAACGCATTCAAGGAGATACCTGTCAGTCAGATATATCGGCGTTACTCTATGGATTTTATTTATTCGACGTCCATTTGTAATTTGTTCGACGACGTCTGATTAGTAAAATGAGTTAAAAGAAACAGTTACCGAAGACTGAAACTCATTTCTCATTTCTCAGAACATTTAGAGGTTAAAATATTTAATTGTGTGACAAAGAAAAACACAACGATAATAATATTATTATATGGCACAGGACGGCGAAAACTCGTTGAAAATATGAAACCTAGTGACTCTGAAGAAACACATACCTAGTATTACATGACAAATTGTAACACTTGTATACGGTTTTTGGTTCACTCAAACCAGCTGACGTGGAACACACTTAAAGACAATCAAAGCCAATTGCCAGTGCCTTCTAATCCCTTTGAGACTATACCACAGCCAGCATACTATCCCACTATAATAATAGTATAATAATCAATCAGTACCTCGTAATACGATTGAAATTTCTGATTAGGAACTGCTGAATTTTACTGAACTGCTGAATTAGCTTGGCTATATTTGTAATAAAAAAACTTGTGGGTTAAAAACTATATCCAATCTTGATTACTTTAAGTCATCACAGTGGCTATATTTAAAAGTGAACCGCTAGATGAATCTAATTAGCAAGTGATAAAGTGACGCTTTAGAATAAACACACAAAAAAAATTAATACTTTGAAAACAATTTTAATGATACGCATAACTTACGTTTCATGAAAACACAATTATAATCGTAGACCGTAAAATTAAATAAATTGAAATGTATTACTCTAATGTGGTTATATTTTAAATGTTTTTTGACTTATAAAAGGTTTTGTGCATTTTTTTTTTTTTGCTAAACAACATAATGATAAAATATTATCAATTACTAAACTACTATAATTATATATAACTAGTTGTCGGCGATTGAGGTATATAAAAAAATCTAACATACCTAATTAAAACTTTATAAACGACCGTATAATGTTGTAGAGAAAATAATTGGGTATCTCATAGTTAAGCTAATTTCATTTTCTTTTATCTTACAAATTATAAATATCATTTTTTTTATTAATTGTAGTAGTTTTTTCTAGATTTGCATCGATGTAAATGTATATGTATATTAATTCACGCCAAATCGTCCGTTTTATGTAGTTTACGATAATTTTTTTAATTTATTATTATGTCATTGATAAAATTGTTAATTTTTTTTTCAAATAATACCTAGTTGTTTTTTCAATAAAAAAAAATTGGTAGGTATATTCGGATTGGGTTTAAAAAAAAACTCTAATACTTTGAACTAAACAATAATTAAGACAATGCAATTTATAATAGCTACTAAAAAAAAAAAAAAATATATATTATTTAGGTTTGAACTTTTATAGAATCGCGCTGTATTAAACTATTTTAGTTAAGAAAAAAACCCTGTAAATCATAAAAGATATATACATAATACATTTGTATTTAATGATGTTACAATAGGGTTTTTGTTGCCGTTCTTATCTTTATAACCCAGCTATAGACCTAACTTTAGTCTAATTTATTTTTTGGACTATCACAGCATCATCTTTAACAGTGATTTAAAAAAAAAATTCTAAACATAGCTACGCATATTCTCTATTGTTGGCTAAATAACCGTAGACAATTTTTTTTCCATCTTTATAATGGATGAGAACTTTATCTAGGTTCTCTCGAAGGTTTTTTTTAAATTACTAACCCGACATTCATAATTTATATTTTAATTGTGACATTTTTTAAACTTTTTTAAGCGCTTGTATTTGAGCTAAAATTAAAGTTTTCTAAAAAAACCGACGAGAGACCTAGTTGAAGTTGTATTGTTTTTAACGGTTTTATTGTTTTGCCATGACCTACACATTGCTTTCCATATTCGTCGTCTAAGGCCTTGGATTTACAATATAAAATTCATGGTGTAAATAGATAAAAGTACTATATAATTTTATAAATTCAAATGGTGTGGAAGACAATTTATACTACCGAGAGTTTTGCCAAAAGCAGGGTAAAGACAAGAGATCTGGACATATGATTAAAAAGTGAACTTTTATGGAAGATTTGGACATAAGTGGACTATTAAAAGTGCAAGTTATAGAGCGCTAATTATAACAAAATATTCAGATGTAGAAGAGAAAAAATGTTATAATTTACCAGCAAAAAAGATTTAAAGTGCAGGAATAAAAAAAACCGAATCAGCTAATCAAAACCTTGCTATCAGAGTAAATTATGCGCGAATGTCGGTAGCTTCAAAAGCAATGGATAATCAGTAGTTTTTACAAATCATAGATTAAAGTATCACCATTTTGACAGTGCAGTTAATATTTAATAAAAAAAATAAGATAAAAAAATAAACGTACCTATTAATTTTGGATCTCCAATTAAAATTGAGTTAAAAAAAAATATCAATATATAATTGGCACTTTCAATGCTAATATGTATTCTATATAAGTATTAGTGAATTTATCATAATTTACATATTCGTATTTCGAAAGTGCTTTTGGTCAAATATCACTTGATAATGTTAACCGATTAGTAGAGTCATTTTGATTTTTTTTATGAAACTAGCAAATGGTACAAAAAGCATATAAAATATACTAAATAGCATAACTGACTTAGTAAAAGAGTACTGCTTTTGTATGATAATTTATGGAAGATAGTCAGAGGCGAATAGGCTTCCCTTTCAAACTCACCCTTTAGGTAATATCCAAAACAAATTTTTATTATTTTTATCATGCACAGTATAGCCTATATAAATATAGAAAAATCCTATCGAGAAGTGTTGAAGTCTTTATTACCAATTAACCGAGAAAGTTTAATATCTTATATATGTGTTGATAGAATTAAAATTTGACCATCAAAAATATTGTTTAACGTGAATTTAGAATTCAAGTTAAATCAAATCGTATCGAAATAAATGTTAAATGTTCGTAGTCCTTTGGGTTTAGCTGAACAATTTAGAAAATAGAAAATATTAAGTATTTAGTTAGAATTTTTATATTTTATATTTAAATAAGAAAACACTAACAAAATATTATAACGCACATAAACTTTACTCGTGGATTTTTTTTTTGCCCAACACCGAGTTATTAATATCAACCTGCAAGTAGACTCAGTTATTTTCAAGGTTTTCCATAAATAATTTATTTATAAACATGGTAATGTGTTTGGCAAGTTACCTATCTTCAAATGGTTAAGGTGAGGCTTCAGCCTTACTCTACAGCTCTACCGAAACTTGTTCTCTGAATTCAATTAGCATTTTCATGGGGCTTCAAAGGACAATAATTATATTATTATTACAATTAGTAATAACGTGATTTCTTCACTCATCATATAATTAAAGTAAAACGGTTTAACTATCATTTTCTATAAGTACCTGTTATTGAATCTATGACTTAAAATTGATGCCTGTATCAATCTCTAGGTCTGTAATTTGTAGAATGACGTTTAATTAGTTACAAATAGTTAAATAAAAAACGCTGAACAACTATTCGCTTATGTTAGTAAATTTTATGATTTATGGGTACACAAATACACAACATATGGCTAATAATGGTAGGTATTTCCAATTTGTTTTATGTATACAAAATATGAAAGTATATAAATATAAATTATAAGTGTAGCTTTTTTTAAATAAAGTTAGCATATAATAGCCACTTTATATTTTATTTACAAGTTACAATATGTATTAAAGAGTATATTGGAATTAATTTTGCTTTGTTTTGGAAGGACTTTGGAAGTCATTGATAAAAATTAACATCAAGTACAAATAAATTTAATGATGGATCAGCGACGGAAGATTAAGAGTGAGAGATAATGAGAAATAATGCCATTGTATAGTTTTACTTTTCAATGAGCGATTATTTATTTATCCCAGTTTCCAATAAGTATCATTATTTCAGAATACACATTCTGAGCAAAATTGTGGTAATTATAATTTGAAAGGCTGTAACAGTTTGTTTTGTTTTACAATCTACAGTTATTAAATAGTTTAAGTTAAGTCAGGCGTTAGGTGTTAAGTACACGGTTAGGTTATGTACATATGTGAGTGTAGAAATTGCATACCTTTTACTCCTTAAAAAGTGATCACTGATTACCAATCGATAACAGCTAATAAGTATTACAAGTTATAACCATGAAATACAAATGTTATACAACCAAACAACAATATAGTGTGTAAACAATAATTTAGAAAAATAAACACAACATGCACTATATAATGTGTATAGATAACCATCCTTACTCGTCATCATTCGCATTACGCCATCATTATAATAATTATTTCCCAACACGAATAATACATACTAATATACCTTATTCATTATAATATGTGCTCATTACAGGATGAACATAAATCATTGAAATGAAAATCGGTCTAAAAATAGTTATTGTTAAGAGTATTATCTTATGGTTTATTTTTTAATTATCGATTATCAAGAACATTCTAAAATTATAATTTACACACACACTCAGTACAAATATGCGATTACGAATAATTACAAAATACACAACCAACATTAGGTTTACCAATTAATTATTATATTTTTTTTAATCTTTTGTGTAAATGATAATAATTGATTGATAGTAGTAGATGTACGTGTGTATTAGTTTTCAATGACTGTAACAGAAAATGAAAATATTACTTTTTGACGTAGGCATATTTCATCATATCAATTCATTAGTTGTTTTTTACATTGTTTACCTTTTGGGTTTTCTCAGATTTTATCGTTTAGAACTTTAGCTCGTCATTGATTATAATATAAATGGCGTTTTCTCAAAAATTATTATTTTTAAATGAAATAAATATTTTATCGGTTGCTTCTAGTTTGTACATAATATTATGTTGTGTTTTTTTTGGTCAACGTATATTTTAGATGTTAATAAATAATGTTGTTTTTTTACCAAAAAAGTCGTGGTTACATTCGTAGTAATATTATAGCGATCATAAATCACGGATCATATCCGTGTTTTGTGACCTATTGTGTATAAATTACTAAGTTATTTTTTTTATTATTAGGTATATTTACATGTATAAACATTAAACACAATAATGTTATTCAACATATTTACACATCTAATCTATGCACAATGTATTGTAAACTAGTGACAACATAACCGCTATTGTTAAAAATATACACAATTATATTATTGTTCAACATTATTTAGGCACAGGGCACTATACAATCACTGGAAGATGTGCCTCTATCTAAAGATAGGCATAGATAGGACACCTGTCGGCTATCACCTCTACCTTTGCACGTTTTCATGTCAAAAAGTACTACCGTTTTTTTTTGTAAATTTGTTTATTTGTTTTCAAATTAACATAATATTATACGGCATACTACGTATTAAAGTTACATATTGTATTTGACGAGACCGTACTATAAAACGGACTTTATGCTGATCAGTTATTATGATGAGATGTTCACTATCGTCTATCACATTATAATATGTTATGCAATGTGTAATTGAACACTATGAATGAAGCGATTCCAATAGTGGGGGTATTGTTTTGGTTCGAGAGACGGATAGTAGTAATAATATTAAAGTTTCATAATAATACATGGATCATTCATTGTCATAATATAATGCAATCGCAGTACAGCATTACGTAGATAGTAAAAAAAAAATTTAAAAAAAATCTAATTACACGACTCGAGGAAACCGTACAATTTATGCACAAAACCGATTATGCAATACTTTTTTTTTTATACTATAAAATCGATTTTTTAAGCTCAACCTATTGCAAACGCACGGCGCTCAAAGTAAAATAAATATTTACGAGGACAACACTGTTTCCATTGAGATCCGACCGTCATTTTATTGTATAGTTTATAAACATATAAGTTGTTTTTATTATTAGTTATTACTTCTACCATACTTACAAGTAAATATTGTATACAACAACTACATAGTATAATATGTGTAGTAAAATGTAAAATATGTAGTACACTATTGTAACGTGGTCGAGTAATTCAATACACTTTAGTAGGACATACATTTGATTCTCGTATATAATATAATATTTTAGACTAGGAATAATTGTATTTACCACCTATGAATAAGTTTAGATTACAATATAACCTTCAATTTATATATCAATAATACGAAGAATAGGTACTAATTTTAGTAATGTCTTATTTTTCTCAGAATTCTTGATATTATTTTCAACGTCTATTTAAGTTTTCTAAAATGGAAAGGTATGCATTTATAAAGTATCCGATGCAGTTGTACCAATTACCGGTCATAAAGTGTAGAAAGTAATTTATTCTATAAACTAAAGGATTTCACCACATTGCTCAACTCAACACGCATTAGTAGTATATAGTGTTGAACATTTTCACCTTCTGCATAGTTTAAAAGATACCTAAATCAACAGCTATCCGCATACCTTACCTTTGTGTGAAGGACAAATCATCCCCCTTCTTTTTTGAGATCTAAAAACTGAATGAAAACATTTTTAATTTTCTATTTGAATAAAATTAAATACATTTTAGAAAATTATTTTTGAACGTACAACATACGCTGAAAATACCATAAAACTGCCGAACCTTGGTCATCACCATTTGTAACAAACATTTTTTAGTACTCATAATGATTTTTTTAAACTCCTAGAAAATGTCATGAAATTTTTATGAAACCTTTCACTCGAATAACTACAAAATTATTGAATTCAGAAAAAAAATCGGATTTCACCAATCGAAAGAACGTTACAATTAAAATACTCTTGAGAATCAAGTTAAGAAAAAAAAATATACTTTAAAATAAATTTAAAACATTTAGGCGATTTCCATTAAGTGACAAAATCTCTAATGAACTATTAAAAACTACAAACGAAGACATTTTATTTAAAAAGGAGTAGTCCAACTTCAAATACGGGTGTGGCACTGGCCAGTGGCCACAATTGACCCTTCTCCTTAAACTTGATCTAGGGACTTAGATCTTAAAGTTGGAGTCCTTCGTCCCCCCCCGTGTAGTTGAAATTGTTTCAGTGGTTACCAATTTACAAACCGGGACGTTATTTAAATATAATTATTTAAAATAAAAATATATTTGATTTATTCGAATAATAATTATTTTTCAAAATGTTGATTTTTTTTATAAATATCCACGCTCATTATATAAATGCCCATTATTTACAATTTACGAGCAATAGTAAATAATAGATAATTTGTTATTATTCATAATATCCAAAAGGGGGGAATTTATTCGTTAGTAATTTCAGTAAAGCTGGTCTGTAGCCAATCAATAATTATCGTCAGTTGTATACTTGTATACAGTATACTAGTAGATCACGGTATTATATTAACATCTATATTATTTTGCGGTGTTTACTATATATTACAGCTATAATCTCGTCGACAGTAATAATTTCCAATCGATTATTTCTGAAACATCGATACGTCCATTATTTATTATTATTATTGTGCTGGTGAAACGATTGGCGAGTTGTGCAATAGAATACTGTCGAAGCAGACAGTCGTTTTTATGCCGTCGCCGTAGCATATCGCATCTCGTGAGTCCAGTTAATGTTGTGATAGTGCCGTATCACGTGTGAACTGTGGTAGTGATAAGCGCGCCAAGAACAGGAATTATAATATTATTCTTTTCCTTCTCATTCCTCTGTAATTATTCTCAATGCGGCTGTGTTATGTAACCGGTCGAATGAGTGTACAGTAATATAGGAAAAATTTACAATGTGTGTTTCTTCGAATAGCCGTTGAACGCTGTATGTACCGTGAATGTGTTTTTTTATTTGTTGCTAAAACGGATTAACGTTTATAATATCATGCCCCTTTGAATTTTTCAGACTATTTATATCTTATACGATTAACAATTGTACTACATGGATTATTCACTGCCGATAAAACCGTCGAAAATACACATCTTCTGGGAAGCTTATTCGAATAGTACAAAATCGATCGAGGGAAACGCACTGAAAAATGATTTTGTGAGTAATAATATGTATAATATTATCAATACTATATTATAATATTTCCTACAAATATCTCGTAATATAACATCACTTATACAATGGGCAGTGTTTATGATTGATCTTAAACCGGTAGAATAAATAATAAAGTGAACCAATAAAGTCAATATTCTATTAAATAACACTGTTAATAATTTTATTTATTTTTTTATTTTAGAAAATCGCTTGGTTTGACTTGTTGCTCTCTGAAATACTATTCGTCTATGAGAAGACTAAAAAAATTCCAGAAGACATCCCTAAAGGAAAGTGAGTAACAAGTAAAAAATATTAATAGTTGAATAGACAGATACTACAATGTTGAGTGCATGGTCTTTATTTTTTTTATTCTGAAGATAAATTTAGTCGTGTATAATAATATTAAGAAGGCTCAATGTTAGGAGTAACATTCTACATTTCTCTACAATATTATTTTAAATCACCCTAAGACAAGGGTCAACAATAGGCGGCCCACGGTCCGAAACCGGACAGTGGAGGGGAAATTAATGGACCGCTAAAAATATTTTACTGTTTATTCTGTTTTTATAAAAAAATAAATAAATTTATTAATTCATATTTAAGTATTTTCTGGATATAAAAATTTTTTTTTATTAAAATTATCCGGACCTCCTTAGAAACTAATGCCAACCCCTGCCCTAAGACTTCACTCAAAACCAATTTTTACGATTCTAGAGCTGCTTTTTTTGCAATATGTAGTCAGTGACGGTCCCTGTCATTGGCCCAATTAAACTTAAAATTTATGCTGTCGTTTCAACGTGTGTGAAAACTGGTATAGCATAGATCCAACCTCTAGAAGTCATTCCTTAAAATTAATTTTCTGTTATTTCAAAGTATACCCAAGATTAATCCTATTATAATAAATAAATGAGCCTATTAGAATAGTCAGATTTTTTTAAACATCTTAGAAAGTGATTGCATTTTAGTCTTTATTTTTGTATAAAATTTGGGTCTTTCAATCCTTTTTTTAGTAAATCCCCAATTGAAAAAAATATTTGTTTTTGATATTGCTTGAAAGTTTGTTAATATTCCAATATATAACTATTATTATGTTTTGGAAGATATTAAATGTTTGAAAAATAATATTAAACAAAATGTTATCAATTAAAATATAGAAAATATTATCATAATGCTTAAATATAAGAAATATTTTCTTAATATTTAAACAACATGGTTTAAATAATAATTTTTAGAACACTTAATTCAGTAATACATTTTAAAAAGCTAGTAACTGTTTTTTTTCTATATTAAATTTAATTAATTCTATTTAGTTGTAAATTATATCAGCTAAAAATGATGTCGTTAGATTTATGTTTTCTATGGAAATATATTATTATATTTAATCACAAATCTTTTTATAGTTCTGTCTTATTATTTTGTTATTTCTTGCGTAATTAATTATTCAACTAAAATTAAATTAGTTCAAAAAGTTGATAAAAAAAAAAAAGGTTTGTACATTTATAAATTACAGTTCACAATTGATTTAGTTATTTTTTATAACTGTTGTAATATTTGAGTCGTAATACTGTTTTATGAACAGCTTATAAAAATAGTAGTTGTGTGTAAATGACCTTTTCACATGGGTCCATAGTCCTAAAAACAACAGCCTAACTATCAGTTCCAATTTTAGAAATGTCATAAATTGTTTTCAATATTGTAGATACTTTTTTTTAACGTAATTTTGGTAAATGAACTATGTATTACGTACTATTGATATCACCAATATAAATAACTTCACGTCCCAAATTACTACAACTAACTTATATGTGGCCTAGTAATGGTATCAGCCTATTGTTTTCATTGTGTTCAACAACCAAAATTGTGTGTTGATTACAAGATGTATATTTATTTTTATAAATTACATTTCATGGATGACCTTATTAAACTCATAATATTTACTTTTTTCTTTTAGTATGTCAAATGCATTAGTCAATCAATTATTGTCCGATATCGATCATATATGCTCGGTTTCTGGAGAAGAAGATTTTTCTTGTTTAAAAAAATATATTTTAAATGATCGAGGATGGAGATGTCTTACTGTTTTACATTTACTAGGCACACAAGTAAATTATTATTAAAGTTAAAAAATACATTTTAATGCTTTCAAATTTTTATGTGCTCTTTTTTTATTTTTATTTTTAGGATGTTCAACAATTGAAGGAATTGGCCAACGTTTTAGTATCAATGTATAATATATTTAATGACGAATCCGATAGTAAGGATATAAATCATGATGTAACACTGACAAAAGATAATCCGTACATGCTTCCGTCTGACGAGTTCAACCTAAAGCTAGATGAATTGATCAAACTTACTAAATTCCAAGGTGTAAAAACAAAGTCTAAAAACTCTGGCAGATCAAGTCCGAGTGTACCTAGATCCCGTCGCGTTAGCTCTGTGTCAGCAAATAGGTATGTCATAACAATATTAGTAGTAGGTATACTAACGTAAAAAAGCCAGCATTTTTGGAAGGTAAGGTTAAGTCAGAAATGATTGAGTATTGAGAAAAGTATTAAATAACTTATAAAAAAACTGTTATAAAACTGTAGATTGTAAAAACCATTTATTAATCATTTTTATAAATAAGAAATTTTGTTTACAATTATATTGTTGGATTTTTACATTGTAGGTTTTTCTAAATAAAAAAAATTGTATTTCTTTTGTACAGGTTTAAAAATCAATCCATTGAAAATAATGACAAGGGGAACGATGTTGCAGAATCTAGTGAATCAGAATCTCATACTGTTTCTGAAATACCCAAGTCGAGCACACTACGAATTCGTTTCAACCCTATGGATTTTGATTATTTTACGTCTATTGTGCGTAGTGAAGATGAACAAGAGTACGATAACAATGAAGAAAAAAGCTCCGTAAAAAGAAAAACTTTTTATCCCGGCTATTTTTTCGATGATCGTATAAAGACTATTACTACCTGTACGACAACTCCTAGCAAATTGAAACTATTAGTACTTGATTTGCTTACACAGATATTATCGAAAGGTGCTCAAACCCAATTTAATAAATGCACGTTAAAGAGTAGTCACCAATTTGTACCGTTCATTGTGATGAAATTTTCTTTGGACAATATTTCCCTGTTGCAGTTCGATCCGTGTAACTTATATGATGACAAAATACAATCCAAAATGTTGTACAACATGGTTTTAGCTGTAAAACAACTTTATCAATACCCGAATATCAGTGAAACAATCACACAAGAAGGTATCGTGCCATTGCTGTTGCAGATTTTAGAAGGTCTGGTGACCAAATCCAGAGCTTATGAAATAAAAGAACATTCCTGCCGTCAAAAAATTCTTTTCGGAGTTCTTTGCGCCTTGTTAATGATGTACTCGCTGATGTTGTTTGAGTGTTATTCATACAATAGTCATTTTCATTTTTTAAAGCACATTCGTGTAATGCTCGACTGTCAACGTGGGAAGTTGATAGAAAAATGCATTTCGGTAATGCTTAACGTGAGAGGAAAAGAGCTTTGCAATGAACATATTAAAATTGTCGTAAACCTACTGGGTTTGTTGGTGTTAAACATGAAAAAAATAAGACAGCGTATGGTACACGTTCAGGACTGTAGTAAAGTTCGACACAGGCATTGTAATAAATTAATGATGCACCATCACGATAAACTTTTTGGAGAAGTTTACGTGAGCAGTTTAGTTTCGTCTCAAGACACTAGTCAGAACTGCTGCGTTACGTCATTATCGTTGATTCTCATTCGCCTAATGATAAATTTAGAGAGCCCCGACAAAGAATTATGGTTTTACCTCGCCAAAACTATTGGTGTTGCGGGAACGTGTTGTTGTATACCCCTGTCAGCAGTTTTACCGAAATTGTTGAAAGTAGTTGGTGAAAACGATTTCAAGAAGAGTTCCATGGTGTTGCAACTTTTAGAAAAAACATTATACAGAGACGCTGGCGCCGCGTACAAAGACGTCGCTTGCAAGGTGTGTGATGATGAAAACAATGGTACAATATCATATGAAAAGAGCAAAATTAAAAAAGAACAAAGATGGTTGACTTTTGAATTGTTCAGAAAACTGTTAATTGGGCCGAACTTAAAATTGTCTTATGCCGTTGGGCAGCATTTATCTAAAAATGCTCCTGTATTTATAAAAGATGTTCAACATATATTGTTGTTTCGAATATTTTATCCTGTGTTCAAAGCGAGTGAAAAATCATATATAGAAAATAAAAATGATTCCGATCGTTTTCTGTTGAATGTATCGCTGAACGTATTCAACATACTATTAGTGTCTTTGGATTTTACGTCAGAATTTGATTCGATGAACGGAGTCAAGTACATAAAAGATCTAATAACCGATCCGGTGTTTACTAAATTGGCGTGTAGCGTTTTAGAAACAAAAATAATGTCAAAAATGTGGACTTTAAATCAAATAAAATCTACTCCCATCATAATAACGGACACCCAAGCTGAAGATTTGAACGTCATTGTGAATGCAGTGTTTAATTTAGTAGAGTTATTCTGTAGCTATGTGATGAAGCCTCATTCGATAGAGATAAATTTGAAATTTAAGTACAGTCTTTCAGTTTTGGCGGATATATTACAAGATGAAATTGCATTTGATTCTGTAAACAAGTATAACGACTATAATAGCGTCATATCTAGATTGGGAGATTTATTTCAATGTTTGGCTAGACTTTCGTTGACGTGTCCAAGAATAAGAAGTTATTTACAAGTATCGTCCGTCATACATCAATATGACACGCTCTTATCAATTGTATCTTTACTTTTGATTAGACCTATAATTGTGGAAGGTACGTTATATTTTTATAGGGGTTTTTTTCCAAATGCAATAAATTTAATATATGTATTATAAGTGTCTTATGTTAAATGTTGATTTATGATTTGTAGGTAAAATTGAAGTAGCGATCGAAGACAAAAACGTTATGAACTTGAAACTAATTGAATGTTTATTGGTGTTAAACCTGTCGATTTTTGAAAATAAAAGTTAGAACCCAATGAATCATTTTTTATTTAAAATAATTATTTGGTTAAAAATGTATTGAATAGTCTCTGATTATGAAACAATTTTTTTAGTTACTTTGGATTCCCACGTAAAAGACTTGTTAATAGAAGCATTGTCTAAGGGCCATATTGGAATCAAACAAGTTTGCAGCTCTTTGATAAGGTGTGCTACAGTATCTTCCAACCGACACAGGAATTCTTTAACGACAGGACTGTCATTAACAAAGGTAAATATATAATTTAGAAATACTTAATTCCCCTCATTTATCAATTGTGTCAAAAATATTGTTTTAGTTGTTAGACACTGAAACACCGACTAAAACGGAATGGATGCCATTTGAAGATGATGACGATTTTAATTCAGGAGATGAAGGTTACGATGCTGATATTGAATTTCAGAGTTGGATTAATATTGATTCTTCTGATAAGTAAGTGTATACAAAGTGTTTAGTAGTTTTTATATTGTAATTGTCACACGAATGTAGAAAAAAAATTAATGGAATTAGTGAAAATGATTGAATAGATTTTAAAATATGTAATTTTTTTTAGGACTGCAGACGAAGTAATTTGTCATAAAATTTTCCATACAGATTCTAAAAAACTGAATATCATGCATCCTGCTTTATGTACATTGGCCGTAGATTTAATGACTTTTGCCAGGTAATGTTTGTGTTATTGTTATTATGTAATGTAATATGATGCATTTAAAAATTGAATTGTTCCAAATAGAAACCTTGATAATTTGGAAGGAATTATTTACTGTTTACAAAGACTAATCGCAATTTGTAAAGATAACAACGAAAGCTGTATAAAACTCGCAAAAGAAGGACTTATTGCTAAACTATTAGGTTGTATTAAAGAACATATGGCCAACTCAGACAACGTCGAGCTTTGTTAGTTTTATTTGATTGCTTAAGTAAAACATATGCAATTCATATTTATGTTGTTTTTTTATACAGACGATACAATTTATATTTATATGATGGAACTAATTGCCTTGATGGCTTGCCACCACATTGAGAATCACGAACTTCAAACATACTTAGAAATGTTTAAAATGAATAATCCGTCGCTAGTAAGAAGAGATATTTGATGAATAGATTATAATGGATAACAAATCTAATATGTATGTTTTATTTTATTTTGTTTAGAAATTGGTACTCCTACCATTGACATACTTGCTAGATCATATATCAGTATTGTGGGAACCGCACTACAGTATTAAATTTCCAGCCAATGTCATATCAGACATACCGATCAGCGATAGACCAGCAGAAGCCTTAGCTATTTTAACTCGAGAAAATCATAAAGAAATGAGTAAGTAATTGGGTTATTAATAACATGCAGTATGGTCTGTAATATGATACTTATATATCAAGTATTTCACAATAATCTAACAGAATTGTTTATAAAATATGTCACTGTGTCAAATCTGTCAGATTATCATTATACATTCTGTGGCAAGGAATATAAATAATAGTGATGGGCACACAATGGACTAATTCCCACCTAATTAGTCAGAGGCAGTACTGTGTAACTAATGTAGTTTTACATTTTTTACTTATTAATTGATTTACAAATAACAAATAAGTTATTTAACTAATGACTAGAATGTGAAGAGTGATTTATATCTAATGTCTAAAGAGTAAGGAAATCAGAAAAGAAGAAAACAAATTTATAAAAGTTTATAGAAAAACTATAACTTACTATAAAAGCAATTATATTGTGCCAATATTGCGTTATTGAATTTTTAATTGGTAAACCAAATAAGTTGACTAAATTAATGAATCAGTTTACTAATCATAAAATTATCGATTATCAATGACTAAATTAAGTTATAATCAACAATTATATTTGGTAGACTTATCTATAAATAGGTTGACTAATACTCTTCTAATTAGTTAGTCTTGCAAAATTATTCGACTGATTATAATGATAGTTACATTATATAACTAATAGTCAGTAATTAGGGGTGGAAAACTGACTAGCAGTCATTAATTCAAATAGTCTATTCTACCCATCACATTATTCAGGAGGTTAGCCGATGTAATTCTTAACAATATGCTTATTAAGTCAAAGATATTAGTGACATAAGTAATAATTGTTTTGTTACAAACTGATAAATTATTTATTATTCTTTGTAGGACTATTAACACCTTGGTCAGTTTTTGCATTGAGTTTGCCTATAAATACAGATCTAGGATGGTCTATATTTTCAACAGGATTTTCACTGTCATTGTGGCTTCATATCGACCATGTGCATAAATGCCCAAATAGCAAACTTAACAGCTCGTCTGAATCTATTGGGAAAAGTAATTTTCTTTAAATATAATATCACTAAATAAATCAATTAAAACAATTTCTTAAAAAAAATGGTTTCCAGTCCAATATTTTTCCAAGGAAACAAACTCTTTAGACGATTTAACTCATATGCTATCTATTGGATTCGATGCAATGCTTGTTGAGTTTTGGGTGAACCCAAATTCTGATGGACTTGTTGCAAGACTGTCGAGGCCAAATGAAAATAAATTTGATATACTTTCCGAAGCAAATTTCAACAATTGTATAAGTTCGACAGCGTGGCATCATGTCGCTATTAATGTTAATAACATTAAGAAAGGAGAAAAAAACATTGAAGTAAGGGTTTTCTTTTTGTTCATCAAATTATAATCACACGCTACATTTAAAATTTTGTAAATTTTCTAATGTTTTTTTTTTTTTTTTAGATTTCAGTAATAGTAGACGGTTTGTGTGAAAATAAAGCGAATCTCTCATTTAACGGATTTCTCATCAAGAAACCTAGGCCGTCCAATGTCCTCTTAGGCGACACTAGAGATATTGCTCCGCCGATATCCATAGGAAATATAATGATGTTTAGACTTCCAGTATTAACTAAAGAATGCGCGTGTACTTTAGTTGCTTTTGGACCAGACTTGGAAAATTTAGCTGATTGTTCAAACAATTTACTGAAACCCAATTTCAGCATATTGTTTAACGATTCGGTTTATAACTTGAATTCATCGCTAAATTCTAATTTCGACTGGCATCAAATGGCAAAACAATGTTACGAAACTATCAAACCTTTACAAGTACTTTGAATTGAACAATTTATATTTTTATTTTTATTGTTAACGAATAATGATTATGTATTTTTTGATTATATTATATTAGGATGTCATATTATTAAGTTTTACACCAAGGGAACCTCGCACAGTTTGTCTATATTCGCTTACTCTGCCTAATCCAACGGGTAATTTTGTTTACATTTTATAAAAATGTATTAAAAAAACAATAAAAGTGTAAAAGTAATTTTTTTTTTAGGAGCATTATTTCCACCTACGCAGCCGTTGATGTTCAAATTGGCAGTGTACGACTTACGCGCTTGTCAGAGTCCGCCGCAGGTGGTATCCACGGTTATTGTGAGTTCGATTGACGTTTTCGAACCACATGGATTTTTGACTGTGGTCAATAATATTGGAGGAATATCGTTACTCTTATTTTTATTTGCAAGGGTAATTTTGTTTTTTGTTAAATTTATACTAAATAGAGGGCCGTCTCGTAAAATATCGAGGCTAAAAGTATTGTATTTGAAAATCATTATTTTTATAGGTTTTAGAACTTGATTCGTCGAGCGATGACCAAGTCAAAGTGTTGAAAGTTCTATTACACTTTATGCAGGCCGATTCAAAACTTTATTCAGAATTCATAATGCTCGATGGATATAAATTATTAACAAAGGCTCTAACCTCGTCACGAACCCTGCCGAGTTGTTCGATGTTAATGGTATACATTAGTTGAGTAAAATAACTACAAAATATTATTAAATACAATTTGTATTTTTTAAGGTGCTCTTGGAAGCAGGTTGTAACAAAAAAGGAGCATTTGTTCGAGTCAACGATGAATGGACTATCAATATGTTCTACGAAGGAGTATTACTCAACACAAGTTTTATCAAAGAAGTAGTGTTACCGTGTTGGAAAATATGGACCGACAAGGACGAACAATCTATTAAATATTTGTTCAAATTTTTCAAACACCTTCTGTCGTCAAATCACCCACATAGAAAATTTAATTTAAAACAGTTGCAGTCGTCTGAACTGTTAGAAGTGATTTTGCTGCAAATAAAAGTATTATTTCATTTGTTAAATGTGTTTATGATTCTATATGTAATTTTAACTTTGTTTTTTTCTTTTAATTTAGTGTCAATTATTGTTGGAAGATAGTAACGAAACAGCTTTGTCATGTTGCGTTCAGAAGGATTTGGTGGAGTTTGTGCAAAATGTTTTTGATTTGCGAATGAATAAGAATTACTTAACTCTGATATTAGACTTCTTAATCGCCGTTCATTCAGCCACTTGTCTATATTCTCCACATTTCAAACCATCTGTTTATTTTGTTTTAACACCTCAATCAAAAACATTTTCATCACCAGATTATCAAATTTTTATTTCATCAGGTTCGATAGTGAAAATAGTTAAAAATTAAAAACTGTTTTAATTTGTTCATATTTCCTTGTTTAGAATCATGCGAGTCGGACATTAACAAATTGCATTTGATAAATGACTATTCCGAACCAGACTTTTGTAGTTCTATTGATACCTTAAGGTTGAATAATGAATTATTAAAACTTCAGGTAGATTAATTTATTAGTGGTGTATGCAATGTAGTTGCACAATCCGTGGATTTAAAAATAATTACCTCAATTTATCATAATTATTTAGGCCAAACAAAATTCAACAAAAGACGATAAATATTCCAAAACTTATTTATCAAAGGCTAGCGGAGAAACATCAGATAGTAGTGAACACATTATTCCCGAGGAAACTGGCCAGGATTCAGGTATTGATAGCAGTGTGAAAGATGTCGGAATAGCTATGAAACTAACTGACAATGAAACCTCTTGTGATGCTGATGCTTACGAAGCAGAAGTCTACTTTGACACAGAAGTAATTGCAATTAATTATATATACTTACAAACAAAATCAAACACATTTAATACATATATGTATATTTATGTTTTCGGTTTTAGGCTAAATCAAATAACATTAATCAATTTCGATTAACCGATACAAAAAGTAATTGTGAACTCATTGAAGGCTTATTTTCCATATTAAGAAATGCGTTGATCAATATGTCAAGCTCTATTCCGGAAAATATCTTAGACAAAGTGTTCAACATAGAAAAGTTTATTATTCTACTCAACAATCCTAGACCAAGGATTAGAATTATCATTTTAAAAGTAAATACATTTTCAATTTTAGTTGGCTTACAGTTTTGGTAATATTTTAATTCATATTTCAGATATTCAACGTGTTCTTGCAACGTTGTAGTCCGTCATACGCTAAAAAGTTCTCTACTAAACTCAAAGGGTTTTATCAAATGGCCAACGTGTTGGCGTTGCACAACACAACAATAAGTTTAGTCGATACTTGTGCTGCAATGTTCACTGGTAGCTATTGGCTACCTTTGGATGAACAACTTCAATGGGATCAGACTGTTGAGATGGCGTCGCTTAACTTTGCTGCGCTTCCGCTATTGCTATCACTTATACCAAAATCGGCACTTAATTTGACATTGTGTTCGAGTATAGTGAACTTTTTCCTCAAACTCGTAACAAAAGCAAGTTATTTAACTTATTCACTAGTCTGTGTTTACATAATTAGTTTATCTAGATAATTTTTATCTATCTGACAAATTCTATATCATATATAAATAATTTTATTCGCAAATAAAAAACTAATATTTGTTTTAAAACAAAAATTATCCGTAAAATTATTTATTGTTTAACTTTTTACTTTAACTAAATTTTGCTCAACACTGACTATAATGTTGCTTTGTTTACTGTAGATTCCACAAGTTTTGCCTACTATCATCGAGTATGGTCTGATAGAAAGTCTGTTTAAAACTTTATCAATAATAGCATGCATTTACCCATCGTATCAATCGCACACGGAATTGAGTAAACAAGATATACTTGTTGACGATATAAACTCGCTTATAATAACTCTAATTACTTCCGCTATCCACACTCCAGGAGTACAAAATATTCAAGTAAGCCATTTATTTTTGTATATAAAATTATATTTGAGTTTTTATTATAAAACCTAGTTTTTCCATATTACTCATGCTCGTGAACATTTTTCTATCTTATAGATTCTAAATGACGCCGTTTATCAATGTAGATATTTACAAAACACTGAATTACAAACGTCAACAGAAGGGTACAAGTCAAACTTAATTCTGAGAGAAACCCAGCGCTTTATCTTAGAATCTGGAATGGACACTATACAAGATCTTATACAGACACAACCTCCACCAGCTCCCGCATTGACTCGCCTGAAGAAAAATCTCAGCTCGGGTACATTTTAAATATAAGTTTAAAAACTATTTTGAAAAATGTTTTGAAACCAAGTGAATATATGTAATTATTTTGTTATATTTCCATAGTTTTAACATTAAATCACACTAAGGATTTTGTTGTCGAGCCTTCCATGTCTGCTAGCGAATCGAGTTTGTTTAGTGTTGCTTCCCTTTATTACCGTCAGAAACCTTTATCTCGGGCTGAGCTTGTAGAAAGATACAAAAACATTATCAATCGGTCTGTTGAGTTTATTTTTGCCCCAAGTGAGTATTGTAGTCTATTGCCAATATTGTCATAGATGTAATAATTGTCATGTAATAATATTAGACGTTAGCTGTGCTGATGATACCATCCCAGAAGTTCCGTTTGCGTGTCATTTATTCAATATCTTTCTATACAATCTGAGTAGCATAATTCAAAGTACTCGTGAACAGAGACAACATCCGTGGGTTTCAATTTATGGCGCCGCTCGTGATCTTATAAGGTAGTTATGGAGATTTTAAAATTTTGCCACTGTGTATGACATGATTTCAAACAATAATTTTCTGTTCTAGGTTGCAAGCTGCCAATTTGTTGGTTTGGCTTTTAAGCCCTCAGCAAACGAATAGGATTCGCTTATATGCCGTGGAATCGTTAATAAAAGAAATAAGAACAAAAGATTTTTATAAAAATATAATTTACATTAATCCACAAGTATGATTATATTGTATAAAACAATTATTGTATAATTTAACAGCGGTTGTTGATTATGTACTTGATTTGTATACTTGTTTTTATTGTAGACTGAACAACGGTTTTACATGTATTTGTTTTCACTAATAAACGCCAAGTTGCCGACGCCATTAACCGAAGAAGAATTGTATAAATGTGAAGTTTTAAAAGAAAATCTCATAGAGTTTGAATTGTTAACTAACGAAAGCAACGGCATGGCTTACGAAAAAGAATGGGAGGTACAAATCGATTCTGTCGTAGAAACTATGAACTTGGAATTAAACGAGATGTACGCCAGTCAGAAAAACAATATTATCAAGTATGTCCATAAAATTATTAAAATATTAAATGTACAAATAACTCATCGGCAGTGTTTGTATTTAATAGAAGCGTTTGTAAATGGGATAACACGGTCAAGTCGATTTGTAATGCAGCTTTATTATTGACTACTCGTTTGTCCGAAGAACAGAATTCCCAACGAAAACGGCTATTAGAAAAAACAAAAGAAAACTTCAGAAATACAATTCAAGCTACATTACGTTGGAAATCTATTATCAATCAAATGTCCCACGAAAAGGCACCCTGGTATTTTCCAAAGTCTTATCCAACGTAAAAAATATACCTCGTAAATAATATTTAAACAAAACAAGTGCAAAGGTTATACAAATTTTTTTTTTTTTTTCAAAATTCAATACAATTTAGATCGTGGGAACTTAACCCAACAGAAGGTCCCAACAGAATGCGAAATCGTCTTCAACGGTGTCATCTCAAAATTGCAAAAAGATTTATCAAGCCAGAATTTTCTCAAAAAGTCGGTTAGTGCTTTCTCAATACACTTTTGTAAAAATCATTAGAATTTAATTCGAAAATTAATTTTTGTATAATTTCTTCAGAAAAGGATACAGTTAAAGGGCCTTTGGAATATTTGATATCAGATAATTTAGAAGTGCCCGTGTCGTCGGCAGTAGTCGAGAGTTTGTTATCGCAAGAAAAAATATCGTACATGAGTACTGCTAAATTAGTACTTCTTTGGGAAAAAATTAAATGTGAAGTCCTCGTTAGTGAACATTCTATCTATATTGTCCCAATTGCCGGATCTCAGAATGTAAGACCATAAACAAAATAGTTAAAAATAGTTTAATTTTTTTTTTATATTGTTATTGTAGACCGTTCAAAATGATTATTCGCACGTTCTTAAGTTTGACGAAATTAAGGAAATACACAATCGTCGTTATTCATTAAAGGAAAGAGCCATAGAGATATTTCTCATTAATGGAAAAACATTTTTAATCGCTTTTCATTCTCAACAGGTTTGTTTTTGTTCTGTCTTGACAGTTTTGGTTTTAAATTTAACTTGTGTGTTAAACATTGTGTTTTTATTCTCAGGAAAGAGATGAATTTAGTAACTATTTATTGAATTTTCCAATGTCCAATCGAATTACCAGTGAAATACTCAGCGAGACAGTAAATTTATGGAGGACAAGACAAATTACCAATTTAGAATATCTAGGTATTCTGAACAAGATGGCTGCACGTTCTTATAACGATTTAATGCAGTATCCTGTCATGCCTTTTGTATTAGCCAGTTACAATGGCAAAGAGCTAGATCTAAATCAAATGTCTACTTACAGGTAATGACAATGTAAAATATAGTAATTGTGATAAGTTTTGTTTAAATTATTTTGTACATTAGAGATTTAATGCGACCAATGGCAATACAAAACAAGAAAAAAGAATCTCATTACATTCAGCATTACAATGTAAGTTGACAGTTTTATTACTTTTTAACTATAGGTCCCATTTAAGTTACAGACAAAATTTATATTCTAATTCTTAAAAAAATAATGTTTTATTTTCTAAAATACAACATGTTTTATTGTGCGATTCAGTAAAATAGATTTTTCTGAAAGCTATTTTTTTTCATAAGAGTATAAAATGTGGGTTTTGCCCGGACCTTCTTTCAAACCCCTTTTTTAAAATGTGTTGTTCAATCTCATTATTTTTGATTTGCCAGTATTTGAAAGAAGAAATGCATCGATTCGGAACTGATCCTCACCACTACAGTTCACATTATAGTAACTCTGGAACGATACTTCATTTCTTAATTAGAGTCCCACCTTACACTCAAATGTTCATCAAATATCAAGTACGTAATAATTGTTTCTGATGTTATATTTATTATTTGTTAGTTAAACAAGTAAAAAATGAATGGATATTTTAAGGATAACAACTTTGACGTACCTGATCGATCGTTCCATTCTATGGAAGTCACTTGGCGTTTATCGTCCGATGAATCGACCACGGACTTAAAAGAACTCATTCCAGAGTTTTTTTATTTACCAGAAATGTTCATTAACTTTGAACAGTTAAATTTTGGAACAAAACAGTCCGGTGACGTCGTCGATGATGTACTGTTACCTCCTTGGGCTCAAAACAATCCTAGGTTATTTGTATTAATTCATAGGTATGTAAAGAAGTGTTCAAATTTGTTTGTTATTTGTTTGTTTGAAATATGTGTTTTACTATTTTTAAAGGCAACTATTAGAATCTGATATTGTTAGTGAAAACTTGCCTCATTGGATAGATTTGATATTTGGTTTCAAGCAAACCGGTAAAGCTGCGATCGACGCAATCAATGTATTTCATCCTGCTACCTACTACGGGTCACACATAGAAGAAACAGACGATCCACTAGCGAGATCCGCATTTAAGACTATGGTAAATACCTATGGCCAGACGCCAAGACAGCTTTTTCGTTCACCACACCCAATGACGGTTGATGATTATTCTATGAAAAACTTGACCAAAAACACTAGTTGTCCAAGTGTTATATCGGGTAATTATAATTGACACATTCATAAAATATTATATGCAAACTCCAATAAAATACATTTATGTAAACGTTTCAGGCGTAAAGAACTTGAAATGGGGTAACTACGTCGGTTCTCCTGAAGAATACGCTCCAAGTTGTATTTGGAAAAGCCAACATAAGACTCCGGTTTTTAATTTCTTACCGCTGCGTACTAACGATGTTTTCGGACTGTCTAATAATTCAGCGTTAATTTTGACATATTCTAAAGTAATTGTAATTCATATATTTCTCTTTTTACAAGTACAGGTTTTGTTGTCAATTTAAGTTGGAGTCTTTTGTGTATTTAATATTTAATTAATAAGAAACCCTATCCACAATAAAAACAATTATACGCAGTTACCCGTATTTCGACAAATAACAGCCGACTGCTGTTAGTGCTGATAATGGAAACATAAGTGTTTTTTTATTTTTTTATTGTGGATATGGTTTCTTATTAAATTAAATAAGTTTTGTCGTTCATCGTAACCAAATTTTTTATTTTAATCTACAGGAGAAATCATTGACATTACTAAATGAAGGTGTTACAATAATGGCTGTAGCAATATTGTCGTGGAGTCATGCTGACGGCTTAGTACGTATTAAGCAGCGCAAAGAAGCACCGTCTAGACCGGCTTTAAAATTCTTCTCGGGTGATATAGTCAGTACGATCGCTACAGCACCGCATTGTCCATACATTTGGATTGGCTTCAAGACTGGTCTCATCCATGTGTACAAGTAATTAATAATGATTTCTTACTGCACATTATAACTTTTTTAAAAATCCAAAACTAGTACTACCGATATACTGTAGACAAAAAAAATCGTTAACCTATTTCCTAATAATTTGTATTTTTAACAGTTTTTTTCCAGAAGTTGAAAACATTTCCAGGCCGATATTTACATTATTTCTTATAACTAGTAGTGTGAATTTTGGCTTAGTAATGTTTTCTATGAATTGCATTCAAATCACTTTCATAACTATAATATTTTCTAAAGACTTGTGACTTCTCTGACCCGCCCCCCCCCCCCCACTGTGCTGGCTTTTTGATTTTCAATTATTTAAACATAATTAATATCTGAAAAACTGTCATAGATTTTATTTCGATACTACTGCTGGAAACGTAATGATATATAACGAACCTTTCATTCTTGTTGGACATCAAAGTGAAATTTCATGCATTTCCGTAAATCCAGCTTTTAGCGTTGCCGTGAGTTGTGGAAACGATGGCTCGGCAATTCTTTGGGATTTAAACAGTCTTACGTATGTGCGATCGTTACATCCAATGGATTATTCAGTAAGAAATTTGCGTTAATCCCTTTGTACATTTTTAACAGACGCTTGTAAAAACGATTGTCGATTTTTGTTTTAGATTAATTTAGTTACAATAAGTGAAACACTGGGTGATATAGTGACGATCGCCTATAATGTGAATACTGAAAAGTCTATTATGACTCTTCAAACGATAAACGCCTCTGTTGTCGGAACCGTAGCCAGTGATAAAAAAATTACAGCTGTATGTTTTTCTAACGCACCCGAAGGTATCTCAGTGAACGTCATAGCAACCGGATTGGAAGACGGAAGCGTCAAGTAATTGTTGAGGAGGGGCAAATGGTACCTATGTACTAAAAATATTAAAATATCAATTGTTTACAGGTTATATAGTACGTGGGATTTAACTTTTGTGAGTGAAATACCGATTAGCCACTTTGATGGTGCTATAATTGCGTAAGTTAGCTTTAATAATAACGCATATTAGTGGTGCAAAATGTTAAAAAAATGTTTAATCTTCTAGGATTATTTATTCAAACGATTCTCAACACTTATACATGTCTTCGGAAGGCGGTACGGTAACTATTTGGGGGTCGTTTGGTTCGAAACGAGTCAGTGAAACCCCGAAATTTTTAAACCTCAGTATGCTATGAGAAAGTAAGGGATTGGTTTTTGTATAAAATAGTATTATCATAAGACTGTAATGTTGAACAAAAATTCATTTCTAAACAATTACCTTTACTATAATTTTATAAATATTTCTTTATTGAGTTTACTACTGTAAATATGAATTATTGATAACTAGTCCATATTCCATATTTAAGTGCATTTATTTAAAAATTATATTTTATATTTATACAAATTTGTTTAAGATAGAACTTATCATAGTTTTGTAAATTATTAGTATATATAATTTATGTACTGTTGTGTTAATGTTTTTATTTATACATTTTTTATTATGGTTTTTTTTTTCACTTATAAACTGAGCGTGTATTTTATTGAAAATTTAATAACTCAAATTTTCTTTATATTGACTTATCATTGTTATAATTGGTTGAGTTCCTACTTAAAAATTTTGCAAAATTAATTAAATTTTTTTGTAATAGTAATTTATTTATATTTTTTTAACATAACAATAACTTAAGCGACATCACATTTCCAGCAATAACGTAATTTTTTTAATAAGTCAACGTGATAATGATCGACAGTGCCAATGTGGAAAATATTAAGTATTATTGAGTTGTTATAAACCTTTGTTTTACTTGAAAAAGTATTAATAGTATTTATTTATATATATTCTATATATTAGATAAAAATCTGTAAGAATTTATGTTAGTGTTAATCATATTTTTCAAATGTTTATATTATTTGTTATTTTTATTAAAATGTATGTGTTAATTAATATAATTTATACTATTATAATTTTATAAAAAAAAAATTTGTATTTATAAATTAATATTTACATATGTCTAATCATTGATATTTATTTAGAATGATATTAAATACTATAATAACTGCTATAAGTATATTATATACTGATGACTTGACCATTTTGAAAATAGGTTTTTTTTTTATTTCACTTGTTAATGAATTTTTTTTTTTTTTGCTCAACTATAAAACAATTTATAGTAATAAAAAATAATGAGTTTTTTAAACTTATTTTGAAAAAAGTAAATTTATTTTAGAGATGTTAAAATATATTTCTGATAATTGGCTTACAAATAATAATTTAATTAACAAAACAATATACTAAATGTGCGTATATACAATAATTCATAAGGCCTCTACAATTTATTTTGATTACAATGCTCTTAAAAAAATATATATCTTATTAAATCGTTATTAATTTTATTGACTTTTTTTCTGACTATCAATTTTTGACCTACGGGTTATACAGTAACAACACAATTTGAGTATTTTTTTAAGCAAATATATAAAAATAAATAAGCTTATTAAAATAACTCCGACGACATCGATGAGTAACAATTGAAACCAATTTAAGTTGTTTGCGGCAGTCTTAAGATGATGAGCCCCTTTGTGACGAATCACATACTCGATCCAATAAACGGCTCTATCGACTGGCTTAAGAGGTTGATCTTTAAACCGCCGAGACAATTCTTTGGCATTAACTTGATACCTAGAACAGAGTTGTACATGAATTATTCTAATAATGAATAAGTTACGAATAAAAATAATTATTCAAGAATAACCAAAAATTATTATTTTATAAATAATTTTCTATTCTGAATAATTATTCAAGTAAAAATGTATAAAATAATAAATGCTTCTAAAAAAAAACACTATTATGATTATAACAAATAAACCAACGTTTTATCATTGAGTATCTTAATTAAACTGTCTTCGAAAATGTCTTCTGTTAGTTCGGTGTACTTAATTCGTATCGCTGCTCCTCTAGTTTGCATCATTATAGAGTTATACCATTGATCTCCGAAAATAGCTATGGCCAACATCGGAACACCATAATAAACTGCCTCTACCGTACTGTGTACGCCGCCGTGTGTAATAAAAAGTGTGCAGTTTGGATGTCCGAGTATGTCTACTTGTGGAAACCATTTTCGAACAATCACATTAGCCGGCAGTTCTGGTAAATCGGTCGATTCCCATTTCCATAAAACCGTTTGCTTGAGTTTCCCCAGCTGACGCAAAAACATAGTGACAGTTTCTTTTGGCAAATGCATAGCTTGGACGACAGAACCAAAACTGAAGTACACCACTCCGTTGGGCGAGTTGTCCATTATTTCTTGCAGGTCCTGAAAAGTAATAATAATATTAATTATAATTGCAACTATTTATTTTTGTTTTTTTTTTTTTAAGTAAACACCCATCACACATTTGGCAACGGAGAAGCCGGTTTCAAATGCATTCCGGCGACTTGTACGAATGACGGAACTAGTGGCCGAGGCGATCCGATTGTGAAATGTGCGTTCATTAGTGTTAAAGATATGTTTTTGGTCATTTCTTCCAACGTCGGTCTTGTTTCCCATCCGGTGTAGTTGAAATATTTGTTCATAATTTCGGTTTGTTTAGGCATATAGAATAACGGATAGAGGGTCAATTGAAGGAGAGCGACCAAAACGTTTGTCAGTCGGTCAAAGAACGGCATGCGATCCGTAAATCCAGAATTCTGATCGGGTATGTACGCAGGATGAAAGGGTTGGCTATGCCATTGAGAAACAAAAGCGGTCGGAGTCGCTGGGATTAGTTGTACAACAGGTGCACCGTATTTATGACCCATGGCGACGAAACATTCGTGTTGGAAATTTTCAAATATAACCAGATCAAACTGATAACCATCTGCTTCGATAAATTCTTGAACTTTTTTATTGTTTAACGTCTGCTCGTTGATTTTGGTGCCGAGAAATATTATTCCTATGGGAATTGTCAGCGGCTTCAAAAATTTAACTTTATTCAAAATACTGTCATCTGAAAACATTATAAGATATAGCAATTTGTAAACATCATAAATTTGTATTATTATTATTTTTTTAATACATACTTTTATTTTTATACGCAAATTCATTTTTCTTCATCGATACATCAATATGATGGTAATTAGGAGGTGGATCTTTTAAAGGAAAATGCGATAAAACTGTTAGATTATGACCTCGAACTGCAAGTTCTTTTAGCATAGGTTGGAAAGCGCCATAATGACTCCGTGCAAATGTCGGTAGAAAAGCTAATATGTTGGCTGACCAACACGGACATGAAAAAGTTAATACAACAACACCAAATAGAAGCAGCAATTTGTTCATCTGTAAAGGAAATATGACATTACTATATATTTTACATATTATTTTAGTAATTTAATGACCATTGAACTTACACTGATTTGTCACAAAAAAGAAAAACTTGGTAGTATTTTAATTTCTAAAATCTTCTCTCACGGCTGAAGGTAGGAAAACTGTAAAAGTTGAATAATAATAGTATATTATTGTGATAAGAGTATAAATAAAATAAATGTCAAAGGTTATACTATTACGTAAGTAATTATAATATATATACTAACACTAAACAAAATACTTATTACACCTAATATGAAATAATAATAATAATATAAGATAATGGGTTTCTTATACAAAAGAAAGAAAAGGCTGGAATACCTGAACTAAAAATTTCAACTTTGACCTTTTTACATATTTATCAATAATACAAAATTAAGAATAATTTACAATTATATCAATAAAATTTTATATTCTGAATTAAAGTTATCAAATTATATTTTAAGGTGTTTAAAATACATACAATTTTCAAACATTTTAAATTAAAACAAAAAATGTGGTAAAATAATGAACTTTTGTCATATTTTCTTACACATTAATTAAGGGGTTAAAGGAACTAAGATTTTTGAAAATTTTAATTTTTTTTATTATATTTATTTTAAAATTTAAGAATTGTGTTTATTTTAATTAAAAATCATATGACGCATTTAAATGAAATTTATGTGGCACATTCTAGGCATGAAAAATCTAAGAAATTTTTTTTTTGGATCAATAATATTTTATTTAAACAAGGGATTTTTCCCACTTAAAATTCTTACGACTTTCAGAATCTATCATTTTGCTAAATTAAAAAAAAAACATGGATTATGCACTAGACAAACTAAAGTATTATTATTTATACTAATCATTTGTTTTTCTTTAATCAATTAAAAATAAACCACTAAGAAATACTGATAGCCACTGTAGTCTGTAGGGCATTATTTGTAAGAGAGTGTTCAACATTCAAACAGATAACTTGGTCCAAACTCCATATTTTGATAAGAAATTTACTTTCTTGAAATAATAGTGTAAAAACAGACAGATCAGTACTACTTGTCAAACAAAAAACATACAACTGTTTTAAAGACTGTTTTTTCAACCTACTGAAAACCCTTAACCCTTTAAGTTTTAATAAATATTATTTTGGATTATAATTGTTATATAATTAACTAATGTCTTGGTATTTCACCTATTAGGTGAAATATTGTACTTAGTGTTTATAATAATAATTGATATTGAACTGGAATCAAAAAATTATTAATATTAATTAACTATTAGAACTATTCTTACACACTTGATATTTTTTAAAAACTATTTTGGATAATACAATACGTGTTTCGTTACAACCCTTTCGAAATTAAAAAAATCTTTAAATCACTATACACAATATTGTTTTATTACTCAAATAACTTTACTGGTATTTATGAACTATATACTTAAAATACATAATTAAAAAAAAAATATATATATGACGTTGAATTACAAAAAAATTAACTATGCTTAAATTAAAACTACAACTTGATTTGTAATTCAAGTATTATATTAATAAAAGTGTTATTGGAAAAAGTAAATTGCTACATAAAATCATAACGTCTTGTGACCTGTGTTGTTCTTTCGAAAAAATACAAATTACAAATTCTTATCAATTGTATACAAACACAATATTTTTCCAATTAATATTTTATTCTGTGATAGTAGTTTATTTAGCCTACTTTAGAGTTTAGATTAAAAAAATCGAATACCAAATGGCAAGACAAGTACCTATGTACATTACTTTTGACTCTTGACTGTCTTGTAGAATCTGATATTAAAATTAGTTACTTTCTGGCTACATAATAAAATGAATTTACAGATAATTAATTTTTTTCAGAACTAAACTATTCTATTCAATTATTTTTTAAAGGACTTACCTGTCACAGTTACGGACAGTTTAACTGCAGCTATGAAAAGTAATATAGTTTCAACCCAAGAATACATTTTACAAGGGAGTGGTCTAGATTGTGCTGTTGAGGTATTATGCGACAATTTGATTCAGGACCAGAAACATTTAATGATCATGTGTTTTAGCACAAGCTATAAAATGATAAATATTTGTTTTCCATCTCGATTACCTAAGCAGTGTATACATTTTTAATCCTCGAATATTTAAAAACATTTTTGGAAGAGTAACTCCACTCACCCGCAGCCACACATACTGAGTCAGACGAGCAATAGATTATTTTGGATGTACGATATCAATTGCAATAGATTGGACAACCTGAAATTGCTACGTCAACAGTTATTAATTTGTTGGTGTTATTATTATTTCTTCGAGTTTACGCTAACACAACATGCACCATGTTGGTAAGATTAAATTTCTTGTCACGGTTCAATACATAGTAAATTCATCTAGTCAAGATAGAAATATCTTAATTGGTTGAAAACTAAACTGGTTGTTCACTATTTTTTTTTTTTTGTGAACCTTGTCAAAACAAAACAAAATTGGTCGGTCTCAAGCGATTCTGCCTTAGCATGGCTTTACTATAATTTGGTTGAGAAATTGTGGATTCAGCTATATAATATAAAACAAAAAAATCTTAAAACTACCAACACGAGTCGCCTGTGTATGACACCTACTTTCAACAAAAAATTCAAAAATTATTAGTTGACATTTTGTACATACGCAGTCAAATATCTTACCTGAGTTTTCCCGCTAAATTTTGGTTATTTTTATATCATTTAATTGAAAGGTAGTGTAAAATTGAAATGCTGTTACAAAGAAAAAAAACAATTATTGAAAAATACAGTTATTTAATTTAAGTAAAAAAAGGTTATATAATATATTATCACATGTTTATAATAAATCAGACTTGCTCAAATATTTTGATTAAATAAATTGCTTTAAATTCAGCAAATAAGTTTATAAAAACAGATAAAAAAAAATTATAATTATAATGACAAAGCAAGTCACTGAATAAAAAAGTATAGAATTAAAATAATGTATCAAAGTTTTTATAATTAAGGCTTCACATTTTCTTTCCCTTTATAAACAAATCGTTTGTACCCTGGCAATGCCTAAAAACATAAGACCACATTGAATTATCAGCTTATTAGTAATATAAAGCTTTCAAACTAAAAAAATTAAAACAATAATATTACATTAGACGTTTTAAAAAATATTTACCTTAGTTTTAGTAGTTGTTTTAGTTTTGTTGACTTCTGCATTTTTGTCTTTTATATCTTTATTTAAAACAACTGTTGACTGAAATGAAAGTTTTACATTTTTTATTTACAATTGACAAATCCACATATACAATTAGTTTTTATATACTTACATTGGTACAATTTTTTATTGATGAACTATTGGGCGTACTCATCTTCCTTGGCTTTATCAGTGAAGTCTACAAAATATTTAAAAAAATAATAGTAATATCATAAAAATAAGAAAATGTACATATTTTTTAATGAAACTTACATTTTTAATATTTTTTTCTTTTATGAGTAATGGTGTGCGAGGACTTGGTAATGATTTACGTAAACTCCTATTTAAATATGAATAAAAATTATTGTATGTAATTATGATTATAAGAAAATTAAATAAATAAATTCATGAAACTAGTCAATTTAAAACATTATTTTAAATGGAATACTTTTTCGTGGCTGTACAAAATGTATTAGTTTCAAAAACTGTTAATGGACCACTACTATGATTGCTCCAGTTTATGGAACTAAAATAATTTTGTACAACACATTATTTATATTGACACAACTTAAACATGAAATAAATTGTCGTAACAGTATTTTAATATAAAACATAAATTTAAAGTAATCGTACTGAGACTTAGCAAATGTATTGTTTAATGGAGTTTTCGATCCCATACCAGACAACGTGGGCGTTGAAGCAGCAATGGGTTTTATCTAAAGAAAAAAAATAAATACACACATAAATATACTGAATATTTCTTCAATTTAAAGGCGTGAAAACTTTTAAAAATGATCTATACAATGTTATAATATCGTAATATTTGAATATTATAAAGTAGTTCAACTATTTATGTTACCCAAATCAGTTAGATCATAAAAAGATAATAACGAAAAAATATATTGCTAACATTTTAGTTTTGATGCAGAGCTTCCCAGGTATTGTTTTTACAACCTTTGTGACTGGACTCACAATATCTTTTAAATCACTTAATTTATTTCTTTGTACAGCAATTTTATAGATCAGAAATTGTACCTGAGAGGTACTTTATTGGGCTAAACTTTTTAAAAGTTTAACCCTTTCCCTTTGATAAAAACACTTAATTACAGCCGTCTTTAAAAATAGTCCGATTAGTTTGGAAATTGCCAAATTTATAAAGATTATTCTTAATATTAAGTACTATTGATAAATGCTGACTAACTCTAAAATACCATAAGCCTTTTCTCCTAGAAGGAATCTTAGCCTTAAGGTTTGGATTCAGACTAAAGGTAGATCTAGAGTGGGTAAAAGGTACAATTTTCTCAAAAATCTGTAGTCAAACTTTTTTAACTGATATGTTTATAAAATGTGAGCTATGGAATCAATTAATGGATTATTTATAAGCTTAAATTAAAGACTTTTTTAGTATTCGTGTTTGCAATATTTAACAACTAAATTGATAAAAAAAAACTGTCTTTAGTCTATAAACTGTATGAAATTAAGAATTAAAAAATTTTTTTATAAACAGAATTACAAAGCATACTTGAATTTCTGGACTTGTTTTCTTTTCTTCCATAGAATCTTCACTATAGTTTCCTTGAACCATATCTTTGACAGGAATATGAGCAACAAAAGGACCTTTAGTGTTTAGTGGTTTTGTTTTAGACTTCACAACTGTTTGACTATTTATTATTTTATTGTTGGCAATTCCTAAAGCAGCAATTATACACGTAAATAATAGAATTTATTATAAAGAGAAAAATTATAAAATAAAACGAAGTTACAAATTTAAAAGCTATAATAAAATTAAGTATTACCTATACGACTTAGGGCTTTCAGTTTGATATCAATTGCATCAACATTCTTGAGTTCTTTTTTATTGTTATCCTGAAATAAAAACGTCCTTTGTACTTCATTGAATATTAATTATTATTTTCTATAGCAATATATCTTTACAATTTTCGAAATTTCAAATGATCCATGAGATCCATCAGCATCACTGAAATTATCAGTTACCCATTCAGGCTTAAGAGCATTTAAATCAAATGAATTATATTCTTGAGCACTTAAAAACAAACTAGATGTATTATTGTCATTGATATCAATCATTTCCTAAAAAGTAAAATTTATGAAATAACAATTCTCTATTTTCTCATTTAAAAAAATAAACAAGTTTAAAGTACTTACATTAATTTTATTAGTACTTCTGGAAATACAGCTAATAGAATTACTATAGAATGCTTTATTCAACATACAATCCGTTTTATTTAAGCTCGTCTCTTCGTTATGTTTATAAAAAGAATTTTGCCTATGTTTTTCTCTACATTGTTTTTTACTAGCTTCAATTAGCATTTCAATTCGTTGGCGTGTTTGTTCTTTAAGCTGTTTAATTTCTTCTTCATTGCATGGTAAATATATATCACTTTTGTTTAAATCGCTGCAACTTGATGACAAGCCTGGTTTTAAATCCTGTACGCAGTCTTGTTTAATATCGATTGTAAAACTTTCTTTTTCTGTTTGAGATCTATCATTTGGTGTAATTTGCTCATTGGGAGAATGAACAATATCATCAATACCAGTTAAGGAAACACTTTTTTGTATTTGTCTATCTTGTGGTTCCCATAATGGACTTAATATTATACCACATGGTGGTTCTATCCTTGACGATATATTATAAGGAGCTAAATCAAAAGGATCCATAGAAGCAGCTTCCAATTCAATTACATCAAACGGGTTGTTAGTAAAATGATTTTCATCCATATTTTTAGTCTTATTGACCTCTGGAGTTTTCCAGTCAATAAGACAATCAGACGATACATTCAGTATATCACCTCTGAATGAATTCATAGTTCTGAAAATATATAATTCTATATATTACATAAATACGGGTGCTGCAGTGAATTCTGTTTTTTTAAAACGGTTGGAGTAGCCAAAGAAGTGGGCAGGATTATCATTGTGTTTCATATCCAAAAGCATTTATTTAATTAATAGTTATTTTTAAATAAATGAATAATTTTGATAAGATTTGTAAAAATGATTGACTAAACTCGGTTCAAAACAAGAAGCGGTCTCGGCAGATATTAAAAAGTCACGTAAAAAAACAGCCGTCTAGTAGCAAATTTGTTATTAAGTTATTCTTGCTTAGTTGCATCAAGGTATAAAAATAAACGTACTAGTAAATTTTTTAAATATTTTATATTATGTTACAATGCAATGATCAGCGCTGTGATAAAATGTAAATATAATTCAACAACTATTAATATTATACCTAAAAATATCTTAATTATGTTAATCTATTTAGTTTTTTTTTTATGTACCGAGTTTAACTGTAATGATTTAAACATTACATTTTCGAGCATTTATAATACTGTATTAAAATTAAGAATTAATTTCGTGTGAGTACGTAAAAATCATTATTTATTATTCTACAAACTTAGTAAGTAAATTTTACAAACCTCAAAACAACGTACAATTCTTCGGGAAATGCCGGAAATACCTTCGATTTCAATAGAAATTCCTAAAATTAGTGTTTAATAATAAATGTAATAATTAATGTATTGTATTTAAAACAAAATACAACTCATCAGTCATCAATGCTCGCCTGCTCAGCAGTCAGCACTGAACCATAGAAAAGAGATTTGCACTGAACACAACATAGAACTATTGAAGTTTGAAGTTTGAACATCAACCGTCAACCGAGCGAATTAACCAAATACTATAAAATATAAATGATAATACCTACCGGAAAGTCAATGCTAATTTGTGTCAAACCAGAATTTCCCCCCAAATAACAGTGTTCCCCAAATAAAGGAATGAAAATAGCGTTATTCTGAAACGATGTCTACCCTGAAAATTGAAATTTTACATCGGCTTATCAATTATAAATTATTATCATATGCGTAATATGCATACGGTGTATTGTATCACAATATATGGTTACACTGATCATTAATAAAATTTGAATTTTGACCGAACTTTGAAGATTAAAATAGCGGTCATCATAATTTATAGTCTCTCTCCAACTGTGACACACGACAGCGGACAGACGCTTGTTATTTTATTATTATTTTACAAACCTTACTTAAAGGTGTGTACAATTAAATAATCAATTAAGTTAATTGATAATACAAAAAAAAATATTGCACATAAAAAAATGTGTATTAAATTTACAACTACCGCTTATTTAATATTACCGCGGTAAGTAGTACATTCATAGTGATTTTACCTAGGTAACTTTACATTTAAACTATTTTGTTAAGGGGCCTCTACACTAGCATTTATTAAGGCGCGTTGTATAGGTAATTTTTCGCTAAATTTAACATTATGCTAAAATTTTTAAACATACATATTACCCGGTTAAACCCATGATTGCAATATACAAAGTTATTGCACATAATATACCCTTTCTTCATCATGGAAATTACATTCATAATACATATTGCAAATTTATTAAGCATTTGTTTCTATTAAAATAATAAAATATACATTTTATTATTGGGATAATATTATTTAATAACTCAATATAAAACTTAAACTCAAAGGTACTGCTTTGGTGTTCTATTATTAATAAACAGAGGAGTCCTAGTATATAATTGAAGTATAATTCAAAATATGTACTCTACACAAATAACACCTGTATATAAATGTATTAGCTATAACCAATGAACTAAAAAAATCTAAAAATTCATAAGAGCTGGAATTAAGACAACATTATACCTCCAATTTATTAAGGAGTTAGTTATTGGTAATGTTTTGCAAAATCTTATTGTTAAAGGCTAAACTGTGATACGTAATTAATAATTCAGTAATTAGGACTCTTTTTTTTCTAGTTAATTTATTTTTCAGACTTATCACAAAACCAATAAGACACTTATTTTTTTTTACTTGTAGGTACATGCTTTAATACTTTGAAAATGTTTAAGATCATCCCTTACTATACGTAATAAGACTATCAACTTTGTTTTTTTTTTTTTAATACAAACACATATTTTTATGTATTTTTAACCGGGTGATAAAAAATGTAATGTTTAAATTGTCGTTTGAATTTTTACTTTTAATAATTGGTTCGTCACTTATGAATTTGTAAAGATTTTAATTTAAGATCGACATTCGTTCGGTTTTTTAAAGACAGCAGCTCGCCGATTCACTTTTCCGTCAAAAATAAAATCGAATTGAAGTACTTATTTATTCAGTCAATGAATTAAGTAGCTTATTTCCAAAACTAATAATCAGCACTTTTTTAAATTTTGGGAAAATAAGAAAAAATTTGTTAAACATTTCTAAAACAACAATATTTAAACCTATACACATGTTTGACAATTTATATGATTAAATCAATTTACCGCCGCCCAAGTAATGTACTTAGAGGGTCGGGTGTGTTATAAAAATGTAGAGGGGGGGGGGCATTTAGAATTATGTATTTCAAGCCCCGTCTTTTAATTTATTTAAATATACTAAGTCCCGTTTAGACTGTAGTAAGTGGGATGTAATATAAAAAGATGTAGGTAGAATTAACGACTTTTGTTATATTCCCCTTCTTTGTATAAATAGTTTATAAATTATGTAGAATGATTAATGATAATTATGTCCTGTTTATAATTATTTAAGTAATAATAAACATAATATTTAATTTTTGTTAGTCGGCAACACTGATCTCCGAAATGGAAATGTTTCCATCACGTCCCGTCCCGGGTTTTAGAATTATTTTTTTAAAAAGATCTTTTTTTATTACAATCTGGATATTTATTTCTATGATTCCCACTCTGTTATAAAATCAATTACAGAAGTAGCTTCTGATTTACCTGAAGATTCAGAAAGCATAGAAACTCCCATAAGTTAAACGATCCCATCACCGGAGACTAGCACAGCTAATCGCTCAACGGATGTTTTAGAAGTTGAACTGGGTAACATTTTAACATTCCAATAGACAATTAATGGAATATTAGATTTGAAAGAAGATTGTATATATTTTGATATTTGTTCCCTATTAATTATTCTACCCCGACAAATCATATATTTACCAACAGACACAGTAGCTATATTTATCACTGCTGGCGCTACAACTGCGGCTACTACGTAGGTTGCGTTTCTAATTGAAACATTAGTTCTATCAAGAGCGGAAGTTAACGTTTGACTCATAATTTTTAAATATGATTTACGTTCAATATTAACTACGTTAATTTTGATTAGACTTCTACGATCATCTTAGTTTTCTAATAAATTACAATTTTCTATTATTTTTCAGTTACAATTTTATTTCTGGTTTTATTGCAGGGTAGGTTTGTTTAGAAGAATAAATAACAAGGAACGTTTTAATAAAAAAAAATATGAACAAATCAGTAAAAGTAATTTTTTTTTTAATCATATGCCTAAATGATGTTCTTCGAGGTAATTCGGACAGTGTTACTGGTATAAACAAAATAATGAAGACTAAAACACTTTATAAACGCCAGACAGCCAATAATGATGGGACAAATAAAGAAACAAAATTTAAAACACAGTTGTAGGTTATTATACTTTTTCTTTTCGTTAACAAGTGTGTTTTAATATCAATGAATATTTCATCAAAGAAATATATAAAAACTCTCTTGAAAATTAAATGGATATTAAGTTATAAACGGGGTATTACACGATTTTAGTGGCTTCACATATTTTATTATCTACAAAATATTATAAAAACATTCTATCAATCATCTATGTAGTATTATACAATAAACTACCACTAGTATAACAACATTTTACAATATAAAATTTGTATCATATTACTATAACATTAGATCATTATTGTGACATTGTTATAAAATATCAACTAAATAAAACTAATAAAGCGTATTAAAATAATTTCTATGGTGATCGTCTTAGTTTTCTAATAAATTACAATTATCTGTTATTTTTCGCTTAAAATTTTTTTTTTCTGGTTTTATTGCATGGTAGGCTTGTTTAGAAGAATAAATAACAAGGAACGTTTTAATAAAAAAATATGAACAAATTAGTAAAAGTAATTTTCTTTTTAATCATATACTTGAATGATGTTCTTCGAAGTAATTCCGACAGTGTTACTGGTATAAACAAAATAATAAAGACTAAAACACTTTATAAACGCCAGACAGCCAATAATAATGGGACAAATAAAGAAACAAACACAGATTCACAGAGTGATATGTTAACAAGGTGTAGAAAAAACTCTTTGATCAAGCACAACTTTTATAGAAAAAAGCACGGCGTACCACTGTTGATTAACAGTGAAGAGGTTAACATACTTTGTATAATACTAATTTCATAATGGGGTATTCATTTTTCAATGAAATTATTTTTGTAACTTTAAAAGTTATGTGTTTGTATGTTTATTTTACTCAGCCTTTTTCTAAACTAAACAAACGCGTTATATTTCTAAATAAGAAATGTTAATAGATGTTATTTCTTTAAACCAGCAACTATCAATAAAACATTGAGCTAGTTCAAATTAAATTCGACTGTTTTAAAAAAATTCCCCACAAGTAAATTACTTTTATTGACAAGATTTTTTTCTCCGAAGTAAAGTATTATTTAATTTATTTGAATTTGTTTTTTTACCATGATCACAGCTTAACCAACTTAGTCAAGAATGGGCTGAACGTTTGGCCGAGGAGGACAAAGCATATCATAGAGAGAACAATACAAATGGCGAAAATCTATATTGGCTTTTACATCCAAGTATAAAATTATCTTTGAATAACGTCAGTGATTTAGCAGTAGAAACCTGGTACAACGGAATTCAATTTATAAAATTTAGCTGGAAGGAATCTCATATGGCTATCGCTAACAAAGCTCGTAAGTAAAAAAATAATTTAAGACGATTTTAATTAAAATATCAAAAATAGATTCTCACAATTACTTAGAAAAGAGGCCGATAAACTTAAATATGTTTACAGAGTTGAAATCGGACCATCTTAAGTAGACATCATTTTGTTAGGATTTAAAGCGTCCAAAAAAACCTACCACCGCTTTCAATCCCCTTAAATCATAAATGTAATATCCCACTTTTTTTTCTACAGTTACAGTAGTGTGCTATTAAATATATAATTCCGTGTTTTGTCATACTTAGACTATTTCAGTCAGATGATTTGGAAGGACAGTAAGGAGTTGGGAACAGGAGCAGCTATAAGTAAAAGAGGTTGTATATATTTTGTGTGCAATTACAACCCACCGGGGAATCTAGTTGGATCTTTCAAGAAGAATGTTCTTCCTCCAGTTGACAGGTAACCGAGGAAATCTTTTTTTTAAATAGTATGACGTAATATGCTGTATTCTCTATCTTATTGTCAACTTTACTTTCCTTAAACTAAAACTTAAAATATTTTAACAATCCACAAAATAGCAATTTTTTCTATTCAACAGCCTCAGTGACTTGCACAGAAGTGTTTATTTAAAAAACAATCTCATCACCTTCAGTTATAACAAGTTATTATCCAATGTTTGTAAATAACAGTTCCTATTAACCTGTGATCTCTCCGACCAAACTAAGTGCTGAACACTCTGTGCCGGCTTTTTACACGAATTTTAGAGAAATTATCAATATTATTGATTTATTATAATTCACTTAACAGAGGTTACAATTTACCAAAAGTCAAACAAGACATATTCAGCCATATCACTATTACTAAACATAAATTATTCTGATAAAACAATACATTTAATAATTTCGGTAAAATAATATTTCATTTTTTTGTTACTCTATTTATTATTATTGTATTTTTATATTTTTAGATGGCACGAATATGATGTCTACGGATACAAGCAAAACAAAGCAGATGCTGTTGATTATTCGAAATTTATTTTTTCAATTACAATATTTTATCACGCATTACAATAAAAATCTATAAACCTATTATAAGACTTGCTATAGCACATATACAATTTACCCTTATGCCGTACATACATTCCCCACGGCCTAAAACATAATTTAAGGGACCGTAAAAAAAAACTGACCAACATCCGGCATGTTTAAAAAAATTATTTTAGTTTCGATACATAGCTGAGGTGTTATTATTTATACTTGCATTATTCTATTGACAATAACTATATGACAATACAGCCAAAGTGTACCTAGTGTATGATTTAATTGATCATACTTGCATATTTTCCCTGCAAAACGATTTAGCTATAAAAAAAAAAAAAAGTTACAACTCCTGTAAAACGCTCAAGATACGCAATTGTTGTAGCGAGACGTTAGACAGATTGTAAATTTCGTGTACCAGGGTCCGAACAATAACGCACAACTTCGTCGTACGGCCAAAAATATTTAAACAAAACAGTCAGCGTTATTAAGATAATGAGCCCTTCTACGGGTTGATTTTCCTTGGACCCTGGTACCATGAGTCGTGACGCGAGTACGACGGGTTAGCACTTGAGCAGTAGCAGACAGTCCCCGCGCAGCGCACTCCACTGTGGTCACCATAGACCTAATAAGAATTCTTTTTAGGTCTATGGTGGTCACTGAACAATCACGATATAACCGTTGATTATCAAATATACATTTGATTATAATCAATCTGATATCGCACATCTAGATCAAAACTGTAGCAACTCACAAAAAACACATTTTTTTTTTCAGGAATTCCGAAAAACTTATTTTCAAGTTAAATTATTTTACCTGTTTATTTGAATAAAACGATTTTTGTCTTAGGATTAGTCATTTTTACAAAATGTTTACCTACAGCGCCATATTTTGGAGGTAATCGAGATAAATTTAAATTTGTTTTGTTGTTAGTTTATGCAACTTTGTTTGTAGAATTCGAATATACAAATCATTTAAAAAAAAAAACCAACTTTTTGAGTTGCTACAGATCAAAATCTAGGTGTGCATGTGAACTGTATAGCTATTAAATATTAATGCACAAAGATGTTTTACATGTTGCTGGTTTATTTATAAAGATAGTGTGAGAATTGCATAATAATTTAGTTTTAAAACCTATTTATTAATGATCAAACTTTTAATTATTTTTTTTACTTAATTTGTGATTCGCGTTGCCTTTTCTCTTACAAAGGTTAAATTATTTTAACAATTCATTTGATAAAATATTGAACTTATAACAGGTACCTATTATGTTAATTGTTATTAAAAAACGTGTAATATACATTTGAAAAATCGTGCAGTTTGAATAATTATTAAATGTACCAAATAATAATGTCCAAGAACGCAAGGTAGGAAGTATACCAAATTATAAGCCATTTTAAATTTAAATATAAGTCAAATTGTGGAAATTTACATTAGTAGCCTTGTTTTTCAAGTTACTTATAGCTATTACATTTTGTCTTTGTCAGAACACATTTATGTTTTCCGTCAACCAATTTACGGCGATAAAAAGTTTTTTTCCTGAGCTTCCCAACTTGTTTTTTCTATAAAGTGAACCAGTGAGTCAAGAAATCTTTAATTATTTATCGTGGGCATTAGAAAATGTTAATTTGAAATTTTTTATTTTCTAATTGAAATACAGCTAGATACAAACCACACAACCATGGTTACGGAACCATTTTATCTATAGCAGCTGCGGTGCACAAGATGAGCCCTAGTTCCCCTACTTGTTTCTTTTATAGGTACCGTGATTAAACATTTATAGTTATCATTACTTATCATCATTGGTTAAAATCGTATTGTATTTAATATTTAATAATGTAAAATTAATATAGATTTAGGAATAATAGGATTAGTAATTTAATAACAATTTAAATTTTAACTCTTAGTTACCTATGTGGTGTTCACTTTTATGAAAATGTGTTCACAAAATCATTTTTTACTAGTAATTTGACATTGTTTAGTTGTGTTGATCAAATCGTCATGACCGAAGAACAGGTCGGTTTCAATTTGGCCGATCTGAAGAAGTTGTGCAAGTCTTATATTGACTACACGAGAACTTATGCAGACCTAAACAACCAACAGTGTCATGAAATGGATGGATTCGTGTTTCAGTTTGCATCTGAGGTTGTTGACTTTAGCTCGCAGTACGGTAGCGACATTAGTATATCATACACAGCCAGCAACCTTACAGGCAAGCCGAGCAAATTTCCCAATTATGGAGATTTTCCACAATCCTATGTCATGGTAATTTAAACAATTTATTATTGCAACAACAAACATTTCATAATTCTGTGAGATGCAATGTATGCTTTCTTTAGTGTCGTGTAGGGATAATATGATAACGTTCTGTGAGTCTATCTTTCATGCTGTATTATACATAGGAAATAACAAATTGTTAATTAAAAACTAAAAATAGAATTTACTTTTATAATTATAGTTACTTAATTAATTTTTCAGAGATCTTATGGTCCATGGAAAGAGCAATCTCCATCTAGAAAATGTATAATAATGCCACAAAATGCAGATAAAATTAAGAGTGAAGATTTTATAAGTAATATTAATCATCATATAAGTAATCTCTAAGGTTTTTTGTTTTAAATACCTTTTCGTTTTTAATTTAGTTTTGTCATTTGACATACCCGTCATTCCCATGGTAATTTCCATTTTTGAAACATATACACCAGGATCAGTTGTTCGTATATCAGGTAAAGTAGTTGACCAACCAGATACGAAAGCGTGGAAATTGTTATGGGAAGGCATGCCTCAAAATTGTAACGGCCTACGACAATCTCGATTGTTCACTCCGCCAATAAATTTCATAGGAGAACGTATCAAGTATGGTATAAATGTGGTAATTGAAGAATTATACATTTTAAAACTGAAATTTTGATTTTAGGCAAATATGTATCGAGTTTAATCATACACAATTGGAGTACTACACGGAGTTGGATGCCGTTTCTTTAGGGGGTATTATAAATTACCCAGAAGATGGTGTAATCCGTGTAACAAAACCTCCAATTACACCATCTTTGGCAGGTTATATTTTTGATGATAATCAAGATGCTTCGGAAATTAGTGTATCTTCGAGTGTGCCCAAAGTAATATAATATTGTGATCGGGTATCATATGATTATGTATTTGCATTGCTCATGTGTTCATTGAATTTTTAGATGCCCATTTCAACAAGTTTAGATCCTTTTTTAAAATTAATAAAAAACATAGAAGAATTAGAAAACGAATGCCGCAAAGCGCCAAATGTCGATCTCATATCTCAATTACCCGTATGTTTTTGTTTTTTATAAGTTAAAAAACACATAAGGTAGTAATATTTTGTAATTCGCAGGATGAAACATTGCTGCAAATATTTTCATACTTGGATTTAAAATCTCTGCGTAGATGTATGGCTGTTTGTAAACGGTTCAATGATATTTGTAAAGACGAATTTTTGTACACTGAAATAAATTTAAAAGTGAGTTTATTTACTTTTAGTGTCGTAATAGTGTAAACCTATTTGAACCATATGTATATACTTGGTTTTCAGCCATATTGGTCTTCATTTTCATATTCAATGTTAACTTCATTAGAACCTTATTGTACTCGACTAACAATGTTGGATTTGTCATGGTGCGGCATAACTAATGGAATAACTAGTACGGAGTTTAACTGGTTGGTGTTTGTTGATCAATAATAATTTCCACGTATTGATTAGTTATTAAATAATTTTTGACAATTTGTTAGTTTCATTAAAAAATGCGGAATCAATTTTACACATTTGCGATTGGACAGCTGTGGATTTGTCAAAGGAACCGTGTTAACTGCCATTAGCTTATACTGCCCTAATCTCAAAGGTATGTTGTATTTTAAATTATTGTAATTGTAATTACAACCATTATATTTTTGTGGTATTATTAGAATTAAGTTTAAGAAACTGCACCTCAATCGAATTTGAGTTTAATTGTATGCTGTGTTTTCCGAAAATTGAACGATTTGACTTTTATCGGACTAATGTTAGCGTGAAAGCATTAGAATCCATTCTGCGTCATACACCTAGATTGAAACACATAAACTTAGGTAATTATTTTTAAAACTGAAAAATGTATAATCATTTTTTTTTTTTTAATATTTCTGAGTTTACTTTGATTAGGATCTTGTAAAAAAATTGAAACTATGGATCGAGTGGCGTTTACTTTGGCTTTTTGGAACACAGAACTTGTGTCTGTAGATTTTTGGAAAAGTTACACTTTGTCACCAAATGGACTACGATTCTTGACAGCTTGTTCTAAACTCGAAGAAATCGATCTTGGATGGTGGTTAGTATTTGTTATTCAAAATAAAAAATTGCATGGTATAATGATTATTATTATTACCAATATTTTTTTTTTAGTTTGGGATTAAGTATTCCTGGCGACAGTCTTGTGAGTTTGGCGAAAGCGTGTCCAAATCTTAAGAAGATTATTATTGTGTCTTTGCGAGGTGTATGCGACCGAGATCTGTTTGCATTCTCTGATAACTGTCCCTTATTGGAACAAATAGATCTAGTCGGTCTTAGAGCAATTACAGCTGATGCTTGTTCTAGGTTCTTACAGAATTGTAAGCGGTTAAAATTGATGGATGTCAATTTCTGTGAGAACGTTAAAGAAATGAATATCCTCGATTGGCGGCTGAACTATCCGGAAGTTTGCATAAAGTATACCACTTCAAATCATACCAACGTATATCACTACTAGACCATCACAGTAAGTATAAAATTATGTGTTTAAGTGTTTCTAGCGTTGTTTCTGCTGATCGTTTGTTCTTAAACTATTTGTTTGACAATTAACTTATTAATTTAGCTATCTCTATCTATCGAGTAAAATACCGAATTGAGTGTCTGAAATGCATTTAAAAAAAAACTTCCTCTCAAATAAAAATGTCAATATTTATATGACAGTTTACTTTTCTCAAAAACAAATTATTGAACTTTTATTGAAACTCATTTGTTTCAATATACATGCAATTTATGTTGAAATTATTCGATATTTTTTTTTGTATCTTTATTTCATTGTAACGTGTCATCACTTTTTTTTCTAGTTGAATTTCTTAAAATATATATTTAATTAATCTTTAATACTGTTTATAGAGTGAGGCGTATGTGTCATTTGCCAAAACTACTGTTACATAATTATTTTTAGATGAGGTACAGTAATAATAATAACAATAACTTACAACAAAACATTATAACCGTCTCTGGCGTTAAAACTATATGCTTAGATGTTAAAATATTGACATAGTTTTTATTATTAAATGAAAACGTGCATTAAAGTAAAATATGGTTTCCTCATTCCATTGATTTTTTAATATACTTTATCTATACAATGTATTATTATTAAACAAAATAGACATTTTGGGTTATTGCATAAAATTTGAGGGAAATTTTGAAATCAATTTCGATATGTAGAGTACATTGTGTAGGTAACTGTCCATTATTATTATTTTTTCTGAATACTTGATAAACGTTAATCACGTTATTTTGATGTTTATAACTAGTGTATGCTATTATAATATCTAGATATGTGTTGTAAAATGTTTAGGATAAAAATATAAACTTTCACAATTAATAAAATATTTATATACAATATAAGTATAAAATTTGCGTGTATTTAACAATAAATAATACGTAAATAAAAATAATTAACGAATAACAATGATGTTATCTTATGACAATGCCCAGTTCACTTTCAATAACATTCGTAAAACATTGTCCAATGTACATTTCATTTGTTTCTTGTTGTTCGGACAAGAAGGGCCAAAAATGCCAACATCCGAAATATGAAGATCAAACAGAACAGTAGAATTATGTCCATAAAGAAATCCGACTAGAAAATGTAAATTAAAATATTATCAGATTATATTTAAATACATTTAGTAACATAATTTAATGAAATCTAAGTGGATACAGTGCAGTATCAGTAATTTCAAACTAATGAACAGTAACCTTAATTAATATATTTATATAATCCAAAGCTTACACTTTACGTAATCTAATATTGCACATAACCATGCGTTTTGAAAAACTAATATTTTAATTGTATTGTGCATTGTTATATAGAAGAGAAAACTTAAATATTTAAAATTGTAAGGTTTTCAATGACTATCAAATTTCTTGTTTTATGCAAAAATAATCAAATTCTCTTTTAAATGTCTAACTTGAAATAAAATTAATTTTTAACAATAATGTGTACATAGTTATTTTTTTACCTCTAGAAAATTATTTGACTCTAAGACGCCGTGACCAGTTCGAGGACAAGTGGTGTTTACTCTATTACACTGAATTCTTTCGATATCAGCCCACTGATTTATTTGAAGTCCTTCGTTGGCATACTTGAACCATGAAAAGAAGCTCAACCACCGGAAGTAAGGGGGAATCGAACTACAAAAACAATTGGTGTTAATAACTAATATTATTTGTATATACTATTAAAGCGATAAACAGTTTTTTTTTTAAAATTTTGTCTTGTTCATGTTTTAATAAAAAAAATATATATATTAGGGTGGTCCTTTATTTTTGTCAAGTTCAAATTGTGAAAAAATATTCCTCTTTTTGGGAGGCATCTATTTAAATTTTCTAAAAAGAAAAAAAATTAAGGACCACCCTATATATATATATATAATATATTATATTAGGATTTACCCAACGTTCAAGAAGTAACCACCAAATAGCAAGAACGGTATAACAATAGTGGGTCCTATTGACAAAGCAACTGATATACTGCCACTCACACACGATATTAAATAACCTGTAAAATAATTAGATTTAATTAGAATTATTAATTAACATTATTTCTATCGGAATACAACAAATTGTGTATCTATTAATAGAATGTCATGTTTATACAAGGGGTTAGGCAAAGAAATTATTTGTATCGACTGCTTCATTAAATGCTCACTAAAACGATTATTGGTTTAATCGTTTCTAATAAAGAAGAAGACCTAAGCACTCACCGAAGGAAACTGCTACGAGACTAACTAGAGTTATAATCAAAACGGCCGTAAGAAAGTGTATCAGTTTAGGGTTGAGACCGATTAAATAGTACATGATGGCAGTAAATATTACTGGAATGGCCAGGAATATAGGCACTTCGGCTATCGTTTTGCACAGAAAGTAAACATCTGTTCGGTACATGCCGTTGTGATGTTCACGCATAAACACTGGAAGCTCTGAACAGAATACCTAAAACGAATTGTAATAAGTAAGACACGATAAATAGTGTGTGCTTACACAAATCAAAACGCCACTCACATTTATAACGGCTAAAACGTTTTGAAAAGTCATGTTCGATATACACATAAACAGCGCACCGTTGATGTTCGTAACGCCGTCCTGATCCGGATGCTGATTGTAGAATATAAAACTTATCAAACTTGCTACCATCTGCAAAAAAAAAAATCATATAAGGCAAGTACTTGCGACATGTTACAGAAATTAAACGGGTCGATCATCACTTTTTTGACAATTCTCTGCTCTTACCACTGTCTGTACGATTCTGACTTTGGTTATGGTCGGTTCTTTCTTGACGCTCAACCAAGACCGCCAAAACACAGCCGAGAACTGTTCGAGCCACGTGGCTTTGTAAGGCGAACGATTGGCCAACCTTTGGGGACTCAAGTCTAATGTATTCTACAACAATTCACAACAACATCTGTCATAAATAAATTTCATTGATTTTTATAATGATAATAATACTTTTTTCATGGCAGTCAAATCGTGCTGATGATCCATCATGTTTTGTTTGTATTTAGAATTCTCGTACGCTTCACAAACGGTGTCGATGGTCTCGTACGAAGCCACTTCTTGTGTAGGTACCACGGCCAACAGTTGTATAAAGAAATCGGCAGGGTTGTGATTTTTCGGACAGGTGACGCCGAGCCTTGAAAACGATATTGTTTTATTAGACCGGTTCCTCAAAAAAAAGGGAAGATATATTCCATGAACATGTGTACTTACATTTTGAAAAACTCTATAGCCTCGTTGGGCGTGCCTAAGAAAGCGGTCCGGCCGCTGGCCAATAGAAGTATCTTGTCGAACATGGAGTAAACTTCAGAAGAAGGCTGATGAATGGTGCACACGATAGTTTTGCCTTTGGTCGACATCGACTTGAGTACACTAACCACATTCTGCGCCATAAACGAGTCCAGTCCTGACGTGGGTTCGTCGCAAAACATCAAAGGTGGATCGGTGAGTACCTGGAAAACATTAAGCATATTTTAACGCTATAGTCTCCATCTCCAAGTGCATATCCAAAGGAAGTCTCATTAAAAAGTATAGGTACTTCTGAAGCAAAAGATAGACGTTTCATTTCGCCACCTGATAATCCTTTAATTTTTCCAGCTACACCGATTATTGTATCTTCACACTTCTTTAACGATAGCTATAAAATTCAGGCACAAAATTAAAATCATGACGAAAAGACAATAGTTACAATAATAATATTGAATGTTAAGACACGTGTAAATGCAATTTGTATGATCTATTACATTTTTAATGTTTTATGCAAATCTGATGGTTAAACGTTTACAATAAAAATGAACAATTTTTAAATTGTACTCGATTTGTTCACATAAACTTGATCAAACTCTGTAATATGCCATGCCACTATGATATTAAATAGGTGTACCTCTTGTATGACTTCTTCTACGCGAGCCATCCGTTTTTCGTACGGTATATGTCGATCCATCCGAACTAGAGCCTGTAATTTTCAATAAAATATCATCATGATTCATAATCAATTTATTTAAGAGCACAAAAAAAACATAGAATGAATTTGAACTTATAGGGGTTTGAAATCAGTAAGTTTTTTTGACATTTGAGACCTAAAAGCCTGACAAAATTAAGCCCAAGTAGGATGGTCCAATTTCAATTCAGTAAAAAGATTTTAATTTATCGGCCTCTTGTCTAGGTTATTGTGGGAATTGGTTTGTGATATTTTAATTAAAATTGTGTTTAAATCTTATTTGAATTTCTCAAATTTGTAGTACTCTATTATTGGTTTTTTATTTTAAGTAAACGTAACAATTATTCAAAATTCTATTTCCGCAATAAACTAGAAAAAGGCCGACGAGTTCAAATATGTGTACAGAATTAAAATCCAAAAGGCGTAATTTTGTCAGGCTTTTAGGTTTACATAGGTTTTTTGTAAGAAAAAAAATGACTTACTGGTAGAAAAAATTATATACGTTAAAAATTATACTCTAAAGTTTATACAAATTATCCGGAAAATAAATTTACATGGTCGAAATTGATTAAGACCACTTTTTTCTTAAATATTGCCTATATAAAACCCCTTAAAATCCACCAGCTTTCAATAGAAATTTTTTGTTTGAATACAAACTTAATTGGAATTTGGATCACATGTGGTATTTTTTCTGGAAAATTTGTGAATTTTTCTAATATATTTTTCAGAAAGCTGAGATAATTTTACATAAAGTGTGTAAATTTCAAACTGGGATCGCCATGAAAACGCTTAGTAAAACAAAAAAAAAAAAAATTGGGGAAATTTCATAGAAAAAACGGGGAAAATTACCACAGTTGAAATAATTATATGTAAAAATAAGATATGATTTCGGTTTTTTCGAACCCACGACAGCTTGTGTACTTAACTCTGTGAGTTTAAACAGTATTTTCAATCGTATTTGGAGCTTTTTTTACTTTAATTTTAATTATATCTGGTATCCGGCGGTACAGTTGTTGGGGGGATAGGTACCGAATACGTTTTACAGTATAAATGTAATTATTATACTAAGGTACTTAGGTCGTACTTGGAACGTCAGATGTTCCCTGACGGTGAGAGTGCCGATGAATAAGTCATGTTGTTGGACGTACGCAGAGACAGCTGCCAATGTGTTTGCATTAACAGGCATGCCGTTGATGGCTCTTGTGCCCATTTCCTCGACGTTTCGATCGCCCCTGAACGTTAAGGAATTTAGTAGGGTAGTTTTCCCAGCTCCGCTAGAGCCCATTAGAGCCAATAGTTCTCCGGGGTGCGCAGAACCACTCACTACAACATAATATATATATAAAAAAAATAAACACCGTTATTACTATTGCTACAACAAAACAAATCGTACGGAATAATTATTATAATGTTATTTATACAATTATTATTATTCATCCAGTTGATGAATAATACAGGTGTATACGTAAAATATAAACACAATGTGTAGTGATAGTACCCCCCCTATTGGGTTTCAGAGAGTTGACCAACGAGCCTTTTAGGATCGCCCAGTTGGAGAACCAATTTTAATATTTTATAATACATTTTTTACCGTTTTTTAAAATTTGCTTTTTCTGTAATTTGTGCTTGGAGTTGTTCGAACAACAGGAAGCCATCGTCTGGTAAATATTTCGACTTTTGCCGTTTTTCGTATGGACATTCATGTTGGTCCATGTGTATGTAATACTCTGCTGATTGGACAAATCCGTAGTACCAGCAAACGCGATCGGATCCCTGGATTGGTCCTGTAATTAAAACACAAACATTATTGCAAACAGTTATTAGCCGTCAATCTCATCTACCCAGAGAGATAGATGATTTAACTTTTATCCCTCCGTACTAATACCAATACTAAACACTATTTGTCATCTATAGAGTTTTTGATCGAGTAAATCAGTGAATAAAAAATAGAGTACAGACACAAAAAGCACAAACACGCGTCATTTTAAACTGAACACCTTCTAGGTTCGTATCAAAGCTAAAAAATTGGTTTAGATTTCCAATAACTTACTTTCAAAATTTTCCCCGACTATGAAGCTTGACCAAGTACATAGGTGTGTACCAATGCTGACCAAGAAAATCTAGACTTAAATATTGAGGTAGTCTGGATTTGATCTCACAATGTACGTGGGGGGGGGGGGATCAGTGGAGCCTATGAACCTCAGTTTAAGAGGATTCCCCTCTTGAAGAGTCATTAAACTTGCACGTTATTTAGAAAATATGTTATGTGTAATTGGTACACGGTTGGTGCAAATTAAAATTCATTTAAATACAGGAAAATAGTTTTTTTTAATAATTAGTTAAACATTAGCTGTATTAAACATTATATTGGCGAATGACGAGTTTATCGACATTTTTGAAAGGTGGAAAAATTGGTGGTCTGTAGCTTCAAAATAAAGAAGTATCAACAACACATTTTTCGAAATTTCAAATAAAAGTAAAAATATATGTGTTAAGTGTTAACACCCGTTAACGTTAGAAAATCCCATTTCATTGATATACACCATTTTTAAATCGTATACCTACCTACCGTTTAAAACCGATACCTACCTAAATTAATTAAAACGCATATTTTCAATAGTGTTAATACACTAATAATCGATAATACACGATCATTAATAATTTATCTGTGTGTATTTAGAATGCGTTCACCGACAGAATTCGTTAACGCTACTATCAAACATTGAGAGATTAATCTTTTCAAGAATAATTTCGCTTCACGGTTTTTACTGATATTACAACAATTGAACAGATTCGAAAAACGGAATACGAACAAATTAAAATTACTCCTAAATCTTAATCTAGTAAATAAGTTATCAACTTATTAGTATATCATAATAGTTATACAAACAGACAAATTAAACCGAGCGCACGGACTTTGGACTTAAGAATAAATTACAAGTACGAACCAGGAATGTGATGATTAAAGTCATAAGAGAACTTATTTGTTGTCAATAGTTATAATACTTATAAATACTCATTTTTTATATATATATATAACTGCGCTTAACTAATATTATTATTCTGAAATACAGACGTATTATGACTATGATTTATACTGTACACACAATCAGTATTGTATTATCTTAAAAAATATAATTATAATATAATCTCTTTTTTTATATACATAGGTTCCTTCAACATTTGTCAATATTTAATTTGGTAGATATTTGGCTTGTATAATCTACTTTCATAATTCAAAGGTCGATTGATAAAAATCGACGTTTGGAAAAAAATTTAATACTTCTTCGTTGACACAAAGAAACCTCCGGCGTGTTAAAAACCTATTTTTTTTTCAAAAGACAAAAAACAAACAAATTGCCAATGATTTATCGAAATCAATTTCATTAAATTTTATAAAATTATATTACACTCTTATTTTGAAAACAAGAAATCTGAGTTAAAAGTATAATTATAGCTCTATAAATATTTAGGTATTTGTCAATGTTTTGACCAACATTTTACTTCACATTAAAGATATTTCATAAGCGATTTTTCATATTTTATTTAACATGAAGATGGACATAGATGAACATTTTTTTTTATAATCTAATTATAAATCAATTGTGAAATTACGAAAAACAATTTTACATAATTTAAAAAAAAATAAACAATTTTTTAAAAAATAAGTAATAACGTAAAGCAATTTTTAATTTATATTTTTTAGTTCACTCGGCACTAAATATTTTGGTCTAAATTTAAAAATTATTTAGGTACTTAATATGTTAAAATAATTTTGGGAAAAAATTGTTTATTTTTAGTAATTTTACAGTGAAATCCTAGTTAATGCAATTTTGGAGAATCCTATACTTAGAGATTCCAACAAAATAGGAAAAATAACAAATAACTACAAAATAACAAAACATGAGTGACATAGGTACACTTATACACCTATATATGAGGCGTCTAGTTTCAAAAAGTGTTAAAAGCAATTTTTGAAAATGTTCACAAACATCTAATAATTTCTTCGATGGGTGATTTAAAAACCAATCAAGATTTTCCCTACACGGTTTGGAGTTAGTTATAATCTTTAATCTTTGATATTCAACTATAGTTTTACATACAATGTAATACAGTGTTTTGAAACTAGACGTCTCTATGGTGTATACCATATAATATACACCTAAAGAATTCAGTTTTGATTATAATTATTACATTGTTAGTTTTACATACCCCGTTAACAGGGATAGTGTGAAATTATAAACACCAAATGACGGACCTTTTTGACCTAACGTACCTATTCCATATTAGCTATCTAGTTCAAGGGTGCCTGGTAAAAATTCAGGGGGCGCCTATGATTTTTAATCGATTTTTACAGATTTGGGATATTGGATATACATTTTTTTCATTTTCAGATAAGCTGGGGGAATCTGTGGACTGCGATTGAATTAAAAATCGCTAACTACATCTATACCGATTTACACTGTACTGTTCTTTTTTTATTTCTAGTAATAAAAGCACAAGGTGAATACTGATAAAAACTGCCATGCTTCAGTGGTATACTGATATATTTTTATTACACGAGTAATTTAAGTAATTATATTACAGGTGAAATTATAGGTAAGTAAATGATCTCAGAAACCATTGAAGTCATATCATGCTGGTGTTAGATATATGTAATATAAACCAATATTAGTTTAGGTGCAGCTGTTGTATAGCTTCTATCAGTATCGGTGTAGTAATAATATATCAATATCGACAAATGATAATATACCTACTCCGGACACTTTAAGAAGGTTGGGTCACACGTCTAAGGGGAAAATGTATAAATTACTTGAGAAAACGCTTTGATACAAACTATAAATAATCTATTACCAGCAATTTTATTGATGAATTTTTTTTTGCGATTTGAACATAGTTAAGTGCATATTATGTTTATTTGTATGTTGTTAAAGTACAAATTTGAGTGTTTCACAGTTTCCTTTTCCGTAGAATTATTCCAGAAAATGCCTTTTAAATCAAAACTTTTTCCACTAAAGATAAAATGAAGGACATCTTAATCAAATTAATTCTTCTAGAGTTCTAAATCAATTATAAATAATAATTAGAGTTTTGAGGTTTTCATAATACAAGTGATTATACATTTATATATATATATATATATATATACAAGTACATTTCTGTGGTCAGTGGTGACAATGTAATTATGCTTGGAGTAGACAGTAGTAGATTAAACAAGAATACATAACCCTTCATAATCTCTTCCATAAATTGATTGTACAAGAATAATTATTCTTGTACAATAAATCTCATCCAGGAATCAAATTTGAGATTATCTCAAGATTTCCATTAAATACGATTTATTCAGAAATCGGAATACTGCTTGGGACATACGTGGAATATAAAAAGACTCCTGGTATCATCCAATAGATTCTCTCCACGTAGGGAGACCCGTCTGGGGACAGGAATAAGATAATCGCAGGCAAACCCTGCCAATGGTGTTAAAGTAACAATAAATGAATATGAATATTGTCGACTAAAAGTTGGAAGTATAATATGTCAAACACTGAACACGTAGGAATTTTGATTAAATAGTGCATATTTTTTTAAGAAAATTAAACAAAGTTATAATAAAATATAATGAGTGCTACGGAAGAAATATATTTGTTAAAACTCGAAAAAATTCGGTTTTTTTTTTGTTAGACAAAAGTACATACTTGTATGTATATTTTTTAAACAGTTAAATTATTTTTAGTGCAAAAACAGCCGAGTTTAGACATCAATTGGAAAGTAAGTTTAAAAAATAATTATTTAATTTACGATTGACAACACATGATAGGATAATTGTTTTATTCATTTTGATCATGCCAAATTAAGTTTAGGTTAATTTGTGTTTTCTTCAGCATTTAGGGTATAATTGTTAACGTTTAAATTTAAGATGCATAGTAATCAAATTTTGATTTTTTTTTTTTTGATAGACTATAGTTTACAATGTAATTTCTGTACGTCGTTATAGGAATTAAGTTATATACATATGAATTTATTTAACACATCGTTTTAGATGTGTTATTAATCGTTATAACTTAACAAATCTTTAAAAAATTGGTAGTTGATCAATAGTAAATAATAGTTGATAATAGTGCTAACGTATAACATAAAACAAATTCTTGAATTTTAAATACGTACGAAATAGTTTACAATTATTAAAACTATTTAGTATACAATTGATTTGTATAGTTGTTTGACTAAACCGGTGGCTTTTAAAAATTGAAGTGTCGTTTGTTTATGTACGACGGATTTGGACAAATAGCTTTTGAGATGTGCAATGACTGCGATGACATACGGAGAGTGATCTATTGTGTTTTTCTTGATATTTTTTTTAATTCAGTTGGTAAATACTTAACTGATACATGGATACCACGATTTTCACATAGGGGAGGTTCTTCGAGTGATATTTTTTTTGTGTTTACACGATAACTTTTTTTTTTAATATCTTTAGAGATAGTAAATTGTACCTATATATTATTTTTTTTATGTTATGTCATTTTGTATGTTAAATTATTCCAGTGTATGTTTTATGTATTGATATTTGTTTTATTATAATCAACTATTTTATAGTAATTAGTATTCATAATATTTGACGTGTTGAAAAGCATCTAAACGTTTTTAGGTAATTGAAATAAGCTCATAACTTAAAAATATATTTAATTGACTTTAATTGCAAATTTAACCCAAGTAAAACTGTCGGAATATTACCATTTATATCAACAATTGTTGAAGTTATAACAAATAATGTACTATATAATAATTATGTAAATCTTGGCATGGTCATGTTTGTAATCATCAGTTGCTAGTGATTAGAAAGTATATAATATTATAAGTAATCATTTTTAATTTGTTTTATAATGAAAATCACGGATTCTAGATGCACATTAGGTAAATGATAATTGATTAATTTGCATAATATAGTAATAACACATAATATCTAGTTTCTTGGCGTTATTTCATATAAATAAATTAAGTCGTATCTACCAATAAGTACCGAGGTTATTCGTGTACCTATCTAATGCGTAGTTTATATTATATTTCGTTACCATTCGTAATACTTAGCTAGGTATATCAATATATCATTTAAGTATGTATAGGAACTATAGGAATCGGACAATGCTGTATTTAACCGTTTAAGTAAATTCTTTAGGCATTCATTCGGTTTTTATTTAATTGTTTGTTGTAACAAGCCTTACGACAAAATATACCTAATCTAACGGTTAAATATGGGTGGAATTTGTAAATTTTCGCCTAATATTAATAGTGAAGAGTTTGACACATATTATAGACTATAATGTTTTCCACAATAATCATTAAGTGATGCATCATAACAAATGAGAGAGGTGCGGTAACATGAAAACATGATCAAAAATGTCAAACTCACCAGACTCAAGTAGTGGGACTTTGCAGTGGCATCTCCATTGTTGTTCCTTCCGCCCAGCAACGGTTTTCTTTCCTCTTGGTTGCCCATTGGCTGTCGCGTATTATATAGTATTAATTATTGGTTTGGTTACCGCGAATAAAATATATATATATATTTCAAGGATCTATAATATATACCGAAATAAAATACCTAGATCACTACGCTGGTATGGAAAGGATAAACGGTGGTATTCCCCGCACGTTGATGCGCACACGTGCTGACCGCGACGTCTGGCTGTCGCATAGATACTGTTAACTGACCGGTCGAGCAGAAGGTTGTGGCGATGAAGAAGCACTGAGAAGTGTGGGGGAGAGAGGGCGATATTACGTAATGTATGCTGTACAGTACACATAATTCACCTGAAATAAATATCATATTATTTTATTATCAATGTAATTATTATTTCAATAAGGGCATCGCTTTATTGATTCAACGACTGACCCGGGACTCCACGCTCAGTGAAATCGTCGCGTTTGCAGTCATAGACAAGTATATTATACTGTTTGCAGTGTGGTCTGGTCTAATCCGGTGTATAATATTAGATTTTACTTTAGATAATTGCTACACACATCTACAATTTATTATTAATAACGATAATAATTTATCTAATCTGTGTAAAACTGCGTTGCCGTATGCGGTCACCCTGTACACTTTGAATATGAATTCCTTGTATATATTAACATGATATATTATATAATGATACACGTGGGTATGTTCAGGGTGATCAACTTATCGTGAACCACTTATGTTTTTATACAATTTCATCTCAATTTCTCACAATTTTTTTTTTGTTTTTACCTACCTCTCAACTTAGTTTTTTTTTTGAAACTTAAAAATGGTACGGCATACATTTCATCGACTTTTTAAATTGAGAATAATGTACTGAAAATGTTGACTGGTCGATAACCAGTTTTGGACAACTATTTTTCAAGTTATAAGAGTTGAAAAGTTAATTAACTCTTGCCCTGAACTTGAAACTTCAATAACTTCATAAATAGTTATCCAACGCTGGTTATTGACCAGTCAAAATTTGTAGTACATTATTCTCAATTTAAAAAGATAATGAAATGTATGTATGCGTTACTATATTTAAGTTTCAAAAGTTGCTATGAAAAAAACGAAGTTGAGAGGTGGGTAAAAACAAACAAAAATGTGGAAAATTGAGATCACATTATATAAAAACACTTCAATAACAAAAATAATTCAATTATTAATTAAACTCGGTGAGATATTGAGTGGCCCATGTTAAAAAAATTACCATGTATACCAGTCAAAAAGTTTAAAAAATAATTCAATTATTTGGATATGTTAAAATAAAAAACGAATACGTACAACTTTTATATAAGCAGAAAGAAAAATAAAAAGATTCGGTAAAATGCACTAGAAAAACAGGCAATTTTTAGAACTATGTTCTTTAGATAGCTTTCTAGCATTACCATGTTAACTTTTAGTCTCGAAATTTCATATTAAGCCTTATAAAGTTATAGAGTATAATATAGAAAATGTGCTAAAAAAAAAGTTCTAATCATGCTCTTAAAAAATTATACTTTTGGCCGCCTAAATTGGCGTTTCAGACCACTGTGCGCCGCCTAAAAAGTTTCTAAATACAATAAAAATAAGATAACAATTTTTTTTTTTAAATATTAATGTCAACCCGTGCTCCACAAGGGTTGAAGTTTAAATGGGATTTAACATAGGATTTCGACTAGAGCCGACGATTCTACACGTGTATTTTAAACTTTAAACAATAAGTTGACTATTGTCTCGAATCAGTCATCCTATTTTAGATTTTTTTCATACAGATGTTTCGGTATATTCTTTTGAAACTGCTATAGGTGTTGTTTGAATATTCATCCAAAAAAAAGTTATATATTTCATTTTGAATAAAATCGCCTATAAAACACAAATAACGATCATGTGTCCCATAATAATGTATGCAAATTATACACATTGTCTTTTGGTTTGATATTTGTTTTATGGCTACACTTTTATGGCTTCTCTTGTCAGTAAAATGCGTGCTGTAAAAGTTTTAGAACAAAAGCAAAACACCTAGAAAAGCCAGTACAGCAGGGAGGGGGCGTAGGGGAACGGAGCATATTGGGACGAGGGCTGAGGAAACATGGGCTTTTATGAATTATTAGAATTTGAAAAATATGTAAATTTATCGGTTGTTTTTCTCGATTTCAAAAATCAAGTATCGTTTTTTGTGTGTACAGGTGTCCTACACTCTAAAAAGTTTTAAAATGTAACGACTTGGGTTAAAATTGTTAGGAAAAAAAAACTGCCGTCCCTACAAAATAATAAATGAAAACGCACGCGTTATACAGGAGATTTTTTTATCATGTGCCACTCAAAATCTCATAGGGTTTAATAAGGAATTAAAATTTGTTTTTTTATATTGTTTTTATACAATATGAAATTAAAAATTTTAATTTATTATTAAACCCTATGAGATATTAAGTGGCTCATGATAAAAAGATCACCTTGTATACAAATAATAAAAAAAAAATTGCTAGATACTCCTAAACGGCATTTATTAACACTTGTTCTAAAGGTAAAAAAATTCCTTAGGAACTAATTCGGCTATTTCAACGGTTTACAACTAATTTGACTAATTTTAAATTCGTAGAGCGCCGGAATTTTTAAGTTGAAAATGCAAAATTTTAAATATTTCATAAGAACTCAAACGATTAATTAAAGATGTTCTTCCTTGAAATGGAGAAAAACACCCAAAAAAAATGTTTATATTTTCTAACTCTAAATTACAAAGCACTAATACTTTTTCAAAAAAAATAGTCTAATTAGTTCGAAATTTGTATAAAATATGTTTTTAACATTGTACTACCAATAAACGTTGACAAACTAAGTAATAATGTACTTATATTTAGTCTTGTGCAGGGTGGATACAATAAGGGTTGATCGTCTGTTTATAAAAATGTACTGTCATAGTTACCCATATATCGTAATTAACAATATAATGAACATATTTTCATTACCTGTTGACTGTTGATTCACACGCACACACCTAGAAACTGACTACGGCCAAAGTGTATATTTACCCTATTTTTGGGGTTTTTCCTTTATAAAAAAACTTTGCTTTAAAAAGGAAAATAAAGGGGGAAATGCTATCCTTTCTAGGGGAAAGGGTTTATGATATTTGTTTGGTTTGTTAATGTTTATCGATAGTACTATGTTTGAAGAACAATTCACATAAATTTGGAACATTTTCGACTATTTTTAAAAAAGTTATAGAGCGTCGTAATTTTAAGTTGGAAAATTCGTAAATATTTTAGGTGTTTTTCTCGATTTTTATGGGGAAGGGGTGACTCTTTTAAATTTTTGGCCCGATAAAGTACCTTCCAGGTATGATTTCTGATCTATAGATTTGCTGCACGAAGAAATCGGATCAGCGGTTTACGAGATATCGTGGGTCCAGACACAAAAAAAAAAAAAAAACACATCATTGTAAAAACAATACCTTCTCAGCTCCGCATCGAAGCTAAAAATTACATTTCTTAATAAACCCTATAAGATACTGGGTGGTTCGCGATAAAATGATCACCCTGTATGTCATAAATAAACACGAACCACACAGTAAGTACATACGAACTAGTGACGACGATACTTTGATTTTGCAATGCGTTAAACACCATTTGGCGTTTTTGTAAAAATTGTAAAACGCTTACATACTAACAAATATTATATTCTAAAATAATATGTGACTTACAACGCCAAACGCTTAATATGGGATAGTAGTGTTGGAAAGCTTAGAGACCAAAACTCCAAATATTTAAGGGATCTCCAATTATCACCCTGCCCGCCCTTTTTAGCCATTAGTTCTTTTAATTGTAATCAATTTACTAAAAATTTGTAAAAATCCACAAGCTTGGTAGTTTCTCTGAAAACAAATAACTAAGTGGGGGCTGTGGTTCGGCACTTGGTCAGCTCAATACAGACAGATGTTTTCGACTCCTCACATTAATCCAACAAAATCAAACTAAAACAAATACTTGCCTTTTACTACTAAATAAAAAATATGCCTAAAAAATAACAAAAATAAATTTTTTATCACATTGTTGTAATTAGGTACAATGTTTTTATCAATAATGATATTTCTACTATAACAGATTTTATTTTTTTTAATTTTATTTGTGATGTACAGCGTGGGGCAGATGGTTTCGAAAGTTCTTGTGAGGTTATCCTGATAGACTTTACCTTAAGAAAGGATTAGACAGGAGGTGGTTTAAGTCCCACTAGCCATGCTGAAAAATGTGTTTAACAACTTTTCTTGAATGCTTTTTCGTGTACTTTGATGTGGTAAAAATATAATTGGAAAAAATCTATGCCATTTTTTATATTCTTTTCATAATTGCTCTTTACTCTGCCCCTTAGTATATTCAATACGAATAAAAATACATATTTTTGTCTTATAAGAAATTAAAATTTCATATTTTATTTTGCAACATTTTGATTTTGTCGCAATATTAAATTAAATATCTGAAAACTATGTAAAAATTACATAAGTAAAATAATAAAATGGTTTTAATATGTACCGTGCCTAACGTTGTGTTTTTGAAAATCAGTGTGAATAATAAAATATACACATTCGGTTCGATAATATATCAAACAATTTGGTCTTTTTAAAATTAAAAATTAAAAATTTCGATGCTCTCTGCTCTCGATTTTTATTTCTTTGCTTTAGTATAAACATTTGTGAAATTCGAAGGTTACAAAAAATCATAGGTTGACAATATTCTCGCTTTAGACATACTATTTTAGGATTTGTGCAGAAATTTTAATATGTTTGTTTACCCTGACTGTAGTTTGTACACATTAAAACTCATTGTTGGTATATTTAAAGTTTAAAAAAATATGACTTGGCCAAATACTGTCGGATCGAGTACTAGTTTATTAGGCATGTTCCTGACTTAAAATTTCGACCACGTCAACCGGTTAATTTGTATAAGCTTCGTAGTATTATTTTTAGTTTAAATCATTTTGTCTATGAGTAAAAGCCATTTTAGTTAATATAACATACATTTTTTGTTCCATCGCACAGGCTGAACCAGTGATCCGATAAGTAATCTGAAAACAGATTTGAATTTGTCATGAAGTTTACTTGGGAGCCTACTAGGTACTTTTTTGATATCTTTTTCTTGCTATGAATAAGAAACGTTTGAGCATTTTATAAAATTTCAAATTTTAAAATCAAATTTGTAAAGGGTTAAAATTCAAAACTGAAAAAAGTGCCTTGTCGAATCTCAAGTAAACTTAATGACAAATTCAAATCTCTTTTCAAATTACTTATCGGATTACTGGTTCGGCCTGTGCGATGGACAAAAAATGATGTGTTTTGACTGAAAAAACCGACCGCATGCAATCCCCTTAACTTAAAATGTATAAGATACGGTTTACTTAGTGAATACTACATGAATAATATATTACATTTAAAAAAAACACGTGGCACGTGGTCGGTTTTTTTTTATGTTTTAGTCGAAAAAAAGCCAGATCAAAATTTCTACTGCTTAGAACGGTCCGACATCAACTCTGTTAAAAACACAAGTACATTGGCAACTTTACTAGGATTATGTAGGAAACAATTTTTTTAAAAAATTTTTTTTTTTTAAATTGATATTAATATTGAAAAAATTGCAAATTTAGTTTTATTAACTACAAAAAACTGAAATTTTTAAATGAATATTGGCATTTGAAAGATTAGCACTTTCAGTAGTACTATTTCATATAAATATATAAAACTGTGACCCATGATCTGAAAGGTAAAATGATTTTACTTTGGGCCGTGTCTCTATTTTGTACAAATTTGTTTATAAAAAATGTATATTTTCTGTTTATGACTACAACGTGTACCTTGTAATGCCCTAATAACTCTTTCAAAGTATTATACTTTGGAAAAACCATTTTTTATAAGCAACATAAACCAATTGTTATAATTAAAAATATTACCAAGTAATGTCCTCAGACATAGGTCAAATCTTATAAGAGACGGGAAAATTAAGAAACTATTTTACTCTGTAAATGATGGAACTATTTTATTGATATTTCATCCAAGATTTGACGCACTTAAATAAATGCTAACAAAATATAAAAGCAAGATTTATAATTTAAACAAAACTACATTTGTATGTGACAAACCACATACATAAACATTTATAATTGAAAAAATTATAATTATAATCAAAAAGATCCAGGAAAGAAATAATCAATAGCGATGAATGTGGCTTCCTTCTTAGTGAACTCGTATTCTGAAAATAAAAAATATTATACAATTTTTAACAAACGAATCGGGTCAATTTAACAGCAAATGAGTTATTTGAGATGCGATACACTTGATGAATATTATTATTTCAAATTATTAGTGAAGAAATCATAATGTAAATTTTATTTTTTACATTATTAGTTAAGATTAAAAAATGTAAAAAAAAAAACCGATCATGTGTGCCACAAGTTTTTTCAATCATTCTGTCCACCAACAATTTTTCAATATTTTGTCTGGTCCGAGAATTATGTTATTTTTTGGTTTAAAAATAATTACAATTTCGAGAAAAAAACATGACAATCTCCATTAATAAAATGGTTTTTCAATAATTTTCATCATTTGAATCAAGACATTTATGAATTATAATTATATTGTTCATTATTACCTGATCTTGCCGTTTTGTACGGTATTGACGTTTTCGGTTCACTAGCATATGGGTATTCGTCAGTAGAACACGGAAATTCCGTTCTGAATAGTGTAAGTATATCTTTTAATTCATCAAAGAATATGCCATTTTGGTCGAACGTTCTGAAGCACCTACTTACCCATGTCTATTGTTTTCAGAATAAAAACTATACATTAGAATGTTTTCAATAAAATTAAAAACAAATTGTCTAGCGTAGGGTGTTAAAAAAACCATTAAAAAAACAAATGGTTCAAGTATAACACTAATTCACCAAACAATAATTTACATGTTGTACAAATCAGCAAGAATCTTGCTAATGAATTTCGACCTATTTTATATAATTTCGTTGAAACTTGCAATATTTTGAGAGTCCTAACACATACAAGTTGACTAGCATTGTAATAAAGTTTTAATTTACCGCCATAGTCGGGGTTAATTGCGCAACATCTAAGTACTTTGCGGCGTATCTTTCAACTTCCTGCAATGTGTATCTATACCCTGAAATTATAAAATATTGCAAATTTTTATTTAATAACTCAATAGGACAATTATTTTACCTCGAACGAACTACGAGCGTACACTTATAACAATAATAATAATGTGATATTATCTTAGACAGTTTTATCGAAATGTAAAATTAAAAAAAACAAACATTTTTGTATCGAACATTTTGTCAAAAATATTTTTGCACTCTCAAAAAAAGTCTCCCTGATTCTTAAATTTTTTATTTATTTTTGTGGTTTAAAAATATAAAATAATTTAAATCTATACAAATGACAAACTAGATTCGTTAAATGTATTTTCAATATTTTTTTCATAATTCAATATATTAAGTTAATTAGATAATTGTCCATTGTGTATTACTTGTTCCTATCTGTTGCAGTTCTTCAAGACTGGGAGTATCTATATGTACTCCGAATTGCTGTGCTGCTGTTACAATGACATCTTTGACTCCATTTAAGTTTATGATCAGATCTCTGCCATCTTCAACGACCATGCCATCTGGATTTGCATAATTATCGACTATGTTTTTAATAGTTACCTATTGTTTTCAGAATAGGAATTAGACGTTAAAATGTATATTATAATTTACACATCAAAATCAAAACACTAAAATACCAGACATAATTATATACTTGGTGAATTTTTTCAGCGTAATACCATTGAATACCACAGTAGTATTTTTCCTTATTGTTACTATATTGTAATAACTTTTTACGTGTAAATATCATTTAAATAAACTCTTCGGTGCGGAAGTGGGTAAGGTTAAATCATTTAAAAATAAAACACATCTTGAACATTGTTAAGCAAGCATACTTACAAACCGTTCTACAGTAGGGTCCAAACAGTGACATTGTAAGAGGTATAATTCCACGCAAAAAAACAGTATGACAATTTTTAAATACATTTAAAAAATTTAAACAATATACTTGGATTCGAAATATTTAATTTATTAGTTTTGGAAGTAAAAACTGTATTGAAACTATTCGATAATAGTACTCAATACTTATGTCGATTTTATAACGAAATGGGAGTGTTGTATCTTTTTGAATTATCGCAAGACTTTCTATAAGAAACTATACTACAGGAATGGAACGGTTTCAACACTGTAAATATTGAGCTGTGCGATTTCGGTGTAAACAAATGTTGTTTACGAACGTTCTTGTTTGTCATTTTTAAGACACACGCACCCTCTTACTGTTATTGTTTTAGTGAATAATATAATTTCCAATGTCGATGATGTTTACCAAAGTCTGACGACTTTGGCGTGACGTTGCAGCACGGTTTTCAACCAGGTCGCTCTACCACGACACGGGATCTTGTTCTAAGCGTTAATTTTTGTATGAATTTTTCCCATTAGGATCGCAGCTTGATGTTATCTGTACGGACTTTAATAAAGCATTTGATTCTGTTAACCACTGCGTTGTCACTGCAAAGTCCTCGGTTTTGGCGAGCTTTTACTATACAGACTCTCCTACTATCCTGTACTTGATCAACTTTGAAGTTCCACGATTAATTATTATATCAACAATAACTTTAATGTAATAATTATTTTTAACACTTCACTTGAATTAACGAATCGGCACAAATGCTCGAGTCTACCCTGGTTGTTTAATGTTTTGAGACTATACTAGAGACACACATTTGGAGGTAGAGACCAGACAAATTTTTAGTAAAACCACTACAATAAATACCCTACTATAGCATAAATTTTAATATTATTAAATGATTTTGTTAAATAATTGGTTCTAATAAATGCCGTTTAGTAGTCTAGCAACTGTTGTTAAGTTGTTGTTGCGGTTGGTTTTTAAGGCGTTTTGTATAGGCAATATTTAGGAAAAAAGTGGTTTTAATAAATTCTGATCGTGTCAATTAATTTAACGGTTAATTTGTATAAGAAGGTTCATGGTATTATTTTTAATTTAAATTATTTTGTCTATGAGTAAAAACCATTTTAGTTAATATAACATACATTTTTTGTTCCATCGCACAGGCTGAACCAGTGATCCGATAAGTAATCTGAAAACAGATTTGAATTTGTCATGAAGTTTACTTATGATCGGTCAGGGTACTTTTTTTATATCTTATTCCTACTATGTATAAAACACGTTATATTAAATTTCAAATTTTAAAATCAAATTTGGAAAAAGGTTAAAATTACAAATTGAAAAAAGTACCCTGACCGATCACGAGTAAATTTCATGGCAAATTCAAATCTGTTTTTAGATTACTCATCGGATCACTGGTTCGGTCTGTGCAATGGAATAAAAATGATGTGTTTTGACTGAAAAACCCGACCGCATGCAATCTCCTTAGTATTTGTATGGCGCGCACGTTTTCATTTACTATTTGCCAGTAATTTTAAAAATGGTTTTAACTCAAGTCGTAACAAACACGTTATGCATTGTGTGGTATACAAAAAAAAAAATGATACCGACACCTTGATGTTTCAGTGTGTAGGTGAAATAATCATTAGATTATTACATTACCTACTAGCTAATTTCAAAATATAATTTTGAAACATGTTTTTAAAATGCTTTGTTACGGATGACACCAAGGAATGTTTAATCCACCAAGTATTAAATCTAAGTAAACACATTGAAATTGGGTGGTGGTGGTGGTGGGTGTTAAGAAATATCATAACTGAAAAGCAATTTATTCATATGAATTAAAGTGTGATCTAGTAATCTTCTTGCTAGATAATCTTTACATGAACCAATTCAGTTCCAGACAGAACAGTAGTTTCAAGCCAGTACAGTCCAAACCAAGCACAGGGTAAACCAGCAAAGTTAGAAAGTATTAAATTGAAGTGCTGTATTTACAAATAATCATCAAAGCGTTAATTTGAAAGTGATTTTATCCGGGAGGACTAGTTCAGTAGATTATAGGCATAATGGAATCAAAGCATAGAGGGAACGGAGAGGTTACAGGTCCAAATAAATATTTCTTATAAATTTCAACTTGATCCGACACTTTTTATTGAAATTATTGCCAGTAAAAGTTCTAACTTAAATACTTGTACGGTTTTTTTTAAATTTTAACTGTGAAGAAGTAAACTTTTTCTACTTTTACTCCCCGCCCCAAAGTACCAACTAGATAAAATTTGTGATTTATAGAGTTGCTACTCTAAGGAATTGGTCCAGTGACAAGCCCACATAATATTAAAACCAATACCTTCTCTGCTTTGCATCGAAGCTAAAAAAAATGTTTTGGCACAAACCTGAAATAGTATGTCTAATGCGATGATATTTTCAACTATAATTAATTATAACCTTCGAATTTGAATATATCAAGTTATATTAACAAGCGCTAGCACAATGTAAAATAAAGAAAATTCTAAAATAAGTCTGTATGTTATACACATAATATTATTATTGTTATAATATAAAAAGCAAGAAAAATATTCAATGAATATGTGAAATAAAATGTTCATCAATTAAATTGCAATGACATTTTGGTAATCAACTTCGTCATTTGTATAGCTATTATTAACTATTATTTATTTTTTTCACTAAAAAATCATAACTCTGGACCAGTAAAAAAATTGAAAATACTTGAGACCTTCTTTTGACGATAAAATTGTTTTAACAAAATCTAATAATTTTACAAATGTTTTGCAAGACGTGCAAACACATGATTTTTTTAAGAGATTTTATCACTTTCGGTTATAGTAATTTCTGTAGACCTGCGACCTTCTCGTCCCCACTATGCATGCCCCGAACCTATTGTACTGGAATTTTTTTTTTTTTTTACAAAAAAATTATAACTGAAGAACCACACGACAAATTGAAGAAAAAAACATGAGACCTTTTTTGATGGTGTACCAAAAAAAATGTATAATTTAATATTTGAAATAAATAGCTTTGCATGTGTAACACATTGTTATTTTCAATTCTTTTGCGGTCAAATTTTGGTTGTTTTAGTTATTTAAAAAATGTACGATATTTTTTACTTTCAGACAGGAAATTTACATTGGACGAAGTTCAATGGCTCGTCAAAGAATATTTAATTACCCAAGATCCGGCAATAATGGTAAATAAAAAACAATAATACTATATTACAGATAAAAGGCTCGTTAGATTTTTTGTGTGGGGATATTCACATTATTTCAACTCACTATTCTCATAAGTAAAATAGGTTTAAAATAATCTCGTAGTATGATAAGTACTTATATTATAGTATTTATATGTTTATTGTCACGGTGGTAATCCCACTCCAGAAGAACAAGCACTTAGTATTTATGATAATAAGAAATTGCTGAGATTCTTATTTAACGACATACAAAATGTAAAATATTGTTTAGAAAGTCAATGTAATGTTTTTACCAAAAAGTTCATTATCAAAGAGTATTTTTTTTAAAGTGGTTTTTTATTAAATTATAAACGATTCTTAATAACGATAGGAAATAATGCTTATAAATTCCTAATAATATGTTAGTATGCTGAAAAAAATCGCAAGGCGCATATGTTTGTCTGGTAATTTGGCAATTTGATTTTGCTAATTAAGTCTCAGTTTAATGTGTAAAATATCACAATATACGATTTATCGTTTATTTCTAGTTCTGTAACAATAGGGATTTGACAAGAAACGCATTCGTACAACATACAAATCATCAAAATATCGTAGACATTGGAGGTTTAAAAAAAAACAATAAAAAAATATTCAATAAATATGTTTAAAAAAATGTTCAACTACAATTGCAAAGGAATTTCAGTAATCAAATTCGTCATTTGTATAGCTGTGAATCATTTTTATTGTTTTTTAATTAAAAAATCATAACTCGGACCAGTAAAAAAATTAAAAATACATGGCACCTTTTTTTTGGACGGTAAAAAAGAATTTAGCAAAATCTTATCAATTTTACTCAATGTGTACAATGTACTGAGATTTAATTACGCAAGTAACAGTTTTAACAGTAAGATAATTGTTATCATGAAAAAAAATATATAAATAATAAACTCTTAAAACTAGACGCTTAAATGGTACTTACAACTTTAGTTTTTGATTTGTTTTTTTCATGTTAAATTGTTGCAGGTTGTACGAGTTCCTACATGACTTTTTTTCTTTTTAATTTGAAATAAATAAAAAAGTGTTTTATTTTAATGATAAACAAATATATACATATTTTTTTTAAATTTAAATTCGTTTATTAGTACACTAAAGATTCTTTGGTTTTTATCGTGCTTACCTGATCCATCTCACTAAATATTAATACATTAATATTATGTTACTCATCAGATTAAAACTCAAGACACACCATTTTTGTGTCTGTATTTAAATATTTTCAATTGAATTTCAGAACAAAATAATAATAATAAGATATGTATTATATGTTCATTAAATATTATTATTATTCAATATATTATGTATATTTGTGTATATATAATATATATACTATATTAATTATTATTATTATCCCAATACCCCAATTATATTTGCAGATTTACAAGACATTTACAAAAGTAATAATAATAATAAACAATAAGTCAGTGTAGTATTTTTGTTGGGGAGTGAGGGATGTTTTAAATATTAAGATTTTGACTACTAGCTATTGACAATAAATAAACTATGTTTTGTTTAATGAACAAAATAAAATTGAATTATTAATAAATAAGAAAATGATATCACTTATTATTAAATATTTATTTTACACAATGTGTTGTATTTATTTTATAAACTATAAAATACATTAGTTTAATCTTAACAACATTATAAAATACAAATCATTTTTAGTTTTAATCCGTAAACAGTTTTGTTAGTAAACAAATTGGAGCTGTTTAACTTGTATAATGTACACGATGAAATAATTTACTGAGTACCAGTTGAGAACAATGCTATCAATCCACTTGCTATACCAACGGAAAATATGTAATTCCTATAAATAATACGAGTTAAGGCTTAATTTATCAAACTTTAAAATACCTAAAATATAAAAAATAAACAATTATTATTTACTAAGGTAACAATGTTAGCATTTATGAATTAATCATTTAATACATAAATGATACATCACAATACAAAATGTTATGTTATCTAACGTTTATCACAGATGAGCGGCCGTACCTAAAATGTGATCCGAGTCAAATGTATGTTCTATTTTAGATATAATTTTAAATAATCTAACTACTTTAACACATTTAATAACTTTATAAAAATTATTTGCTACAAATAATCTGTTAGTCCATAGATGGATTAAATATTTGCAGGTTGGGTTTGGTTTGATATTAAAAATTAGGGTTTGTCACTTAGTAGCTTTTATATAGTGTTCAGATATCGATTTGGTCACGTTTACTATAAGCAAAACACTATACTATCAGTAGGGTAAAACAAACGGATTTAACATAAAAGACAAAAATGAATTATAGTATAAATAGTAGTAGAGGCCTACCACCCTGCATACTAATTGCTATTGTCTCAAAAATAAAAACTTAATTTTAATATTTGTTGAGATAATGTGTAATCTACTAATTATTAATTATCTTAAGTTTAGGATAATAAAAGTTATGAATTTCATATTTTAATACTTAACATGGGATGTTTGTAAATATTTTTAAACATAGTGATCGCTAGTATCAGGTAGTGATCATAGTTAATCAAGTTGAGTTAATCATGTTTATTTCAAACTTAATAACTAACAAAGGAATTGTAAGTAGTATATTTTCCAAATATTGCATTTCCTACCTTAAGAACGTAAATGACACAGTTGGCATTTATTAAGAGGGTCAATAATGATAAATCATACAATAACTGTGTTTTTTAAATTAAATTTATCAAAAGGATACGCTGTTGTTGAGAAGCCTTTCAGTAGGTAAAAACTGAGCAAGACTACAATGACCAAAAATATTGCATTGTTATAAAAAATTGAAAATGCAGTTGCTTCATAATCTGCTACATCGTTTTTCTGGAACAAAGCTCTGAAAAAATGTAAAAAAATTATAAATTATTACATTGAAATTAATTTTAACTAAAAATTAACGTTTACAAAAATATTATATTTTTATTAATAGTATATTCTAGTTCAAAAGTACTTCTAGGAAGTATTAGTCACTGGCCATGGCCGTGCACCACCTGGGAAGTACTCTTGTGGATGGAATGAACTAGAAAAAAAATGTTCACTTTTTAACTCCTATTAGTCTAATAAGAATTATCAGTGCTTGATCAAGTATAGGATGAGCAAAAAGCTACGCTTATGATTTCTAGTGTCCCACGACGACAGCACTTGACTTAGCTCTAACATGGCTTTTATTTTGGGACATAATCATTAGAGAATGTTTAAAATTTAACTTAATTAGGCTTATTTGAAAAGTTTAATGTTTCGCCGAAGATTAAAATCACTAAATGCAAATTTAATACCTATTTAAATAACTGTATGAAGAAATAAATTATACTGACAGAATTGGGGAAGTTACTTGAGCTTACCAATACATTTTTATTCAATTAAACATTTTTCATGACTAAAATGTAATCCTATCAACAGATATATTACTTATTCTTAATCCTCAACGAGTAAATCAGATTTCATAAATTTTAAGTTATCGATAGTATGCTTATAAATTTCATTTGTCGGTTATTTGTGAATAACCATCCAATACTGGTTATAGTCAAATAGTAAAATTTGTAACTACTTTAACTATCTTTAATTAGTCCAAAACCCTTATGCGGGTACTGGGAACTATATGAATCAGATTATTCTAATAATATAATATGATAATATAATAGATTAGGTACTTTTCATCTTTTTCTTTCTTGCTAATTTTCTTGTCTTCGGCATATTTAAGTGTAATTTCTCGAGTCACAGCTTCTTCTCGTTTAATAGCAATCTAAATCATAAATCATAAATTAATTTTTGAAATGTTAATTTCGTTCCATAATTATTACTTTGTGTTTCAGTATGAACTTGGTGTTTTTGTAAGCAAATGCAATCAGGTATGTACTACCCAAAGTAACCAGGATGAACCAAATTAGTGCTGGTTTCATGTCAATCATATGTATTCTCCAATAGAGCCCTAAAACACAATTAATCGGGATATAAATAAACATAGTGTAAACCTGATAAATAATAAATGTAATTTTGGCAAAAATAATAAGACCGGTGCAGTAGCCAGTAAATGATAGTTGGATAATTTTTTTTAAATATTTTGAATGGCTAAAGGGCCCTTTGTTCCTAAAATAGTGACATTTTCCCTAGGTTAGGGCATTGTATCCATTAATGTGTAGATATAAACGGAACATTTGGAATAATATGTATGATTGGCAGAAAAGACAAGCGGGTTGAGTTTATTTTGAGAGTTGGTGGTCGAATTTCATTTGAATAGCATTGCAAATCTTGGACGATACCTCTTTTACTCCAAGTGTTAAAATATATTATCTTCTGTAAATCTGTTTGGAACCACCATGAATACTAGTCGTTGGGGCAAATGTTCCATCAAGATGTATACACGTGTCTATGATTGTATCTCAGACATTAGTAATCGACATAATTAAACTTAATTTATTTGTTGATTAACTTTTTAACGATACAAAAAAACTATTATACTTTTTATTTATTTGTATTGAAAATTAAGATAATTTATAAGCATGAAAACGTTATAGCAACTATTTTTTAAATAATTGATTGAGGGAACCTGAATTTTAAATTTGTAGTAAGAACTTAGAAATTAATTGGAAACAGCTTAAGAAGCACATGTAAGGCCATTGCTGCCCCCTCCTAAGGTTTCCTGACTTTTTCTTATAGAACTTAAGAACATAATATTTTAATCTATATTATAAATAATAATGAAGTTAGTGAAACAACTAGCACCAAAAAAAGTACACTTTTTTTTTATACACTAATGATTTATATAAAAAAAAATGACTTTTAGACATTACTAAAAGTATATATAATAACTTTTGTAACCCTCTAATAGAATGTTTTTAAATTTTCAGTTTAAACTTGTGATTTGATTCTTAATGACTATTTTATTTACGTGTTGTTTAAATTTTTTTTAGAGAAAATCCGAGGAATTGATTATCACCGTTTAAATGTATACTTACAAATTGGTAAAGCAGACACCATGAATGCACTTCCATAAAACAAGGCCGATGATTTTTTGGAAACATTTCTGCTAAAATCTGACAACAATTGTTCTTCTTCTTTGGTAAACAAACTCTGTTCGGATTTCTCTTTTTTGCCCATTTTAAATGATTATACCTAACTATCGAAACTTAATAACAAACTTTAAACTTTATTTACTATTTTATGGTAATATATAATATGTATATTTATTATTTATATGAAACGTGTACTGTAGACTAACTGACAAGTGACAACTGTACAGGGTATATAATACTAGGCCTAGGCCACAAACTACACACTCAAACAGACTACAGTTATGTTACTGTTTACGTATCATCCATTCACCGCTAAATCACCAACCGCGCACAACGTGTTCAATCTAACAGTGTTGCCGAAGTTGAAAAACAAAATGTTGTTTTATTTCAAAGCGATAACACACTGATATCTACGAACTACGCTTTCTCGATCGAAACCATAGACCTATAAAAAAATCATATCCTATGGTCTATGGTCGAAACGCACAAGTATTAAGTACTTAAGTAGCAGCTATAGAATGCAAGTAACGATGAAATGATAACGAATGACAATATTATGATTTGTTAATGCCAGTTTTTAAGTAAATCGAAATTAGTATAATATATGTAAAAATCATAAAAGTACCTAAATATTGAACTTAAAACATAAAAAAAAAATAAGTCAATTATAGCAACAAAAAATTTGTCTTTTCAATGAAAAAATGGAGTTTCCAATGAATTTATATAAACATTTAGATACCGTTCCTGGAAAGTGGATGTTTATGACTGAATACCAGCACCGAAGATGTATTTTAAATACATTTTTCAAAAACTATTCTACCCACTGGAATATAATATATTATATGATTTAAAACATACTTTTTCCAGCACTAACTATAGTTTTTAATCGACCTCCGGATTGATTTTTGCGCTCAAAACATTTAAATTTGGCGCAATTACAGAATTACCTTGGGAAAATATCGTTTTTACTTTTTATTATCATCTATCGCCGGTTCATGATTAGATTGCAACGACTGCAGCCGAGCTCAGCTGCAGTTGCAGCTGTGCCGATGTCGTTGACAGTGTAGGCGTTTGCCCGGTAACCGTGCGGTAACGCGTCGCGTTCGGTTTTCTATTCCATGATAACGCATACAGGCTCCTTGGGGTGTGCTTAAATCGGAGTCGAGCTGAGTCATATTGCAAGAATCCTCTGCTCGCTAGTACTACCATAAAAACCGAACGAGTTTTTCGCTCACCGTTCGTGATTGTCCGCGCAACCGCAAAGCTGTGCCGTGTAAAACAGTTGAAACTTTAAGTGATCAGCCGAGCGACGCGTTTGACCATTGTGTCGTTTTCGTTCACGTTACACGTACAATAACCTAACCGCATCTGACGATATGGCATCGGGTGTGACAGTAGCGGACGCGTGCAAAAAGGTGTACGAGGAAATCAAGAAAGACAAGAAGCACAGGTACGTTGTTTTTCATATAAAGGACGAGAAGCAAATCGACATCGAGGTGATCGGCGAGCGCAACTTCACGTACGACCAGTTCCTAGAAGACCTGCAAAAGGCCGGCCCGCAAGAGTGCCGTTACGGGCTGTTCGATTTCGAGTACACTCACCAGTGCCAGGGCACGTCCGAAAGCTCCAAGAAACAAAAGCTGTTCTTGCTGTGCTGGTGCCCGGACACGGCCAAAGTCAAGAAGAAGATGGTGTACTCGTCCAGCTACGACGCGCTGAAAAAATCGTTGGTCGGCGTCCACAAGGCGTTCCAGGCTACCGACCAGTCCGAGGCGTCCCAGGAGGTTATCGAGGAGAAGCTCAGATCCACCGACAGGCAGTAAAGAACTTTATTTTTTTTCTAAATATTTATATATATATATATATATATACAAATCATATATGTATAAATATATGCGCCAAAATATATATATATTTATAAGTGAAGGTTTTTCATCTTTTACGTTTTGGTATTTATAAACAATATATAAGGAAAACATTTTAGTACTTCCACAACGTAATCGTTTACTACTATACAAAATACATTTATGAATTTATATTACATTTACTAACATTAAAACAAAACAAACAAAAAAAAAAAACCCCCAAATAATCATAATATTCATTATTTTTTTTTTTTTTGTTTTTATCAAAGCAATATGTTCCCGTGTAAGAACATATATTTATTTTATATCTATATATTATATTTATAAGTATTAATGCATGCGTGTTTAATTTTTCATGGACAAATTATACATAATTAGAAACTTGATGCTCTCTATTTTATTTCGTTTTTCTTTCTCGTGTGCCGGCTGGGCTTACAAAACTTCTCCGGCATGCTACAAAAATATGTTATACCTTTTTTTTATGAACAATTTATTTAAATTTTTATTACGGTGTACGCCGCCGACAAGAGGGACGTGTATAGGTTGTGTGTAAATATAATTAAAATATATTAACAACGTTTGAAATTATTAATAAAAATATGATGTGTAATTTCCACATATTATGATGCGATCTGGACTTTGGATTCGGATTTATTTTGCCGTCCCGTCTATTATCGGCGTTTACTCATCCGACCGATTCACGGTTGGTTAATTTTATTTGGTTTTTTTTTTTTTTTGCCCGTCCGCCGCAGTGGCGCGGCCACCGTGGTCCGTGTGAATTGGACGCGTCGTTGATAAGCGGCGGCGACGACGGCACGGCCGCAGTGGCGGCCCTTGTGTGCATAGTAGAGATACGGGCACCGGGGACCGGCGCAGTGCTGCCAACGTTGCGCGCATCTCTCCGAATAAAAAAAAAACGTGCTCTCTCTCTTTAGTCTTTAAATGGGAGTCACGGGACGAATGGAGAGAGGAAACCGGCGACGAGCGCAACGTCTCAAATTATAAACGGGCGTCTAAAATAAGAGCGTCCCACACACAGACGTTCGGATTGGAAGTTTTTTTCTCTCCACCGCAAGGGACGTTATTTGTGAAGGCCGGTGGTATAAATGGCCCGTTTTTGTCGTACGAACATTGTTGAAATAAAAAAAACATGTATAATAATTATAATGTAGGTATTGTGTCATTAAAGGTGATAATGATATTTAAAAACTAATACATTTATGGCAAAAAGAAACCTGGAATGGTAAATGGTTGTATTAAAATCGAAATTATCTATCAAAAAGAACATATTTTTAACTTTGAAATAGCTTGTGCCTACTGAAATAAAATAAAAATTTATTTAATTGTGAAGGAAATATTTATAAGTAAAAAAAAAATAAAGTCATGCGAGTACCTTTACAGTATTTAGTGTAACTTCGGTTGTTTCACTAAATTAACACTTAACTGTATGATAGTGCTTGTAAAATCTGCATTTTGCTCACAAATAAAAGTGTTATCACATTTATATAGTTAAACGAACCGTTTTGTGTGTCATGTAAAAAGTACTGCCTAGTAAAAAATATGTTGTACCTCTTCCTCTACAAAAAAAATGGTGTTTGATCATTAAATATTTAAGTTTGATGTTTTTTTTTTGTCAATGAACAGCAGCAACGTGGTGAGCTGGAGGGATTATTCTTAGAAACGTTTATTTATGACTTGGCGTAACAGAAGCTGTTCTGTATTTGAGGGGGGTCTGGGCTATATATATATATATATAAATTATACAGGACGATTAAGTCGACGTATAAAGTCCTACTTCTGTATACAGGGGGTTACTTACATTTTATGTAACAGTGATTTTTTTTAAAGAAATAATTATATAACCTAAAAATAAGGCAGCCCAATTTTTTTCTAGTAAAATATTAACATTATTTTTTTTTAAATTTTAAAGCTATGAAATTATTATAAAAAATGTTTTATTTTTATTTAAACGAACCGTACACACATCAAAAGAAAGATTTTGTACTTTCTTTGTTTTTAATTGTAACTAGATAATACAGCACTATTCAAAAGCAATGGAAAAAAAACATCTTTTAATATATTTATAAGTATTTTATTTAAAAAAAAAAAACAAGTTTTTACCAACTAGATTTTTTGTACGTCTTGTGAAATACCCAATTTGTTTAATGTTAATTCATCTAAAAAAATGTGTTGTATTGAGGACGACAATTTGAAGAGATAACATTTTTAAAATGACAATTTATTAACTTTAATATTTAAAACCAATACTAGTTTTGCATAAAAAATATATGTATATAATTATAAATGATAAATTAAAATTTTGATTAGGCAATGATTATTGGTAAAAATGATGCCAGCGTGTACATACTTGTATAGTAAGTGCAGTTTAAACAACTTTGTCTACATAACACAAAAAATTGCTAGGACAAGCAAAATAAAAAACTACTGTGATTGGAAACTGCAATTATTATATATATATATAATCAACAAGAAAGAAAATATTATATACAATGTACTACTATAATATTAATCATGTCACAGCTATGAATATATTTTTACAGTTAATACAATATAATATCATACAAAATTATTTTACTCGTTTTCGACGAAGAAATGTATACGAATATAAATTTGTGTGTTGTGAAGCAATTCATAAGATTAAAAATAGATGTTCTTAGCAAAATTAGTGTTATTTTATGAACGGCATCGAATCTACGAATCTGGAGTAACAAAATTTATAGGTCAAGGTTCTTGAAAAAATGTATGGTAAATAAAAACCAACAGTTTGTTGTAAACACAAATGCAGATTCCTTTATCACTTTAAAAGAAACATAATTTAAATTAAGACAACCATTTTACAATAGTATGCATTTTATTAGAAAATGTATACAATGTACCAACCTAACGTAATTTTTTTAATAAATAATAATATTGTTAAAAAAATATCAAATGATCAAGATAAACTTGTGCGAACATAACAAAATGTAATTATCTGTGAACTACGGTAATAATATTAGTCATACCGAAAAAAAGTATTGTTTAAAGCTATTTATATTTATTAGTCAGTAAAACCGTGTTAGTCACCGGTGATTAATTGTATAAAATAAGAAATATTTGAATTGTCATTAAATAGGTATCATTATAATTTCAATAAAACAATAAAATGTATATAGGTCATCTACAAAATTGTTGAAGTACTCGACACAAGTTACCAAATACTTGTACTTACTTTAATTGAAGAATACTGTTATAAGTGCCTACAATAGGCAAAACAAAACATTAGTAGTTGGTAATAAACTGCAATGTAGAAATGCCAATATTGGAAGATTATAACTTTTTTGCCCTCATCAAACGATAAAAATATTAACCATACATAAGTGGGTATTAATTTATTTTAATGAAGGCATTAGCCGATTGCAACCAATAAAACTTTCAACCTGTCCAAAGTAATAATAGGCATACAATGATATAGTTATCAATCAAGTTATTTTTTTTTATCAAATTTTCACAGTTCGTTTATAAAGAAAACGGACAACGACAATATTATTAGGATTTTTTTCGGACAAGTTTGAGACAAGTTAAAGTTTCAAAATATTTGTCTAAACTAAAACAGCTACACAAAAATTGATAGGGTTTTGTAATGAAATTTCTATGAAAATCGTATTAATAAACATGAACAGCAAAATATATATTACAATATATTGTATACAAACGACAACGTTTTACTACGAATAGTGAATAATTAGAAAAACTATGACTATTAGCTTCGATGCGGAGCTGAGAAGGTATTGTTTATACAATGATGTGTTTTCATTTTTTTAATATTTTATTTTTATTTTTGTATCTGGACCCACGATATCTCGTAAACCGCTAAACCGATTTCTTCGTGTAGCAACTCTATAGATCAGAAATCATACCTGGAAGGTACATTAACGGGCCAAAAATTTAAAAGTCACCCCTCCCCATCAAAATCGAGAAAAACACCTAAAAAATGTACGAATTTTTCAACTTAAAAACACGATGCTCTATAACTTTTTTAAAAATAGTCGAAAATGTTCCAAATTTATATGAATTGTTCTTCAAACATAGTACTATCGATAAACATTAGCAAACCGAAAAAATATCATAAACCCTTTCCCTTAAAAGGGATAGAATTTTTTTCTTTATTTCACTTTTTCAAGCAAAGTTTTAGAGATTAGATCTGAAAATTAGACCAAAGGTAGATCTAAAATGGAACTATAACATATACAATTTTCTCAAAAATCTGTAGTAAAATTTTTTTTTTATAAAGGAAAAACCCCAAAAATAGGGTAAATTTACACTTTGGCCGTAGTCCGTTTCTAGGTTGCTATGTGTGTGTGTGAATCAACAGTTATACTATCCACAGATTCGCATCGAATCGTTTATTTAAAAGTTATTTTATCACTTTTAGTTGTAATAAAATCTGTAGACCTGTGACCTCTCCGTCCCCACTACGCCCTGACCTCACTGTACTGGCTTTTTTTTTTTATTAATAAAGCCTGGACAACTGGGCCATTGGCTAAACTATGACTATTAATAGTAATCATAAACGATTACTGTAGAATTAGTGGTTAAGTTATAATGTATACATTTTTTGTTGTTTTTACAACGGAAATCTGGCGGATTGTCGAATGAAACGACTACATAATAAGCCTTTTTAATTTTAGATATATTCCGAGTTCTCAGTTATTACTAGGGCAAAGCAAACGACAGAGATATTCTATACTTGTGTTGTTGCTCACATACATAATATTTAAAAAACTGTGCTGTTTAAAATAATGCAGCTTTCAAACACAAATCCTATAACATCTTATTTCTAAGTACCATAATAAATAATAATACTATTTTGGCCACGTCACAAATACCTTTTTAGGCAGTTATTCACATCATAATATGATAATATAATATGGTAAATGATTATCATAATGTGAATAAACAATTTTTTTATGGCACATCCACTGAACTAAAAAAAAGTTGCAAAGCTAATGTAGTGAGCATTATACTTTGGCGTTTAAATGCATTTCAGAAAACCCTTATTTTAATTTATTAATTAACAGTTCCCCTCTATGTAGGGTTTCTATTGTTTATAGATTTGTGCGCAAACAAGTCTTTGTCTTTAAGGTTTTGGGCAAATGTGTATTAATAGTGGATATAGCCAGCACATATTCTAATAATATATTTGAAAACGGTACTTACATTTGACCAATTTTCATGTTAATTAGGTATCCTTCTCAACCCTCTCATAAGTTTATTATATATAATTATCTAAAACTACGATGATGATATTTAAAATAAAAAATTTGATATAATAACAAGTGAGCAAAATGTTACTCAACAGTGTATTTTTCTTTAAAATGTTTTACTCAGCTATTTTGGATCATTTAATTGCATTGAATCAGCTCATAATATTATTAACTTTATAAATGATAATTTACTGATCTATTTAATTAGTTAAGTGTGCAGTTTGTTGCCGTTTGCACAATATTTTAATTTAAAACTATGTTGGTTGATACCACAACCTTGGTAATGTGCTAAATTTACGATGGTGTCAGCAATAACAACAATAACGTTATCAACATTTTCAAGAAAAAGTTTTATGATACGACATTGGTAAACCTCTCATTTTTATTTTTAATGACTAAAAATCGGATACATAATGTAGTAAATTGTTAAGTGGTAAAGTTATTAATGGTTCGAGAAGTTCATAATTAAATGTGTTAGGATATATTTGAATGACTCATTGGTGGGCTTATGGTTCATGGGCTAAGTAAACATTGATTGAACCCGACACACAGATTAGATTTAAATGATCTTAGGGTAAAGGAATACAGTTACATCTTACAGGGTGAACCGTAAGATGTGACTTTCTAAAATGCGGTTGATCTCGGTCAGGTGACTCGACCGAGTCGCGAATGTCATTTATAACTCACAAAGATTTACTTTATGCGGCATTATTTCCTTTTCTGAACGTTTCTAATTCGTCCTTGTCGCAACACGGCACACGCATTATTGTTATTTATTTTTTATATAATATACCTATACTATGTTCAAATGCGAAGTACTGCACTCTGACCAACACACAGCCGGCCTTGTTTTTGCGCCAACTGTATGAGATTATAATATTTTTATGCATGTACATGGACGTCAGATGACAATGCACTAGTTTAATATATTATGTATTCTAACAGAAAACCAATTTTAAAAACCCGATAAAGTGATAAAAAAATAGTACAGCCAAATTACAAATCACTACCGATAGGCAGAAGATTTAGTAACTATCCTGTATAGCAGCATACAAGGCTACGGCACCCAATTGGTATAGCATAATATTCGACAAAAAGTCGTACACGGGTGTAGTTTGGTTGCATTTTTTTATTATACGGCTAAATACATAGGTTGTTTCTGAAATTATGTTCACGCAGGAAACGGCGCAGTATACACTATATAGCAACACGTGAGTGTTGTTGTTTGCATAACTATTACGCCTAAAATCATAACTTTTAACCGTGTTAAAAATCTGTAGCAAAAAAAAAAAAAAATGTACAATATTTTTAAAACGTCTCGCTCGGCCGTACGATTTCTAAATAACTCGATAATTGGTCGTTGCAAGTTATTTTCCGATAAATGTCAAGTTGTAAACAACGACAATTGGTTAAAAATCGCGTTCCCCGATGTAGTAGAAGAGGCAATCAATCGTCAAGTTTCAGTAGAATACAAAGCCGGCATGGTATACCGGTCCATGGTAAGTAACACACTACTTTGGATACTATAACTAGACAAGTGCAAATGCCGTTAAAATTGTCTCATTGTATTTGAAATGTGTAATAGGAATGTTGCTGTCTTTGAAATTGAGATGGGTTATCGTGTACAGTGTTTAGTTACCTGGCTTGGTGCCATTAGTTTTTTAAGTGATGTTATCACTTTCAGTTATAATGATTGATAAGGCGTCACCTACTCCGCTATGTCCACTGTACTGGCTTTTTTTACTATACATTGCTATAGAATTATTCAAAGTTTTATTATAAAAAAATATAATTCTGTTATTCTGTTGTACAATTACAACATTTACCTCCTAACTGATCCTATGTGCAATGTCCTGTGCTGTCCAGGCAAATTATTTCAACAGGCACGATGTGGCTTTAACGGGATTTTACAAACGTTTCCTGAGACATTATCGCGAAGAATTCAACCACGCCGACGGTTTGTTGGAATTCTTACAGAAAAGAGGTGGAAAACCAGAGCTGTTCGACATAGTCAGGCCGTCCAACGAATGGGACGGCGTTGAACACATTGTAAAATCGGCGTTAGACCTGGAAAAGAACAACTACGATGTAAACGATAGTGTTAATCGTTAAAAATTATTATTTAGCGGATAAAATAAAAATAAAATAATAATAATAACGAAAATTACCCGTATAGGCACTGTACAAGATAAACGAATTGGCTCAAGAACACAAAGACGTATCGACCAGTGAATTCTTAGAGTCTGTTTATTTGACAGAACAACTGGAGGACCAAAAAGACTTGGCCGACTTACTTACCAAAGTGCGGTACGCGATCGAGTCGAAAACAATACATTTGCTCGACTATAACGTTGGCAAGATCGAAGCGAAAGAGTTTAAAAAATAATAATGATTTACACATTTACCTGGTAGAAAGCATACAACAAAAAAGTGAACCATGTTTTTTTCTGTCGAACAATTGCGGTGACGATCTCGTTTTCATCTAACATTGATTGGAAGATAATAATATAAAGGGCACAGGGGGAAAACGGCAGTTGTCACATTATGAAAATTTTAGAGTATAGCAAAAACAAATTTCGTGAATTCCTTTACCTCTTACATAAGAACAAAAAAAATCACATTAAATGCTACTCTAATAATAAATGTATTTATTTAAACAATCTATTGACATAAATAAAAAAAAATTATTGGCAAAAATTGAAAAAAACTATTTAAAAAAAAAATGTTTCATAATGTGACTACTACCGTTTTTCCCCTGTGCCCTTCATAAGTAAGAGGTTAGGAATCCAAAGCCCGGAAGTTTATACTAGAGCAATGAGCATATGCATATGTCGGTTGTTTTTAAAATTATCATAGAAATATGCATGCATTAACATATTGTCTGAAAATAGCCACTCTCTCTCTCTCTCTCTGTATATATATCTCTGTACATAGTTAGAAAAAATTCTACTTTTTTAATAATCAAACATAGACAAACTAAATAATTGTCAATTATTTTTCTTTTGCTTTTACACATCATTGAAAAATTAAGTTTTGGTCTTGAATTCTTTGAAATATGATTCAAATTTTTACATAAGGACATACTAACGGATTATGAGAACATTTTTATGTTTGCTAATTGATTAACAAATTACTATTTGACTAAGCCCTAATACTTCTAATTAGTTAACAGGAATGGTCGTTTTTATGTCATGTTCCTCACTATGATATTTATATTATATTTTGTTCGTATAAAAAATCACAACATACGACTTAAAGTATTAGTGAAAATTATAAAGATTTTTGCAAGTTTTCTTGTTTAATTTTAGTATGTATAATTGTGTTTGTAGGTTTTAATTTTTTTTCCAATTTTTTTTCAAAACGCTTTCTCTATTGTTCCACCAATAATATACTACACGTATAATATTAAGTGTAAACATACTAATAATTAACGTTAATAATTTTTTGTTAATAAAGGCTATTAAAAAAAAAAAAAAAAAAAAAATGTTAATAATAGTATACTCGTATTGATGGTTTGTAAGTATTTTTTCTCATTGCCCGCTTTACATTCAGTAGCCAGTTTAATAATTTAAGTTTTTCAAAGAAAACCAGTAATGATACACCTTTACTTATTTAATATAAGTTTTAATTTTAATTTGTGTATTAGAAATGTATTGAATTTTGTTCTCACGTGTATAACAATAACACCTAATATACAATCACAATGTCAGGTACATTTCAATTGTTCCGTGTTTATCAAGGCAAATGAACGAGGTAATAATTACTATTTTTTTTTTCTATATTTTAATATCGTTTCAAAACAGTTGAAATGATAATATTTTAATTAATTTTTCATTATTCAACTGCGGTGTTCACAGAGTTTATGCGGTGTTTACGACCTCGACGTTCACAACATTTGTTATTCAGTATTGTGATTTGTGTGTATTCTTCACTTGGGTATTTTTTTCATTTTCTCCGTAGTTAAAAAACAGTCGGACGTACGTCAGAAACTCATAGTTCTTTGCTTTAGCCGTTGATATTTATTTATTTACTGACCTCTTTCCGTCCAGTGACGTTGGCAATTATACATGTAACGCGTTATAGTTTAATATTGTTTTAAGAAAAAAAATTAAAAAGCCTCTTAAATTATAAACGGATAACAATTCAAAGTAATAACAGTATATACCTATTGGCTATTGCGTATGTATCCTTAATTAAATACTACTGATAATATTTTATCATCGAGATTAAACAATACTATAATACATGGTAATTATCTATTGTATTAATGGATAAAATATATTAGGTATTATTATAATACCTATCCCGGTCGAGTAGTCTTCTACTATTCAAATTTTGTGCAGTAATTGAATTTTATATAAAGTAAACATGGTGCGACTATATCTGCTGAAACAGGTAAGCTTTATAATATTATTATTTAACTATTTAATTAGGCTGTAACGTTGGCATAAATCAAAAATGACATAATTGACTATGTATCATGAGTAGTTACATCAGAATGATTATATTGTGTTCACTAATAGAATAACTTTAATAGTTTTTAGGCTTTTAAACTTATTTTAATTATTCATACATAATATTTAGCTGGGTAGTGGACAAATTATAAATAATTATAGGCAAGTGATAATTAATTTACAGGACTTTATTAATAATTGTAATTTATTAACTGAAACGATTTCAAAAAAAATATCGTCGAAAAAAAGATTAGCTTAACTTAATCTGGTTTAATTACTTCTCGTGTAAGTAATTTTTTAAAAGTATACAAATATAATAATAAAATTAAATCTTTATAATTATTAAAATTAAAGAATACAACCTCCTATTTGAATATTGATTAAATATATCGCCTACTAATTTATTGTATTTATTTTAGCGATCTAGTAGATTAAAATAGATAAAAGACAACTTTTTTAAATTAAAAACATTGTTTTGGTTTATTTATGCATATAAACTAGAATATTGTTTTTAGACACACATAATTTTAAAATGCACGACCTTTGATTTTATAATAAAAAATAAATTATAAAATCAATGATAATAAATTGATATTACATAATATTTTATATTTTTGACTTAAAAATAGTTTGTTCAACCGTAGCATTATCTAGTTGCCTTATAACTCGTTTTAATTTAAAACTTAATATACAATTAACAATGGATTTACCTGACGATACGAATTTCAACTGACAATTACTTGATCTTAAATGTTATCTCAACAACACAATTTAATGAAATGTTATTAAGCGAGCACTTCAATAGTAATGTCAATTATCAAGTAATCTTTAATACCTTATTAGCCTATATATTATGTACAAAAATAATTAACTTCTTCTTTTTGATGCCATATTTTGTGTACGTGACTCATCACTTGTTTTTTATAACTTCCAAATATTTCTGACTATATATTGTTACTATTTTTATCTGCGTATGTGAATATATTGTTACATATTAAAATTCAATTGAAATGTCGTTATCTCTCTTCTTATCGTCTCTTTTATGTCTTCTCCACTTGGCTAACACACTTGTCAACAATGTACTTATACTTAATATTCCATGTACATTTTATTCTATTATTAGCGCCACTCCTGACTTTTTACATAATCATTCTTAAATCCTTACCTCAATCGTTTTTTATTGTCTACGTGATTTAACTTCTTACCGATGTTACACCTAACCTACCATAGACGAGGGCTGACTTATAATTTTTTTTTACAACAGCTATATTTTTAGCTTCCCTTAGGCCACACGTTTAAAAAACCATATCGCCTTCCAGGGAAATAGCCCTTCACTTTAAATGGTATATTAACGATGTAAGCCTGTCTGGCCTTCAGTGTTAAAATTCCTTGTTGTCCGGCAACGAGTATGCAATATTGTACGTCACTGTTTGAATTCTTTGTTAAATTTTAGGATAGGAACAATGTAAGGTTAAATATATGTATCAAAAAATAAAACGAATAGAAGTAAAAAGTATAGCACTGAGTAGCGCATTTAGGGATGGGGCTGAACAAAGCAGGTAGGGAGGATTAGTTGATGAGATAAAATAAGAGTGCAATAGACAACAGTGAACATCTTGTAAAATAAAAAGGAATAAAATTAATGATTTTCGTGGATCTTTGAATAAAATGGATAGTTGAAAAATATAATAATGTTTTTTATGAAATTTATTCATCAAAATAATATTTTTTTCCAACAGCTGTAATCTTCTGGCATAGAATTCACTTACTTTTCACATTTATTAGGTTTATTCGTTTTATTGTTATTTGTTCGGACTTCGGGCTATTTAATAAAAACGTCTACTCGGCAAAAAGTTCAACAATACATTTTAGTAACTTATATATTATAGGGTGTTCAATGACTTTGGAAAGTTAACCCGTTTTCATACTAAGACAGAAACCGGTTCCCAAACGAATTGAATACTAGATACAAGTCTATTCAAGAACGTTTCTGAATCACGTTATTTTTTCAAAATCTATTTTTATTCTCCAGATTCTTGAATGAAAAACAATAATTATTGTTTTAATACATTTTTTTTTTAATTTAAGGAAGTAACATTAAAAAAAAAACACAGTTAAGACTACAGACCAGGGTGTATTTAGGGTTTTGGGGGGGGGGGGTAGGGCTGAGGCACTGAGTAAATGAGCAGTTAAGTAATTTCTGCGTTTTGATCAAGTTTCGATGTAACTTAGATCATCTAAGGAGAATTCAAACAGTTACTAGTTCTCCTTTAAAATGTATAGCCTATAGGTATTGTATTATTTTTTATTAACTCGCTCAGTCTTTACAATTAAATGGTGGCTATCTAAAGTTAAAAGAGTACATGCAATGTTGAATGAAGTATACAAGTAAGCAAAATGTAATTTTCATTTTCTTACTTATATTTTCAACGTTTTCTCAAAAGATAAAGGTTAAACCGTTGTCTGAGGACAGTTAGGCCTTACCTAACCATCTTAACCGTTATACTCAGTCGTTATGTTATTAAATATTCAAATAAGTTATGTTAGATGTTAAATAAATGATTTTTTGGACAAATCGCTAATTTAAATTTTCCTGTAGGGGAGGGGGGGCATCAACTCCAAATACAATGCTAATATAGTGGTAGGTTAGTTGGTTTTTTTTTTTAAATTTTTACCATCATTTATAATAATAATATTATACTTGATGACACCTTGAACTATATAATATTTTATTATTTCATCGTGAACGTGGTGGTTTTGCTTGACGACAACGACCTTGTTGTCTGCAATCCGGCCGAGTGAGGAGGCGGACGTTGAATAATAATATTATCATGACGTTTCTCAGTACTACAACTAATTCACTTCTATGAGTTCTACTAATTACCATTCTGTTTACGATAATAAGCATATAGTATGTGGGTACAGCACAGTCTTATTTTTTCCTCCTAATCTAGTAGTATTGTAATTCAAATATATTCAATATTATGCTGTTACAGGTCGAAAACCCACAGTAAGAAGCTCTTTAAAAATTAAGTCAGTATGTTATATAATCATTTAAATGATTAATCCATATCTACTTATGATTTTGTTTTTTGACTAGGAAATACAGATTTAACAAAAAACACATTTCTCGATGCATTGTTTATTGCCATAAATTAAAACAAAAATGTTTCGAATAAGTTTAATAATGATTGAATGTTTTTTACACGTTCATAGTATGTTGTTTTTAATACTAAATACATATGTGTATCTATTTTCACCTTCTAGTTGTATAACTTTGGTCAAATTCCGATTTCCGCGAAAACTTCTAGCAAAATAATACAGAGTGTGGCGGAGCCGACTGACGAGTTTTGAGGGGCTATAAATTACGAACAGTAAAACTTAGTTAAAAACGGTTTGTTTTATTAAAATCATTAACAAATCCCGTTTTTTAAATTACGGTTTGAAAATGATATCACCAAAATGGTGACCGTCATTAGCAATACATTGTTGTGAGCAATTTCCGAAGTTTTCCCACGATCTTCGGCACGTTTAATATGGATATGACCACGATTTATTCAGTGATTCTCTCCTTCAGGTCTGCTAAGGTATAGGGACGATGTTTGAAGACCTTATCCTTAGGGAAGCCCCAGAGGAAATAAATCGCACATGCTAAAATCAGGAAAGCGTGTTGGCCAGCCCACGTCACCCCTTGAGATACCAACCACCTAGGGAACATTTGTCGAATAAAAAACTAACAAATTTTGAGCTGTGTGCGCTGTAGCCCCTATTTAGTTGAAACCATACATCCCCCAAGTCATATTCTTTTTCCATTTCCTCCAACCAGTGCTGCAGTTAAGTGTCCGACATTAGAACATATCGCTTCGAAGTGACAGTGACAGTCCTGTTGTCCTCCTCAAAAAAGTACCGGCCGATCACCCCAAGTCGGGACCCAGTATTTCCCAATTTGGGACATTGTCACTTTAGTGGAGTAGAATGGTCTTTCATGGAGTTTCCGTGGGTTATTTTCAGCTTAGTATCGAAAATTCTGTTTATTTACAGATCCTAAGATCGCTGAGTAAACACTAAATATCGGCTACAGCAATTTATTGCTGCTGACAACCGCCATCTTGGAGGCATAATTTTAAAAACATAACTTAAAAAACGGGATTTCACACTGATTTTAATAAAACAAACAGATTGTTTCTAAGTTCTACTAATCGTTATTTATAGCCCTTCAAAACTCGTCAATCGGCTCCGCCCCACTCTGTATATTTTACATCACCAAAAAAGTTATTACTTACTTTTGGCTTTTGCTTAAACGGATAATAACCATTTAATGTATAAGACCTGTCCTATACTAATTATCCACTCACCAGCCTATAAAGGTGTAGGGAAAAGTATTGTAACTATATACTATATATATATATATATATATATATATATATATTTAGATGCCAATCATCCAAACGTATTTTCTAAAACTAATTTAACTGTTGAAATTGTTTAAATATTTATAGTTTAAAAGTCGAGACTATATTTTATTGTTGTCGAACAATACGTCGTAACGTTTCAAAAGATTTTGTTTATACGTCAATAAATTTTGCTATCAACTGAATATATATTGATATAATATCACAGATTAGAAGTTTTATCTAATCTGCGATAATATCATAATGTTAATAATTTTAATCGATAATATTTGTAGTTATAAAATATTTGGTTTTGGTAACGTTTTTAATGTCTGTAGAGTACTACGGTATCACAAATGTAAGCATAATTGTGGCAAAAATAAATTCCTCCTACGATCTGTTTTCTGACCACTGTGTGTCGTCATCTCGTTGGCGGTTGCCGGTTGGGTAAACATATTAGTTTGCGTTATTGCCATACAGAGACCGACAACGACAACGACCGCTGCGCTATACAGTGGGGCAAGCGCAGAAGGAGCAACGCGTTGAGAAC